AAAATCATCAAGACGGTTAGTCGATGTTATAGCGATATTGAATTGCGAGGAGAAAGGGAACGCATCGGGTTATAAATTTTTAGTGCTGACGATTTCTTTTGAAAGAACCAAGAAAGGGAAAAATGAGAGGGGAGGGGGAGAAATTTTTTTGGAATGAAATGTGTCATATTTGTATAAAGGTCAAATGCTTACTTTATACTTAACCATGGAAAAAACCCACAAACGTACCGGTTGACCCACCGTGACTCACAATTTGATTTCTTTTGATTCCTGCTTGAAAAATGAGGTGAAAAAAAAGAGAAGAAGCAAGAAAAATATAAAAATCTGCATATCCTATATAGTCAATAGAGAAATAAAAAACAATCGAAAGGAAGATACAAACCGGGGCTTTTTTGTGGTTGGAAGAAAAACACGGGTGGGGTGGTATGGAAAATATCAATGTCTAGGAAAAATAGTAAAAATGAGCATCCCAACGGGAAATTGGTTCGTATATATTTTGTTGCTTCTGAGAACTTGACTACGGAAAAGAGCTACCAATTATTATTGTGAACTGCTGATAAGGGGAATTCCGATTCAGAAGTTTAGGCTAAAGTTTACTAAACATAACGCAACATGTGATAATATTTTGATAATTTTGACAGTACAAAAAGTGTAAACTTTCTGTACAAAATGTACCAGCATGTGACAAGATTAAAGTGGCTGAAAATGCTTTTTAATGTTACAAAGAAGATCTCGTTTCTTTAATGCATTGTGAATTTCAAAAATTGATGTCTACATCTCCATCTGAAATATCGAAAAAATTTAAGGATTATGGTTTTTGCTTTCTTTTTCATGCTTTTATATATCCAGACAAATTCGATTGTTTTTTATCGAATGGGGGTGGATATTGGAGAGCCAAAAGTCTGTGCACATCCCATAAAAACCAGACAAAACTGATAAGAAAGATGTGCAGGAAAATAGTGTGTCGGATGTGAGAAACAGCAGAGAGACGGGAAATCCCCCGCCTGGACGAGGCGAGGGAATTCTTTCAGTACAAAGTTCCAATAGGAGAAAGAAAAGTTTCGAAGGAAACGCAGCTGATTTTTTGCCATAGACTACTTTAGGTTTCTGCAGAGAGCTAATATTTTGGAAATAAAAAAGTGTCAAAAAACATGCGGAAGGAATGGGCTAAAAAACGGAAGAAAGTTTTGTATGGTTGCTCTCGGGTATGAGGAGGAGGAATGCGACAAATATTTATATCAGGGATTATACTGGCGAGATTAAATGAGACCCCCGTTATCCCTGATTTTTTGGTTGAATGGAGATTCCAACACGAACACATAATAGATGCATGGATGAAAAACTAAATTTAAATAAATCAATGCGAGAATAAATGTGGAAAATATTATTGGAAGCAAAGAGTGAGGTGAAAAGTCCACTAGATGAAGGCAATAACAAATGATAAGCGGACGCTCTTTTAAAGAAGAAATAGGAAGACAAGAATGACTATAGTACACAGTTTCAGTTGAATGAATATGTTTTATGGTGTCAGAACGCATATTTGAAGGAGAAATCATCTTTTCAAGAAAGCGGAAATGGGTGTGAAAAGATTATTTGGTTTTTTTGGGGCTAAAAATATTTTGTTCTAATTATAAAACAATATTTATTCCGTTATCGCAATGTCTTATCTTTCTAATGACCGATGTCTGCTCAACCATCACATTTTTGTTGGTTTAATTATTGTTTTTTGAGTTGTTTCCTTTTTTCATTTTTCGAATTTTTGATCAATTATTTTCAGTAGGGCGGGCAGGTGATTTTATTCATTATTATAGCTTTAAGTTTGCTATGACTGCAAAAATTAAAAAATAATTTTTAAAAAAGTCAAAACTTGAGTAACAATCATCATTTGCACAATTCCTCTCTTATAAACAACCTCCCACGTCCTCAGATCAGATACCATCTAGTTCGACCAAATTATCATGCTTCTGCAAAAACTTCTTGCGGAGCAATCTGGTGAACAGACAGGTCATAATCGGGCGGAGTCGATGCTCTCACTACGTAAATAATCTCTCGCCTCCTCTCTGTATGTGTAGGTGTTTTCTCAAAAGCTTCTCGCGCAATGACTTCGAAATCAAACGTTTATAGTGATATCATATTATCCTCGGGACAATGGGAGACAATTTTTGCTCGGACAAAAAATCATGGAATGTGTGGTGCGGATTGTCTTGCTTTTTGTACTCTTTTTCAATTGTTCTAGCAGATGTTTTTGATCAATTTCTACGGAAAGAAACATCAAAAACCAAATTAAAATGAATGGCTTCTAAATTTTCTGTACGGTTTCTGTAGAAAATGGAAAACAAAAAGGTGAGTATTACTTGTTGAACAGGAGAAGAGTTAGCGATAAAGTACGCAAAATTGCGGGTTTATCATAAACCCTATCATTTTTATTACGTTTAAGATAGTAAAATGCACTAGACCTATTTTTTCTTATTAACTTAACTCTTTTACTCTTACTTATAAACTTCTGCAAATTTTCTAAACTATGAAAAATTAAACAAAAAAGCATTGAACCGACTTCCCAGAGAATTCGTTTTGGTTCGGCTACGAGAATAAAACTCATGTCCCCGATATATTATTTACAATCTAGCGCTCATTGTTCTTAATGCGATGGACAATCAAAAACGCCCCAGAATTCCTGTTCAACCCACGGAGATTGAACTGTGTGCCTTTGACAGTGATACTTTGTGTGCTCCCAAGGTGGCATAGAACAATATCGAAAGCAATTTATCAACTTTCATGAATTACGTCAGAATGATCAAGAAGGAAAATAAAATAACATAATATAAATATTTTCAGAGTTTCAAGAGTAGTTGGGAATTGATTGGAAAAAATTTATACAAATTTCCAGGGATGTTGGAACGGAATCGGCAATTTGGAAATTTTCAAACATTCCGACCACTTTTAAAATAGTTCCGTTTTTTCGGAAAATGAGCTTTTTGAACTACGGTATGTCGAAGACGTACGCAAGAAGTTTGTTTGCAAATTTTGAGCTGAACTACTTTCAAGTTGTTATTTGGCGTTCTCGGAATCCGGTCGTTTCTTCATCAATTATTCCAGATTTTGGAATGGGCATTTCAAAATTTTTGAAAGTCGGAATTTTGCGAGATCCGGAATTTCCCCATTTTGGAACTCGAAACATCACTTCAGTTGTACCAAAAAAAATGATATGGCGGGAAAGCCAGATATGCATCTATTTTTTATTTACGCAGTGAGAGCATCGACTCCGCCTCCTCCTATCTTTTGCGATCAGAATCTTTTAGGAGACCCACGTAATCCAAATTTGGTAGGCCGAGGAAGAACTCGACGGAGAATTCAAAGTGTGTGGATTATTAGAGTTCTGTGCAGCTCAATCAATGTACAAAATATTAGGTTGGCGGGAAAGTCTTTGTCACTCTGTTTGTTTAATCACTGTTCTCGTATATGGAGGCTGTGTATGATATCGACTCTAGTGAATAACAAGGTGATAAGAACCTTCCATATAAACAAGTCCCCATTTCCTTCCCTGCTCCTCATCTGTAATTGAAACGATATGTTTGTTCCCACTGCTATTCACATCAGACATGTTTTGATTTACCTCTTCCTATCTCACACCACGATGAAGGATTCGGAAACTTTCTTGAAGAATGTGTACAACACACATGCCCCTCACTACAATACTATTCGCAATTGGTTCCATCGTTTCGAAAAAGATGACTTCTCGCTCGATGAAAAGGATCGCTCTGGGAGACCCCGTGAGTTGGATTTGGACAAGCTGAAGCACGCATTGCAATCGGATCCATTTCAATCTAGCCGTGAACTAGCTGTCACATTCGGAGTTCACCATAGCACAGTCCTTGAAGGTTTGAAGTCTCTTGGAATGAGAAAACTTTTTGGTCGATTCATACGTCATCACCTGACTCAAGCCACCTTGACCGCCGAGTCGACGATTCGATTACTCTTCTCACTCTCCACGCGGGCGATCGATGGCTGGACCGGCTAATAACCGGAGATGAGAAGTGGGTCTTCTACGATAATCACCACAGGAAATCCCAGTGGGTTGGAGAAGGAGAGAGCCCACAGGATGTCCCCAAACCCGACCTTCATCCGAAAAAAGTTATGCTCTCTGTGTGGTGGGGAGTGGACGGCCCCATCTACTGGGAACTTCTGCCCGAGGGCAAAACAATAACTGGAGACCTCTACACTACTCAACTACGAAACCTCAAGAAAGCAGTCGACCGTTCGGCCCTGAAAGACAAGAAAGTGTACTATCAACATGATAACGCTCGCCCACATGTTTCGAAACAAGTGAAGCAGGAGCTGATGGGATATGGATGGAATGTTCTCCCTCACCCCCCGTATTCTCCTGATCTTGCTCCTTCCGACTATTGGTTATTTGGCGATATGACACGTGCCTTCGAAGGAAGAAGCTTCAATTCCCGTGGAGCGGTCGAAGCGGCACTCAAACAATACTTTGCCTCACGCCCGGCTGGATTCTACCGCAATGGAATCCATAAATTGAGGGAACGTTGGAGACATGTTGTTGATAATGATGGACAATATAATTAATTATTCGGTTATTTTTTCTTTGAGAAATAAACTATTGAAAAAGTGACAAAGACTTTCCCGCCAACCTAATAGCATAAACTGTTTATCACAAAGTTTTATTCAGGGAGAGGAGAGAGTGAATTTGACGAGCATCAGTTAACGGCGTAAGAGGCGTTGTTTAACGGTCGGATTCTGAAAAAAAGTCAGATGTCTTTTTCCTAATTTGAAATCAAACGTTTTGTGAGAGGGGTAATGCTGCAGCATTATCCCAACAACACGCTCAGGAATTTCGTTGGTTTTCAGTTACAAAATATAACATTTACCGACATAAAAAAAATGGAACTTTTATGAAAATTTCCTTTTTTGCTTCGTCGAGGTTGTTATTTTGATTAGGAACATTTTTACTCTTTTTTTTTTAAAAAAATGACGACTCACTCTCAGTCCCTGATTCCAATGATCGGATCCTCATCATCTTGCGGGATCTGGTTGGCTCCACGACGAAGAACCCGATAAATTTTCGCACGATACATGTAGACGATTTGTCCGATATTGAAGAGAACCAGAAGGCCAAAGAAGGCCAGAAGAATCTGCAGAATTTCATATGAATAGTCATTTTCCGACGTTTTAACTTACATCTCTCTCCCACTGACAAGAATGGAGATTTTTCGCACAGTTTTTGCTGGGCATTTTGGCGATTATCGACTTCTCAAGTTTCTGAAATTAAAGCGTGATATTGAAAAAATAAAACGAAGATAGGGTCGATATAAACCCCAAAAAATATAAATTCTTGTGAAAAAGAGAGAGACGCAGACTGTGGAAGAAAGAGGCCAGATGTTAGGGAGAAGAGAAAAGAAGAGAAAACGAGCGCAAAAAACTTCGCTCGCTTGTAAACAATTTTTATACTTAGCAATGGTTTTTTGAACAAATGAATTGGAAGGAGCACTGAATATGGCATAAAAGCTGATAACAACAATATTATAAACGAAGAATTTCGAAATAATAGCAAAATTACTTTATTACGAAATCCAAATTTGAAAAATTTAATCTGATTGCTGATTATCTAGGTGAACAGGCTTCAAAACTGGATTGCTTGGATCGGACCTCTCAATAATAACCACTCCAGGAATTGTTACTTCAGATGGTCTCTTCTCCTTTTTCGTCATATTTCGGATTTGATTGATTTTTTGCGACATTTTTTGGCTGATTCTTCGGAGGGTAAAACCAATCTGGAAAAGTGTCATGTGATGGAATTAAATAGATCCTATCAAGTCACCTCTCCAAGGTTCGCATCTTTGCTCTCGTTCAGAAAGAAAAATGCAATTAGAAAATGGATGATCGCCGCACCAAAAGCGATGAAAAGTGGCGCGGGTTCCCATTGTCGTTTGACAATTGTCTGAATAAAAATACACATTTTTGAAAATTCTGAAAGTTTCTACCATTTTCGAAGCAATGATTCCAGAAAGTCGAGAGAAAAATGAGCATGCTCCACTGATAGTTCCTCTCACTTCCGTTGGAACTTGTTCTACGACGCATCTGGAATATTTTTTTTCTAAACAATGAGCAGGCAACTTCTTATTCACGTGATTTTATGATATTATCTCCGCATACAAAGTGCACACACTCTCGCTATCTTTTTTCTCTCAAAATTTTTAAAACGCTTTTACTCTCGGCATGCCCGCTAGCGCGCCCCACTCTTGTGTAGACTTCATTCCGTTACACCTTTCGTATTTCATGCGGAGAGATGGCCGAGCGGTCCAAGGCGCTGGTTTAAGGCACCAGTCCCTTCGGGGGCGTGGGTTCGAATCCCACTCTCTTCAGTTCCTTTTTATTTTTTTTTGTTTGAGGAACTTACAGATAACAAGCGTCCCATATAAATTCTATAGATGAGTAGCCAATCAGAAACACAATCACATAGAGAGTTGGATGAGATTTGTGAAGACCAAGTACAATAAAAATTCCAGAAGCGCACATGGAGACACCATTAATGAAAAGGGAAATGAGATGAAGATTTCTACGACTGATGATCCCAAGATAAATTTCGATGAGTCCCAGGAGCTGGAAATATAAATTTTGTAAAAAAAAGGAGAAAATGAACCCACAATTTTACACAACGCTGGAACTCCAGCAAGTAACATCTGACTGTAAATCAAGTTATTTTTGAAAATGATAACTTCTGAAAAGTCGAGCATTGTGGCGGTAAAGTTAGTCATGATCCAGATAGCACCAAAAAGAATTATCACATTTCTGTACTTCTCCTTCCTCCAAATCTGGCAGAATGTCAATGGTTTGGATCTTATTCCAGTTGGCAGGGTGATTATACATTGGCCGTTAGACTTTTCAAATATGTCGGACACAATGGTTTGAGCTCTTTCTCGTTGTGCCTGGAACATTGAATTGAAATAAATGACATTTTATTATTTTACGTGGCACTGAAGATAAGTAGGACTTTCTGGGACAAATAGTAAGTAAAGAATGGCTCCAAATAATGTGAATCCAGCGCAAACATGGAGTGAGATCCTCCAGTTACGAGAGAAGAAACATATTAGAGCAAGAATGAACTTTCCGGTTGGCTGAAAAATGAGACTATGTAAATTACCGTAAATGCTTGCCACCCTACAAAATTTGTGCTCAATTATATCTTTTCTCATGAGAAATGTCTAAAATCGGACAATACACTATTTTCTGTAATATCTCTAACATTTTCATAGTCCACAGGTTTTTGATAGCATTCACAGAAATTGAGACACCGGAATTTCTGTAATAGAAACCCACTCAATCCGTCAACATTAAACTCAATTATCCTGTATTACTGTGAAAGATATCAAAAATTTGTCAACTGATAAGATGTTGATAATATTATGATTAGTAGTTTATCAGAAAGTTTTGGAATATTTCACAGGAATCGAGATAATTTTTCTCAAAATCGAAAAAAATTTATTATTACCCAGTTGGCAAAAGCTCTAGCTAGAAATCTAGTTCTCGGCGATATCAATTCAGTAGTAAGACTCCAAGAGACAACAATAATTGCTCCAGTTTGAGTTCCAATGATAAACCGGCAAATTGCAATTATAATTGTAGAAGATTGCAATCCTTCAAACAGTAAAACAGCCGAAGACACGAGAAGGCTGTACTGACAAACAGTTTTTCGGCCACAATGATCAGATATATACCCAAACAAGATGGACCCAACGAATATACCAACTTGCTGAATGGCAATTACGTTTTCCCACCAAAGAACACTGGTATCCTTTTTATCACTTAGCCATTGAGCATGTGTGGAGTAGAAACTGGAGTTTTGAGACTAAAAAGTGACATTTGGATCATTATGAATATTTTTTTCAAACTCACAAAACGGTAGAGATCATTACTCGAATAAGAAAGTGCTTCTTTAATGTAGGGGTCATCGGGATTCAATTGCTGGCCAAATGTGGAGTAAATTTGAAAGACATTTTGAACCATGAAAACCATGGCTACTTGAAATATGATTAGCATCCGGAGTTCATGACAGTTCAGCATGGTTAAGGGGAACCCCGAAAGTCAAGAAGAAGTCGAAAAAGAAACCGACTGCAACAACTAAGGCGGCGCTATTCCCGGAAGCTTTTTCCAAAAGTTTCGATATAAATGAATCATGATTCCAGAAAAACAATGCCCGTATTGTTTTCAAAAATGTTATTTCTTGATTTGAAAAAGGTGAGAAGCGGGAAACAGAAGCCGATGATTCAGAGTCCATGATGACCAACAAAGATCTGAAATGAAATCATAGCGGTGGTGGCATCAGAAGAACAATTGGAAATTGTTTCTCTTTTCACTTGAGATCATCACACAGAATCAAGAAGACAACCGTGATACCAAAAAATGTGATAAAGAAGGTACGAAAGAAACTGAGAAGTGTTGTCTCCTGCTGCGAATCGAATGTAACAAAACCTTCCCATTCTAACTGAGTATTTAGTTTCTATTGGTCTTTCTTGTCCAACTATATAATTTTCGAAAAGTCGAATGAGGTGAAGTTACCTGAGAAACACGTTATATCTTTTTTGTTCTTATTTTTCTGTGTCCAAAACAGCGCAAAACAAAACAATGTTCTCCTTTTCTGCCGACTCGCTTTTTGATGGTACCTATGAGATTTTTCCAAAAGATAATTACCCACCTGTCCTTTCTTCTCACGTCGAGAAGCAAAAAAAAAGTTTGCCACCCCTTTTCTCCCGTTGTCTTCAATTTTGGCGTCCGCCTTTCTTCTCATTTGTGACATCTGAAATCTTGGGCTTGGCAATGCCGTAAACCGTTCAGCTGTCACTTTTTGTCGTTCTCGCGACTTTGAGTAATTGATTCCAACGCAGTCAATTCTCGTAGTTATAACCTTTTTCTCTTTTCACTTTCCGATTTCAATTCGAGAGTCAGTTACGCTTTGTTGAGGGTGTGTAGTTTTTGTTGTTATTGTTGTTTTCCTTGACAACAAAATGACCGTTTCAGGTTATGGGAAAATGTATCTACTTCAAATCGTCATATTCTCACTAGTAACTGCATATTGTCGTTCAGCACTCTATGATGATTATAGACATGTAAGTAAAAAATTTAAGTTGTAAATTTCTGATTTCAGATATACTTCATTCTATTTGATTAGTTGTGAGATATCATGCTAACTTGTAACTACTTTTTCTCTGATTTTCCGTGACCCGGCGGGCCCGGAACCCGATAGGATTTCCACAAAAGTGATTTTTATAGCATATTCTAGTCTTTAAATTTTACAAATGAAGTTTTTCTGATACCGGGCATTGAAAAGCCTAATTCAGTCTTGGCCTCGCTCGGCCTTTTCTGGGCCGGTCTTCATTCAAAAATGTTTTTTATAAATAGAATTTAATTTGAAAATATAGAGATTTTTGATCGAATAAAGATCTTATCAAATTTTAAATTCGAGATGAGATTGGAATTTTTCAAAATTGAAAAAAAACTAGTTTTGTATCAAACCAACTCTCTATCACAGTACCGTATTAAAAATCTCAATTAACTTGTTTTAAAAATGAAAAAAATTATTGAAAAAAGGAAAATCGCGTGATGTATACTGATAACCAGCAAACATTTGAAATTAAAGCAAATTTGTTATATTGAAATATCGGTCACAGTATCGGACAAAAAGATATCATATTTTGACGTTGACAGTGTAAAAAAACAGCTTCGAAGCCCCTATTAATCAATGGAGAGTTTTCAATTTCTCTAAAAAATGTGTGCTTCAATTTTGTAGTCGACATTTCTGGTGAGAGTCAAATATCGTATGCAAAAAGTCCCAATACACGTTATAGGCTATTTATTTTTATACTAACTTGCCCAAACTACTTAGATCTTAGATTGATTTTCTAGGAAAACCTGTAGTTTTATAAAATAAATTCTCATCTAAAAATTTCCAGGCACAATTTATCCGAGACTGGGCTGCTCATTGCGTCGACAAATATCTGCCAAAGTATGATGCTCAAGAAGTAGGACCAGAAATCAGAAAATGCGATACAGAGCGATGCGTATACTTCATGTACAAGTACATCGCTGACAATCTACCTGAGAAATTCCTTGAGTTTGACATTTGTTTCGAGACCAACACTGCCAGAAAGTCATCCAGATCTCCATCAACGAACCCGGAACAACATTACACTTCTAGAAGTTAGATTTTGTAGTTTTCTTTTCTTAATAAACAATTGAACAAGAAAATGACTTCCTTCACCAGAGTCCGTCCCTCCAAAAAAAATCCAACATTTTTTCTTGTACCCGTCCGTCCAAGAAACCACAAAACGTTTCCCCAAGGGCTCATTTCCAATATCCATCACAGAAAACTAGTGATGATCGAAAGTTTTGAGGAGAAAAGTGTGAAGACCCCCCGTGCATAATTCTTTTCTTTTTTGCTCGGTGCTGACACGTCGTTCAGCAAGAGGCGACGACTTGCACATTTGTCATTTCGGGCGGACCGTCGCAATTCAACCGGGAATACTTTGGCCACTAGAGCCAGCCACTTCTTGTTTCCTATCGTAAAAACGTGTATGTATGTATGCACTCGGGAGAGTAAAAAAATTAATCGAAGTAAATTGAATTGTTTCTTTGGGGTGGCGCCGGTGACTGGCACAGCCAGCTTTTTGTGGATCACTGCTCCTCGCTTTCAGGTAATGAAAAAAACCGAAAAAGTGACTACATGAAATGAAAAATGTACTTTTTAAAGGCTTCAGTGTTGGTGAGAAGATTAAACGAGAAAAAAAACTGATCAATTTTGATAAGCATGAAACTGAAAAGCTGTAATAAATTTAGAAATCAGACTTTCAAAATTGCTCTTGATATTTGGAACAGGGATGTTCGGAAAGGGAATCGGAATACCGAAAAACCTGATCATTTTCAGAATGAAAGATATACGGTATATCAAAGGCACTTCGCTTAAAATTTCCTCGCGGGTCTCGAGCAGAATCAACTTTATTTGTTTTTTGCTTGAAACCTGGAAATCAGGATTTTTTCTGAAAATCTGATTCTTCTAATTTTTCAAATTTCTCAAGATTGGAGGATTCAGAAATTCAGAAGATCAGGAACTTCATCAGATCCCTGATTTGGGGGTTTTCAAAAACACATTTTAGATCTTTCGAGTCAGAAGCAAACATGTCTTACAACTATTTTGATACCAATAAAACTGGTACTGTTCCCAGAGAATTCAAATTTGTACAGCTGACACCTTTAAGACCCCAAATTCCACCAAACATGCTCGTCCACGGTCTAATGAGTAACCAGTATCAGGTGGTCCACGGTGTCAAATTGTGACAAAGAGGAGAATAAAGGGGATTAGACCAAAAATGCATGTGGTTATGCAAATCTGAAGAGTTTTACGAGCCACTCGACTTGCACCTGTTGCCAAGATATCCGTCCCCATTCCTATTGTTTGAAACCGTTTGTAATCTGGAGACTTTATTATTGTACTGGACAGGTTTAACAGGTAAAATAAGTGTTTTTAAAAGAGAGGAAGAGTAATGACACTGCTTTTTTTAAATGAAAATGTCAGGTGGTCTTCTCAAAATTGGAGAATGGATGTGGAAAGTGTATAGAGTTAGGTAGATTTGAGAGAGAGAAACTTCACAACCAAAGTATGAGAATTATGGAAACAAAAATAAGACAGAGAAATAAACAGGTAGAAAATAATAGTGCACCACAGAAAAATGGAACGTCATGCTCAAGGAAAGGAATATTTTCTTGTGAAGCCAAATGGAATGGTACTGCTACAGTACGGAAAAGTAAGCTATTTATAGAGGAAGAAGAAGAAACTAGATTGGATCAGGGTCACACGGATTCAGAGATTTTTGAAAAAAAAAACTGTTCATGAGGTTAGAATGAAGAATAAATAGGGAAATTTTTTGAACTTTAAATTAGTATCGGTGTGAAGTAATCTCTGGGCACTGTCCGAGTTTGTCCTTCTTTGAAAAGCGGAGAACCTGAAAATAAAGAAACAATTAATTTTTAAAAAATCCCTCGATTCTCACCTTATCCATTATATCGTCTTCCCACTCAACCAAAACAGTTTGCGGGTTGACAATCAATCCATCACGCTCGTGATCCGAATCATTCTTGCCTGAAACAATTTGAAATAATCAGCTATCAGATTAGCACCTCTATGTTATCTATTGTTCCACGCCTAATCCATCCTGTCACATTTAACACTTCACCCGCCAAACGCGCCGTCTTTCTCCCCCTCCGGACACTTAATTAGCATTTTTGGTGGTCATTTATCATTGGGTACTAACTATCCTCTCTATATCCTCCTTGTTCGTTTTCTCAGTGACAAAACAAAACACGGAAGAGAAGGAGAGGGAGACAATTGAATTGGAAAAATGGGTTGTGTAATGGACTTACCAAGGAGAAGATAACGACGTCCGACGCGGAGCTTCGGACACTTGCAAATGACACCTTGAGGGGAGATCCAGAGAGATGTCTCGCCGCGTTGAATGTTCTCGTTTCCACGTTTGAACACAGACTCGATGACGATCTTGTACTTTGCCCATCCATCAACCATCTCGCGGCTAACCACAACCATCTGAGCAGCTAGAAACGAATCGAATAAAAATTAGAATATCCTGAAAAGTATAACTTACCATGATCCCGCTTGCAATATTTCTTCTGGTTAAGTCTCTTCGGAACAATTCGGCACTTTGAACACTGGTCTGAAAATGTCATAAGGTTTTTTTTCCTGCCCAATATTTGCGTATAGTTAGTCAAGGACATCATGTTCCTAACTATTTGTTTACCTTGCTCCCCTGAATTCGATGATCCAATGAAATCTGCCTTCGTCGGAATTTCTGAAAAGATTCACATAGTTAGGAGTATTTGTGTTTGTTTATGTGTGTGTGAGGTGTTCAAATGTCATATGTAATTTGATTTTGTTTGAGAGGTTCCAACTCATTTCCCTTGGGAAGGCAAAAGGTGTCATTGAAAAGGCACCACCTCTCAAATTTCCCCCTCCGATCTTCAAATCAACAATAGAAAGAGAACTAAGCTATTATGCAAATCTTTGGGTCTTGGAGTTCCAATGTGCTTGTGAAAATCTCATTAAAACTTACTGATACATGGAGTGACAGTGGAACGGCTCTGTTGGTAGCCCTTCGCACAGCGGTTGCATGTGGTTCCAGTGACTCCAGGTTTGCACACACATTGTCCTGATGATTGATTGCAACTCTTTCCGAGGGATCCGACCGGGTGACAACCGCAAGCTGAGAAAAAATTATTGAATATGGAACATTTCGAAAACGGATAGGATTTTAAACTGGGTGATCTTAGAATAAAATACTATAAAATCTATAATAGAATGCCCTCCTAACATTCAATGTCGATTCAATTTTTTGGGTTAATGTCAAAGATATTGACACGTTGTCAACTGATAAGTTGTTTATCATAATATCAAGAATATTTTTTTCTGTTGACAAAATGTTGATATCTTTCACAGAAATCGGCAATTGAATTCAAAGTGGACGAGTTGGATGGGCTTCAATTAGGGCGAATACTGTATTCTGCATATTGTACAAAAATTGAGCAACAAAGATTTACTTGCTGCCCCGTCTGATCCCTTTATACAACTACCTAAATACGTTTTATGATTCGATCCCGGCCCCTGGATAGCGGAATCCCTACCAGCCACATCCTTCCTCCCAATTCTCCCCAAATTTCCAATAAATATCAATTTGTTGCTCCACCAATTAAAAACGAGCTATTCAATCCGAGCAACATTGTTCGAGAGAGGTGACACAAGTGTTGCGTACTCTCTTCTTCTTTTTCTTCAATATCTTTTCTCAATTGATAAGCTCAATAAATCTTATCAAACAAATGAGAGGATGAGGTAGAATGCGACACGGCAGTGATGATATCCCTCCGACTACCACACACCGAACAGCAATTTGTCCGCCAAGTCTCCAACACTTTTTGATAAACGAGCACACTGCTTCGTTGAGCACCATCACAAGTTGTTGATGAAGCAACTGGCGTCAGGGATGAAATTGGGATACGGTAATTTGACATCCGACAAGTGTATCTGGTCGTAAAGATTTGATTTTGTGGCATTTTGTTATTCCCCAGTCCGGATGAATTACAAATTAGATTTGTCTTTTTTTGTACTATATACTTCCTCCCGATCCATCTCTTTTACTTTTTTAGGTCGGAAAAGCAAAGTGTTTGTAGGTAATTGCGGTTGAGGGGTGAGAAATTGAAAGGGGTATTATGAGGTGAGCGATGATGTGCGTATTATGCAATCGTCGCCCTCGCCTTATATTTCCCTATTCAATTCGCGTCGGTGACCATCCAAGGCCAAAAAAAATGGTGGCGGGAAGAGACGGTGATCCCTCTTATGGGTGTCTTCTTTGGAATGGGAGGAAGCATCATCTTGTTTCCCATGTCTTTTGTATTTGTTTTGGCTAATAGCACATTAAGCTTGCCTGACCAAAGAAAAAGGTATCGAAGCGGAAAGTCCGCAGATGGATGTGGTGATAATTTTATGTTTTTTATTCAGTAGCCAGAGGCGTCAATGAGGGAAGGTTGGAAAAAAAAAACCTAAAGGCCATTAATTTGTATACATCTGCAGTTTCTGGTTAATCTTGATTTCCGATTCGAATTTCAAAAAAGGAATTTGTTCAAAACAAAGAGCTCTTTCAGAAAAATCCCTCTAAAAACAAAGAACTACTCTCCATTCTCATTGTCTCGTTTTTTACAAGCCCCTAGAGACCTTCATACCTCCTGGTCAGCACTTTTTTCGACCTCTTCTCAATATTGTCTCACTTTTTTCTCCTTCTGAAATCTAATCAACAAGGAAAACTACGAAGTAACCAGGCGTGTGGTCACTTTCTTGGCCTTTTGTCCACTCTCACTCGTTTTCTTCTTCATCTCACTCAATTCCCAATTTTGGCAACAAACACTGCCCAAAATTCAATTTCCCTCCTCCTCCACCCTTTGTTGGCTTCTAGAAGTTTTGAAGGATGTGTAAAATGGGAAAAAGAAGAAGAAGAAACAATTGGAAGCAAAGTGCTATACAATCGGTGGTGGTGGTCAATCGAGGAGCCCGGCAGGAGAAAACGGGAAAGATGTGTTTCAATTACGTAACATTGGTGCTTGAGAAGGGTGCTTAAATTGGGACCCCCTTCTCTTTTTCTTTTAGCCCCCAGAAATTAGTCGCTTCATGACCACCACAGGGATAAAGGTTCTTGACATGGGCCACTTCACTAGATCCCCACTGTGTTTTTAGGATATTTGACATTGTTTGGGTTAGGTCATACAGAAAGAAGGTCCCAAGGGCTCCAAGAACAAAAACGAAGGAGATCGAAGTCGTCGGGTTGATAAATGACGTTTCAACGCTTTGGTCGGTTAAACTTACATTTACAGGCTTTACGATGAGTCATTGGTAGCGAAGTGTCTCTAACGAATCCAGGTTTGCACAAGTGACAATTTCTTCCTGCTGTGTTGTGTCTACAGTTTAAGCAGACACCTCCCGATCTGAAATTTCAAACTTTTTTTCCCCTATTCCGTCTACCATTTCAATCTAACCGGTTTCCACTCAATCTGAAGAGCTCAGCGTCGAATCGGCATCTCTTTGCGTGTTGGTTGCAGTTGCAAGCTGGAATTTTCAATTCATCATTCAATAATCCCGAGGCTTCGGTTGATTGTGAGCGCCTCTTCGTATTCGTCCAGTTTATTTACAACCGGCGGGCTATTAATCTAGCAGTAATTCATGCAAGCAGCACATGTCTATGTATGCCTACCGTAGGAATGTTCATTCCCATCGCACATCTATTAAAATAGGCCGCTTCTACTACATATGGCGCTTCTGACAATCACACAGAACCTTTGAAAGGGACAGAATGTTGGTTCCAAACACCTTTTCACTAACTTTTCACACCTCGTTCGTCATATACATACTTAATCCAATATATATTGACGTCGGCACGGGGGGACCCTATATTCGGAACGGTTGTTTGTATATCGCCTAATACAGGGGTTCGGAACAATGTACTTCCCCAGAACGCATCACCTGTGTGTGCATACTAAACGAGGTAACACCGAGCAAAACAAGTTATGCGGGAGTTTCTACATGATTTCGGAGTCCCTTAATGTTTGAGGGTATCCAAAAAGAGCCTAGTCGGCATCAGAAAGGTTTTTTGGAACGAATTCAAGAGGGTACTCAGCTTCATCGGCAACAACAGGCCATCAGATGCGCGTTTTGACCCGCTTTTTCGGTATGGGAAAGCCGTACGGAATATGATTATTATAATAGTCATTTGATTATAATTCGCGTTTTGTCTTGTCCGTGACGCCGTGTATCTAATATTCTCATTTGTTTTTTGATAGCATCATAATTTTTAATGATCTGGACTTTTCCTCCTCGCACCGGTGCTAGAAAACCCATGAAATTCCTTCACATATGGAAGAATAGATCCCGACCTAATTTCGCGCAAAAATTTTTGAAAAGGAACGTAGAGCGCGTTAACACAAAAGTGTGGAGATAGATATCCCGTGGTTTCTCGCGCATTGTACTTTGCATTGACATTTGTAATGAGATGGAACGGATCGGGGGCCTCAGGCATTGGCATTAATATCCATTGAGATATTGGAACGCGCGAGACTACCTGTATGTTTGAGAAACAACTAATCGGCTGAGTGCGCGAAAACAGAAAACGTTTCATTTTCCTCAAACCCCACTTACCGACGCAAGAGTTGGCTGAGTTGGCAGTGGCTCTTCCCCATGGACGATCGTAATGGAACGGTTTGCACATTTCGCATTCGGTTCCCGCTGTATTATGTTTGCAGTCACATGTATACTGAAATAAAAAATATCATGTTCGTGTACTTATGAGTAATAGAAAAAAATGAGAAAGAGGTTTCGATGACTAACTGCTTACCCGGCCCATTTTGTCAAAGATGCATCGGCTGGCGTGACCATTACATTTGCAGCGACCACCAACTGCAAGTTCTCCCATTGAGTAGAAATAACGTTGTTTGACTTCGTCGTCGGTATCGTTTCCATATGAATTGACATCGTTAGACAATCCGTATAGTTCAGCCTAAAGTCTTTGTTTTTATAATACAGTACTCTTTTTCTATGGATACCTGATCTGGGCTTAGTCTAGAGAAGACCACCTTGATATCAGTGGCTGTGACCCAATCCTGAAGTACCGGCGAGTTCTCAAAGTTTTGGGCAGATGGTCGATTCTCCAGGAATGGGAACGCAACACGGTTTCCACCTGGCCCCATAATGTGTGAAGCTGTACAGACGGCTTCTTGCTCGTTTGACTTGGTGATACTAACATCCGGTTCCCGGCCAAAAATTCGTCGGCATTCAGAAGAGTAAAATTGGAAGGGAGTCCATGTTTTTCCAAAGTCGGCCGATTTGTAAAGTGCCATCGAATCCGGGAGACGAGAACAAAAGTGCATTGAGACGTAAGTGAGCTCGAACTTTTTACCGAGTGACAAGGTGAGTGACACATTTTGTGGGCTCAAACTTGGAGTGGAAACCCAGCACGTCATGTTCCCAATCGAGTTCAAATCGGTGAGGAGAGAAGCTGGATGGGATAGAAGAGGATTGCGAGCGTCACAAGTGTCACACTGTTCACGAATAATTCCATCTGGACCTTCTTTGACAGTACAGAATCTAAAAACAACAGCTAAATATCTTTTTTCTCTATTTTTCATATTGACCACATAGCTGTAGCTGTCCAAGCACATTTTTCAATCTAATGCATACTTGTAGCTTGCCCAATACAATCTTAATCAAAAAAGGCAATTTTCAAGACGGCGAGAAAGGGGTCTACAATGTTTGTTATAGAGAAAACGGAGAAACTAAACCTTATGGAAACTAAAAAAAAAAAGGAAATCCAATTAGAGTTTTTTTTCGAAGATGAAAGGTTCTGGGCAAGTTGAAGGAAAAGAAGAAACAAAAAAGCAAAATCAAGTGAGTGTAATCATGTTAAGGAAGAGAGAAAGGTAAATAATCAATCAGTTGGAAGAATAGACAAAAAATGAAATAACGAGATAAAAAAGAAAACATTTACTTACTTGGATGGGCCGTTAGTTCCACAAGTGTCACTGGCAATCACTGGTTTACCAAAGGCGGCATTGATAAACTCAGGAACACATCGGACTGGTCTTCCGGTATGATCATGGCAAGGATCATGGTCAGGAGCTCTCATTGAAAACTGAATAAACAATTAAAACTCGATTAAATCCCAAAAATTATACCTGAGAAAAATAGGCTCCATGAGCTATACCTAGGCAGAGGTAGAGCGCTAATCCGTAGCGGATCATTTTGTTAGAAAGCCTCAACCGCTACTCCCACTGGAACGGGTAGTAATAGCAATCTGGAAGAAGCGATATGCAAACTAGACAAAAAATTTTAGAATGGTAAATTCGAAAAAAGTGAGAAAATGAAGGAGGACGATGGAGGAGGAGGGAAGAATCGGGAGTAAACGAGGAAACGAGACGGGGAGGCAAAGGAGAGGCTGGGAGAGAGGGGGGCCCACGTCTCGGGTGAAGGAAGGAGGTGGGGCTTGTCGGAATAGAGGGAGAACGAAGAAGACGGCCTCCGGGGCGGGCACTTATTCTGCTACCGTATGCCGTACCACCAAGGGTCCGAAATAGGGAAAATAATAGGGCCAGCATCAGCTTTATTGCTGTATTCATATTCATGAGTTGATCATTTTGCCAGTTTATAGGTTTGGGAAAAACCAAGATGAATATGAACGAGGGACTGAAAGTGAATTTAGGCTGGTGTGAAAAATTAAGACAGTCAGTAAACTTCATACTGATTCTCTATTATTCGAAAAATCACATGTATGACTATGATCTTTTCTCACAAAAGTTCAGAGTGGAAACAAAATTTTGAAGTTCTATTCCATGATTTTAATTAATGTAGCCGAAATGAAAAGAATTTTCAATTCTCTCTCTGTAATGATATGGACAATTTTGTGTCCTGAATTTGTATGCTTTCTATATTTTCATTTGAAAAAACAACCACGCTGTATTGAAAATTTTTAAGATTGATGAATAATGGGATGTGACTTTAGATTTTTCGGAGTAAAATTCATTTTTTCTTTTCTGGACATGCTCGAGTAGGCATGCTCAATTTTCCATGTCTCTATATATATTCCTAGATTTTTTTGTTTTCTACCTTCTTCCTGTAGACAGCAGCATGCTGACTTAACCGTATCCAATAGGCTTTAAGTGGGATTAACCCATCACTCTTTACAATAACTCATCGCAACCGACTCTTCACCGGGTGACGTGGAACTGTATGAGAATTCAGTGCAACAATGGGCGATGAGTGACTCAGCTGCCATTGGGATTAAGGGTGGGACAGTGGAGAGGGCCGTGACAGGTGATCCCCCTTAATTTTTGTTCCTTTGTATTCTTATATGGTTAGGATGGGTATGAGAAGTGTAATCGGAAAAAGGTGTTGAAAACTCCATCTCAAGAAAACTTGAAAGCGGCGAAACTATCTGTGAATTTCGATGAATTATTCAGTGGCAGACAAGGGATCGCAAATTGAATTCGTTCTTCTTTTCTTACAATTTCTTCCCTTCATCATCAGTCTTCTTTCGGGTTTCACACGTTTATCGCAAACTATCTAAAGCTTTTTACTACCCGCGGCGCGCGACCCTTCCCCCCTCCTATTCTCAGGACTTATTCATAATGTATAACACGGATTAGCAAGCTCGTTTCATTAGAATATTGAGAGTTGATGTAAAATTTCAATGAAACATATGCCAAGAATAGGAAGGACACGAGAGGAGAATGAAAAAAACACATGTATTTTCTAGATGGAAAAAAAAACTTTTAGCTAATCAGTTTTTTTTTTCTGAACGAAAGATCTGCTTAGGTATGTTCATAACAGTGCCGATTTTCCATTTTCTCCGTCAATAAATCTCATTTCCGACAGACCACCTATCAATCTCGTTGTGGTAAATGAAAAAAAAGACTGATGAATGCATGAGCCGGAAGTTTACCTCAAAGCGTCGGCGTCGGCATCGCCTTGACAATACTTACACACAATACTAATTGTGGACGATTCATTGTGAGAAATGGAGGTGTGCAATCACTCAATTCGGACTGATGTGACATGTTTCATCCTTTGAAGACGGTTGAAGGTATGAAACAACATTCAATAGGATGCATTTCAATTGCGTCGTTTCTTTTGAAACACAGTTCATAACTGTCACGTTGAAATGGGTAATGGAAAGAAATGTGGGTCGGTCAGTAAAACATGTTTTGACAAAATTACCGAACTTTGAATTATTCCTAGAAAAGGCCCAATCCGAATGTTGATATTTTCAGATAGAACGAGGAAATTCAAGATTTTCGGAACAAATGATTCGACATTACATCTAAAATTACTTACGTCTTCCGATTTCAGGAATTCGTTACTTGCCGTTATAGCTGTAATCGAAAAACATATCAATTTATCTAGGTTCATGTAAAATATATGAAAAAGTAATCAACTAATAAATTGTTTATCATAATATAACAAACATTTGATCAGTTAACAGATTTTAAAAAACAAACCGAGATATATAAGCTCAGAATTGTAAGTTTGGAGACCCTCCTATTACAGCTTCTAGGGATTCTATCAAAAAAAAAAGTATTCGAAAATAAATTTACAGAACTCCTGTGCAAAAACAAAAGTACCAAAGTCAGAATCAGGGATTTTCAAAAGTGAATAACTGTTAACTCCTTTGTTTTTAGTCGTACCAACCTGTTTGGCACTCCTCTGCAATTTCCTAGTTTATATTCGTTTGTTGCTTTGCTCCTCACTCTCTATTAGAAAGTCAAAAAAACTTATATTCAATTCTCAAGCTTTTCAGAATGTGCGGAAAAACAGAGAGATAGATAGAGAAAAAGACGCAACTTCATTTATTTTTTATAAGTATGATGTTATGGAAATGTTTTCGAAATCAATCCAATATAAAACAAATTTCTGAATTCTCGAATTGCTCACTGTTTTCCACTGTTTTCAAACATTAAAGGAGGGCAGACAACAAAAATTTCGGGGAAAATTTCAGGGAATGTGTATTTTGCCGTCGCGGTGTTCGCACCTAAAGCACGCAATCCCACGCGCAAACATTTTCATTTTTTTATTTCCCGACTTTATTTTTTTCATTTTTTAACGAATTCAAACATTAAAAAAGCTCTTTTTTCTTATTTATTATAAAACCCATATAAAAGTGAATTTTTTATGTAAATTTAAAGTTCTATCGACCGATTATTTTGCCAGTCAAACTGTTTTATGACTGGGGTTTTCAGAGACGTCTCCATTTTTACTGCTTCCTTCACCTTCCGACGACCAGCCCTGCACGAGGATTGTTTTAATTATTTGGTTTTTTTTTTTCAATTGTTATGTCTCTTTCTAAAAATTAATTGTAGTTTTTTTCATAATTTATTTGTTAACATAATAAAACAAGTTTCTTCATTTTCAACTGATTTTGGTACCTCGGAGCGAGGCCTCGGCGGCACGCTGGTAGCCCTTCAGAAACTCCGAGTTCAAAAAGTTCAATCCGAAGGAAACAAGGGAAGAAAAAAGTAAAAACACCAGCAGGGATTGAACCTCTGACCTCCTGAATACTGGCCTAGAGCGTACCCACTATACTACGCGTGTAAGAGGCGACCATCGCGTTTTTCACATTATGAAGCGACGCCGCAGCAGCAAGCTAGTGAAGAAATTAGGGTGACAAAAAAGAGCATTTTTTCGTCCTTGAAGCGTTTTTTTCAGGTTTTTAAGTACATAGCTATATTTATACTTCAGAGTTATATCTTTTGAGTAAAAATGAAAATTTTGAAAATTTTGATGTCTACCCTCCTTTAAAGTAGCATCGAAATCCTTTAAATTAGCCTTGTTTCAGTAAAAGTTTGTTGTGGTGATTCACTGTTTCTTGTATTTTCGCAATTTCTCATTGAACAGAAATCTGTAGATTTCCTGGATTCAAACCTGACCCGAAACTCATCTCCCAAACGAAGACCAATCTCAGGATGAGACCGAATACGTCTTTCATTCATCTAGATAACCATCAATAACCCCGTGTGTGCTCATCTCCCCGCTTTTCGTTAATTTAACTGTTGCCCATCCCCCATCTCTCCTCCCCATGTCAATTTCCGGTCATCGTATTTGGTCCAAGATCAATTAACCGATAAAGCCCTTTAAGAAAAGAGAAGATACTATATAATAGTGACATGATCCAATTTGCACATTGTTGTTGGTGTCAAGTGTTGTTATAGGAAGGGAAACTTTAGGGTTGAAAAAGGGAGGGACAGAGATTTTTAGCATACTCAAAAAATTAAGGCCCGACACGCTGGTCAGGCCGGGCGGGGAGGCTGAAAATTCAAAGACCCGGTAGTCCTTGGTTTTCCGTGTTTGCAAAACATCTGAAATTTCAAAATGTTTTCAATTTTTTTGTGAAAGTAATATTTATTAACAACACTCCGTTCTTTGCAAAAAAAATATCATGAAAGCCATGGAAACCTTGGAAACTAAAATGAAAACTCATGACTCGGCTCCATTCCTAAAAATGAATATTCCAAACATAACATTCCGTTGTTTTGCTCAAGAATAATCTCAAACATTCTTAATAAAATCTTGTGAATTTACAGTAGTAGAAAGATTGTGACATCAGCCAGAACTATATTCAACAAATTAAAATCCGCTGTGCTTTTGAACGCTACTATAACAATTGTGGATTATTGTGAATCAAATGTCCGGCAGAAATTGCTTGTTAGTTGGACGCAGACATTATTTGTTGTCCGTATATGGCATTTGTTCTTTTCCTCTCAGTTCGATGCTTCAAATCCGTTTGGTTGGAAATATGTGATGACACTAAAAATTGTTAATCGAAGAGTGAACAACCTTTGAAGCGGGACAGATTCGCAAAATGAAATGATCATATGATCTACTCATTTTCACGGCTCTCATCATCTTACTTTCACATTTGAATCTCATAATTCTTTCTTTTTCGAACTTTTACAGAACACACTCATTTTAAACCGACTTATAACGAAATACTGTCTAAAACACCACACACCAAATGTTCTTCCCTCCAATTTTCCTCGGGTTTCCTAATGCGTTTCGGTGTCTGTTACCGTTGTGTCTCTTTGCTGTCAATGGCTTTATTTTCTGTGATAACAACTATGGAAAACAATCGATTGAGTTATTTGAATGTTTACTGAAAACAACCTTTCTTCTTATGGCTTCAAAAATTTCGAATCGCTGTTATCGATTCTAACCAATTTTTTGTAAATTTTCATGAGTTTGCTACATTTTTTGATGTTGGAAAATTTATGAGTTCTATTGTTCTTTCGATGTTCTGTTATCACATTTTTTCAAGCAGATAACAGATGGTAACAAAAATCATCAATTATATGATTTTCGGTTTTTATGGAGCCATTCTAAAAAAAATAGTTTTCAGTCGTCATTTTTCAGTTTTCTGTCGTAGCCGATAAATGGAGTAGTCAAGCCCAAAAGTTTATGATTACTGATTCTTGGAATTTCGCTGGTTTTTGAGCGGCTTGGAAATTTCACGGACCACCGGGAAATTGCATGCGTAAAATTCTGCAACCGAATAATTTTGGATGACATAATTTTGATCAGCATTTTTGTCATAATTTTTTGAAATTTTGAATATACGCAAAAAATAAAATAAAATAAGCAGATTACTGACCTCATGGCTGTGGACTTGAAATATTTTTTATGTCGCCCTACATCTAATAATAAAATATAAGTTTTCAAATTTCTTTTTTTAAATTTCCCTCTATTTTCAACGTGATATTTATGAATATTGTCATATGCTGATAAGGTCAATAATAGGAGGGAAAAAGAAAATGATCGAGAGAGCCTGACCATTTGATATCATAACATTCTATCAGAAAATTAAAACTTTGCACTCTATTCTTGACTTTTCGAGCCAATTACTTCATTCACTTTGAATTTTTGAAATAAAAATTATTTATAGATTCAAAAATGAGTGTGGACAAAAACGAAGAGACGGGAGCAACAAAAGTGTCAACAGCTAGTCTTCCAGCGCTCCCACAGGTTGTGAATTCCTTATTGATAACCGTTTGAAAAACAAAAAAACTACTTCTAGCCATCGTCAAGAGCGCCTTCTACATTGAATTTGTTAAAAATGACCAGCAGAAAGGTAAACAATTTTTTGTTTTAGTCGGAAATTTTAATTTTCTTATTGATTGCAGGAGCTAGCGGAATATATTATCATGATAATTGTGAATTTCGCAAACGTTGGTCTTGTTCTTATCAAAGTGAGTATGTTATGATTTTTTCTTAATCACAGGAAAAATTTCAGGGTGTCGCTGCATATGTTTCTTGCAGTTTTTCAATTGGAACATCTGCAATTGAGAGTTTTGGAGATGTATTCGTCAGCATTTTGTTGCTGGTTCAACTTTGTTTGGTAAGTAAATCGTCAACTACTTTTATGAGACAATCAATCATCTTAGGACAAACGAGTAAAAAAATCAGAATACCCCAGAGGAAGGTCATCAGAATCTACAACTAATGTGAGTTAAGAGAATCAAGATTTTTTGAGAAACCATTAATTTTCAGCTCACTGCATCTGTGGTTATGATGGCTTTGGCGTTTGTAAATTTTATTCAAAGTTTTGATGCATTAATTACAGGAAAGTGAGTAGATAAGCAGAAAACTGAAAAAAAAGTTCAATTCAAATTTTCAGATTAGAACCGGACTTTGGACTTCCTCACATTCTTGTAATTGTCGTGAACATTCTAGTAAAAATATTCTTGTTTTTCGTATGTCTATTGTGAGTTTCATCTTTTTTTTCTAATCAATTCTCAGTCCATAGATTTTCAGAAAAAGAGAGAACAACCAAATCAGAGTTTTGATGAGAGACCAGCTGACTGACGTGCTCACTAATAGCATTGCACTTATCGCCGTTTGTATTTCATACACAGTGTGGAAGGTAGATCGAAAATTGATTGATAATTTCATCAAGTTCTTTTTTAGGAGTGTGATTTTATTGGAGCCACAATAATCTTCTTCCTGATTGTCAGAAATTGGGCACCGATTGTTTCCGAATCATGGTTCAAGCTTCAAGGAGTCAAGGGCAGTAAAGATATCAATAAGAAAATTGCAGACGTAATTTCTTGCCGAGGATTAAGAAAACAATTTGCTTTCTAATTTCAGCTTCTATCCACTAATCTTGGTCTGTTCTCTACTCTCACTGGATATGCCACTTATCACATCGGAAACAAAGCTATTGTTGAAGTGAGCGATTAGTGTAATCTTCATTTGTTTTATTTGCCAATTTTCAGATCTATTGTGAAACTGAAAATTCCGAAAAACGTGCTGAAATCCTTTCAAAGTTTGTGGATGACGAGATCCACGCTGTTTATCTTCTACCCGTTGAAGAATCTAAGGCAAGCAGAGTTACAGTAGCCCTCTATAAATCAAGTATATATTTCAGCATGTGACCCTGAAGACACTCCCAGTTGAAGGAGACAGTGACAGGACGGCGGAAACCGATGCTGCAGTGCAGCTACTTCAGAAAGTGTAGATACTGTATCTGTTCCCAAACTTGATAACTTTTGTCTGTATTGATTGCATAACCTGGTGAAATAATCGTGTTGAATATTTGGTTTTTGTGCTCAAATCGAAGAATCGTCGAGAAAATTATAAGAAAATTGGAGGCAATAAGGAAGCGCGCAATCAAGTCACAGACTCCAAGAGCGATTATCTCAAGATCTAATAAAATCTTCGGTATGGGAGCCCCAATTTTGTTGAGATAATCACAGGGACCCAAATGCCGCGCGCATGTATCACCTAACAACCGAGACACGCCCATTCACAGCAATTATTTTGGACCCAACCCCTACACCTGGATTGACTTTCAATCATTTTTTATTTTTGTAAACCTTCCCAAAAACCCAAGAATACGAGTGAACTATCTTGACTGTTCCCGAGAGAAGCAATGAGGCCTAAGCTCACCTTTGCTTTTCTGGGGTGTTTTCTTCCATTCATCATCAATATCGCTCTTGTTGGCTCAACAACCTGGCTCGTGATCAAGGATGAGGTAACCCGTCAGTAGATTTTCAGTTGTTCCGTTTTTTCAACTCATCAGTCTTTAGAGCCCGCTAGTCGTTGTGATTCTAATCACGATGTCACTGTGCGTTACTCTTGTCCTCATCAAAGGCCTGCATCATTACTACACGGAGTTGCACGGAAATATGGAATCTGGACCAGCGCGTCGCCTTACGGCTCGATACATCATCAGAGAGCCAGAGGAAATGGTGACACTCACTCATCTTCATCGACCACTCGGAAGGTCGTGGACAGTTCCAAATCGACCAACGTCTCCAGTGCCGCCTCCGAGCCCACCTCCACCTACTCCTCGCACTCGTGGGGCTCGCTATTTAAAGCAGTGAGACAGTAGGTGAGGAGTTGAACTGAAAAGTCAAATTTGGGAGCCAGGTTACACTACCAACAATTTTTTAAACATTTTTTTTATCCGGGATAGTGAGTTTCTTGACACTCAAAATTTATTTTTCAATTAAACTCTAATCTATTCTCCATGAGGCTCCCATTATCACACTTCCTTTTCTCTCTGACTTGAAATACTCAATCCTCTGTCTTATTATGACAAGAGGCTACTTCCTTGAATCTTTTTTTACCCAAAGCAGTTTTGAGCGGTATGGTTGCATATTTGACTTGACCCCCTGTAGGGGAGCATACTGTTTTTGGGCCAGTTCTTCTTTTTTTTTCGTTCTCCGATTTGACAAAACCCCAGCACTCTTTTTTAAATCTCAAGTTCAAGCTTCGAGCGGTATGGGTCATACAGTACTGGCCATAAAGAATGCGACAACTTGTTTTTTGAAGATAACTTTTTGAAAACTCAACTTTTCAATCCGAATTTTTGGTAAGATTTTTTCAGCACTATCAAAAACTTTTAGGCTAAGTTGGTTTTAATATTCTGCTACAATTTTTTTGAAAATTAATTTTTTTCGAAAATTCATGAAAATGACATTTTTGGAGATCTATACAAAGAAGCTCAAGAAACACCGGAGGTCAAAAACAAAATAAAGGTAACAATAAAAAGTGATTTAATATTTCGTTGGGTATCCTTTCGCATCGATAACAGCCTTGCATCTACGTGGCATCGACTCCAGGAGCGTCTGAACCACCGTCATCGGGATACTCTTCCAAGCAGCTTCGAGTTGAGCAAACTTTTGATTGGCATTGGATGCTCTGACTCCTTTGAGGCGGCGTTCCAGCTCCTCCCACATATGCTCGATGGGATTCAAGTCTGGAGATTGACTTGGCCATTCTAGGAGGTTCACACGGTGACGTCTGAACCAATTGGCGACATGACCCGAAGTATGCTTCGGGTCATTATCCTGTTGGAACACCCACGATCGGCCCAAATTTGCTCTTGCCCATGGTCTCATTGTGTTCTCCAGGATGTCTTCGTACACATATCGATCCATGGTTCCAACGATTCTCTTCAATGGTCCCATAGAAGTGTCGGAGAAGCATCCCCAAACCATCACAGATCCACCTCCATGTTTCACAGTTGGACATTGGTACTGTGGAGCATACCTGGAGCCAATGGGACGTCGAATCCACTGAATACCATCAGTTCCGAACATATTGAACTTCGATTCATCGCTCCAGATGTGATTTGCCCACTCACGGGGGCCCCAGGACAAGTGCTGTTTAGCCCATTCAACGCGAGCTTTTCGGGTTTTCAAACTGACGAGTGGTTTTTTGACTGGTCTTCGTCCGTGCAGTCCAGCAACTGCAAACGTCTTCTAATAGTTCTTCTCGATGGTACCGGTTCATTTGGAGACGTCACAGAAATTTGAATATCCGTAGATGTGCGTCTAGGATCTTCTCGGCATGCGCGCAAAATGTTCCGATCCATATTTCTGGAAGTGGTTCGGGGTCTTCCTGGAGATTGGCGATGAACAACGCCATTCTAAATTGTTAAATTTAGTTGAGAAAGCTGATTGAAACCTCACATCATCTCGATTTTTCTTCAGAATACGGTAAATTTGGCTGGAAGAACAACTAAACTGAGTTGCAAGTATCTTCGGATGCGCGCCGAGTTCATGACCACGCACAATGCTTTTTCGCTCGTCCACAGAGAAGGATTTTTTCCCGAATGGTCTAACCATATCTGAAAAACAATAAAACAATAACTAAAACTAATTCCAATTAGTTGTCTTTCAACTTTATTTAAAAAAACCAAAAATCATGAAAAATATGCAAAATGAAAAAAAAAAGAAAACAATTGAAAAAAAATTTTGTTTGCAAGATGATGCAATTTCCAAGTACGCAAGTTTTCGTAACTTTCCAATGTGTCTACAGTAAAAAATTCGAGTTGAAAAGTTGAGTTTTCAAAAAGTTATCGTCAAAAAACAAGTTGTCGCATTCTTTATGGCCAGTACTGTATTTGACTTGACCCCCTGTAGGGGTGCTCACTTGAAATTCATTTCTTTCATCCCGAACATCTGACAGACAGTATTTTTTCCCGACTAAAAATTTTACTGACAACGAATCCATTGCATTTTATTTTCTGATAAACTTCTCGCCAGCTAATGTGTTAATAAATAAACTTGCATTCAAAACTCGGTTTCAATTTTTTTTTTCGGATATTCAGACTTCCCAGGTTTTCAGATTCTCACTGTTCTGATTTTAACTTCTTCAGATTTTTACTTTTTCAGATTTTCAGATTTCAGATTTTCCAGATTTTCGGAATACATAAATAATTTCAAAAAAAAAGATTAAATTAGAAAACTGGAAAATTAAAACGGCAAACTTTTTTCAGATTAAAATATTCAAGTCTCATTTTTAGCAGTTCTACATTTCAGTAGACGACGTCTCAATTTTCGATTGTATTCTAATTTTTGAATTTTTAAAACACTTCAAAACTTGGAGAGCTTTTAATTTTTCGATGTTCATTGTCTCAAGATCAGGCTTTAATTATTGATATTTTTGTTTCTGAGAATGTTAGGAATTTGGGCTTTTAAATTTTTGGAATTACCATATCGAAATTCCAGTTTACAAAGTTTGCGATTTCAGAGACGCTCTTATGTTTGCTAACCGTCATTTTTCAGAAATTTATAAGCAACCTGGAATACTATTTCAATGTTACCAAACTGAAAGTATCTACACTTTACTCCATTTAGTTTCCTACAAAGTGGGTTTGTTGAGGAAGTGAATTCTAATGAAGAGAAAGTCGCAACCGCGAAAGTAGTTCCACGGCTAATCGAAATACCACCACCTGTTGATCCGGAAAACCAGAATAGACTTTTTTTGTGAAGCTTTTGCACATCTGGAATGATGGTGTCGTTAAATATCACAAGATGTTGAAAGATCTGGAATTGTTTCTGAACAGGAAGTGAAGTCAGAGAAGCATTCCACATGGAAAAACAATCTTATCAATTACCAAACTGTCTTTATACGTTCATACAAATGAATAATTTCATTATATTGTTAACGAACACTGTTTCATTCCTCCGCCATAACCTGATATAGTGTAACAGAATATGCCAATTGGCGGCATTTTCACGGGCATCAAAAGGGGAAAAAAGAAACGGGGTGGGAGGTGGGTGGATCATGTTTTTTGACCATATACAACAAACGGTGGATATATCTAGTAACGGCGTTCAGTGCCTTTTGATCAGTTAGAAAACATTTCTTTTTTATGCCTGATAGTTTTTTTTAGATCAAATAGATTTTATTTAAATCCAACTTTTTCTTAAATAACGGTCATCCTCAATTTCATTTTGTTACGTGAAGCTAAACCACTCTACATAAAAATCGTGGACTTCACCAAAGCGAAAAATTGCGGCTTGTTGCCTTCTGCTGGTAGAAATGAACATGAGGGACTGGAAAAACACCTGTCGAGATAGTCATCCCGAGAAGGAACCAGCTAATGGATTTCACGCTCGTGGTCATCATTCCGTCTAGCAGTATCTCTTTTTTGGTCGATCACCACATCCCTTTCCGCCTGCCATTCTACAAATGTTTCTTTTTCATTTTCTTCCCTTTTTTTTCTTGGGACTTGTTTAGGCGGCATCCTTTCTTTTGATGACTTGAAAATGACTTCACGAAAGGTATAAATAAAACAAAACGGCAAAGAATTGGGTGATGAGATTCTTCTTTGACGAGTTTTCTGGAATAGAGAGACGTGGAGATTATATTCGGATTGGTTGGAACTTGTTCCATGAATTATATAATTTTATTGTCTTTAGAGATATTCGGTTGATTCAAAGTATAGTTTGTTCTTCTCTAGGCATGCTTGTTTTTGATGAATAACTGTGATCTCTCGGCCGGTCAGTGAGGTCTAAACTTGATTATATGTTTCAAGATGTGTCAAGTCTTGACACCCATTCGCACTTTCTATTATTTTGTGAAACACTTTAGGCGTGTCACTTCTTTTTCTTCTTTTTTCTTCATTTCCTCACTTCACTTTCTAAACGAACTTTTTTCGCAGACATTCTCTTCCTATTTAGTTCACGAGCCATTGGCTTTTGGTAGGAAGAAACCGAGAAATGGAGAAGGAATGTTCCAATACATAGACACCCCCGTCTCATCTTTGTATAGTAGTACTCGGATAGTAAACGCCACTTTCGTTTCGGTATTCCGATTTCGATTTCTGTCTAAAAGTGTGCCGCGGCCTGTGTTTCCCATTTTCGTTCAACAAACTTTTTGGCGCAGACCAATGTTTGTTTGAAACATTTTCAACTTCTCGAAAAAGTTGCCTCGCGTGCCAATATCTTTTTGATGAGCGCTGCCTCAGGGCGGTGTGGGCCATCAACGAACGTCTATCGGATCAACCGGTATCCGTCACTATCCCTCCGACGACGTCTCTCTCGTTTCCCGCCTCTTCCTTCTAAGACTACACGCGCATTTGTCCTCGACATAGCAAAGGGCCCCCGCAAAACCATCACAAGCTTTTCCCTTTTTTATCTTGTTCTTTTTTTTTTCGACGAACTACAATATCTTTAACCTTTCCTTTAACTTTTGAATATTCATTCACTAGCTTCAGGTATGGAGCTAAACCCAAAAGAGGAGGCAGCCCTTAGGGCCGAAGCTGAACGCCTTCGACGGATGGCTGTGATCGGTGAGAAAGTTCTAAATTGGTTTTTCAAAGTGCAAGTCATTCAGGTGTCGCACTTTCCATCGGCGCCGCAATCGTTTGTGTTTTGACTGTTCCTTTTGTGTATAACTATGTTCAACGGGTCGAGACTGTTCTTCAGGGTGAAGCGGATTTCTGCAGGGTTTGTTACTTTTTTCATTGTTGATATTGGTAATAGTTAAATATGTTATAATGTTTAAAAAGTATGCTAGCTAGAAAATCCTTTTTCAAAATATGGGAATGACAAAATAAACTCGAAAATTGCGTTATCGTAATTTTGCAAAATTGGTTTATTCGATAAGTATGCCGATATGACAATAAAGTCCTATGCTAGGTTGAAATGTTTAATCTCATTCTTCCTCACATGTTATTTTGGGATACTGCAGATAAGCTATTTCAACTTAGTTTCGAATATGCCTCGATATCAGAAAACAGCATCTGCTAATTTTTTCAAAATTTTTCAACATCATATAAGATCTCCAAACACAATAATCTAACAGATTTTCAAAAAAATAAGCTTACAAATGAAATAATTCTAGTTTGTTAGCTTAAAATTCAGAAATCTGTTTAATGGTTCTGCAGTTTCTGATCTCATTTGTTGTTGAAGGAAAATGTTCATTTAGCCATTTTCTCCCCACCGGATCAAGCATGCTTAGCACGCTACGTAATAGTAGAATCAATAGTAGAATCAATTAGCTTAATATCCTCTCCCACCTACCTGTCCATAGACCAATAGGTTGTTCACACGAATACGAAACGTTTTTTATTCGTCTTCCACTTTCTTCACGTTCCCCTCATTGTTTCTCATCGCCTATTTGATCCGCTGCCAATCGCATCATCACCTCCATCATCATCATCATCGTTCTAACTAAACATTCGCGCAATCCTTATCACTTCCTGGCGGCGCCATCCGAAATCTGTCTCTTTTTCTCCCCTATAAGCTTTATGCCATATCCCTCGCCACCCGTATCGCACGGTTTCTCGCAATAAAAAAGAATAGAGAAAAACGTGAGGGGCGAAAAGAACAATGATAGTCGCTGAACGCCCCTCCCTGTCATTTATCACCTCCCAACTAGAGACTCCTCCATACACATCCACAATATACGCGAAAAAAGGAAAGACTGGTTTAGGATAACATGACAGGGATGGTTTATATTGAAAATGTCCTTTGTTGTTCTGTCAAAAATGAATATCATAAGAATTGATCATCAAAATGTTTAATCTGAAAGAAATTTTTCAGGCAAAACGTGATTCAGTTATCCGAGAGTTGACAAGAACACAAAAACGAGCGGGTCTCAGGCTGAAGAGAGAAAGCTCATATAGTGGATATTCTGCAAGCTATGGAACCTATGATTCGGTACCGTTGATGCAATACAAAAGTCCAGAAGTCACAGAGCACAAAGAAGAAAGGGTGGAGAAGAAAGAAGAGAACTTCCAGCAATGTTAGTATTTATGGGTTGCTTTGATTTTTTGACTATATTTTAGGCTGTGGTTGTGGGTTTGGATCTCCAGGAGAACCTGGATCACCAGGACAAGATGGTCATGATGGAGCTGATGGACGACCAGGACCTGATGGAAATCCGGGAGCTGATATGCATCTTGATGACACTTATAACATGGCTGACCAATTCTGCTTTGAATGTCTCCCAGCACCCGCAGGACCACCTGGACCACCAGGACTCAAGGGAATGCCTGGAATTCCTGGTAATCAAGGAGAAAGTGCTGGGCCTGGGAGACAAGGCATGCCTGGACCAACTGGACCACCAGGACCAAGAGTAATTTTGAAAAAAAACAAGAGTCATAATTCACATAATTTTTTCCAGGGACCACCTGGAGAAACAGGAGACGAAGGAGAGGGTGGACCAGACGGGATCCCAATGGAGCAGAAATCTCCACCAGGGCCACGTGGACCCCCAGGACCAGCTGGATCTGATGGTCCACAAGGACCAGAAGGAAGACCTGGCAGACAAGGACCACCAGGACCAACTGGACAAGAGGGAGAGGAAGGAATTATTGGAGAACCTGGAAAGGCTGGAGAACCCGGAAAGCCAGGAGCAGCTGGAGCCCGTGGGCCTTCAGGACCATGCAATCACTGCCCAAACCCAAGAACCGCTCCTGGATACTAAAGTTTTTCTATTTTTTGTCTATACATCCTCTTTTCACCTGGACCTCGCTCACACATTTCTTCTCGCAGTTTATCGCCAGCTCAACTAACCAAGATGGTGCATTAATTTATTGTCTTTCATGTTTCGTGTTGTTTTTTTTTGCGTCTTTCAAAAAAAATTCAAAACTAATATATTTTTTTCTTTTTTTCCAAAACAACATCTCAGAGTAAGAAAGAGAAACTATCATGGTATGTATGAAAAGAACTTTAGAAAGCAAAAGGAAACAACTACAGGTCTAAACAGTGACCTGAAACCAAAATTTCATATTTTTAAATCATTTCAGATAATCCAACAATGTCTAAAATTTTTATAAATATCAGGTTTTTCAAATTTCTTTTTCTCTGTTTTTTTTTGCACTTGTTCAACATCAAAAAAGTTCATAACTGATCATAAATGGTCAATTTTGAATACATTCTTCAAAGAAAAACTCTTAGAATGTGACAATGACACAAAAGAGCATAAAATAGGACAAATAAACCAGAATAGGCCCGCAAAATATTGAAAATTTCATATATAGAAAGTTCACCACAAAGAAAAGTTATTCAAAAGTAGGAAACTGTATAAAAATTTAAACCTATTCATTATTACCTCAAGCCAAAAAATGAGACTGAGTCCTGGTATATTTTTAGTGTTTTGTTTTTATTAGGTTGGCGGGAAAGTCTTTGTCACTCTGTTTGTTTAATCACTGTTCTCGTATATGGAGGCTGTGTATGATATCGACTTTAGTGAATAACAAGGTGATAAGAACCTTCCATATAAACAAGTCCCCATCTCCTTCCCTGCTCCTCATCTGTAATTGAAACGATATGTTTGTTCCCACTGCTATTCACATCAGACATGTTTTGATTTACCTCTTCCTATCTCACACCACGATGAAGGATTCGGAAACTTTCTTGAAGAATGTGTACAACACACATGCCCCTCACTACAATACTATTCGCAATTGGTTCCATCGTTTCGAAAAAGATGACTTCTCGCTCGATGAAAAGGATCGCTCTGGGAGACCCCGTGAGTTGGATTTGGACAAGCTGAAGCACGCATTGCAATCGGATCCATTTCAATCTAGCCGTGAACTAGCTGTCACATTCGGAGTTCACCATAGCACAGTCCTTGAAGGTTTGAAGTCTCTTGGAATGAGAAAACTTTTTGGTCGATTCATACCTCATCACCTGACTCAAGCCAACCTTGACCGCCGAGTCGACGATTCGATTACTCTTCTCACTCTCCACGCGGGCGATCGATGGCTGGACCGGCTAATAACCGGAGATGAGAAGTGGGTCTTCTACGATAATCACCACAGGAAATCCCAGTGGGTTGGAGAAGGAGAGAGCCCACAGGATGTCCCCAAACCCGACCTTCATCCGAAAAAAGTTATGCTCTCTGTGTGGTGGGGAGTGGACGGCCCCATCTACTGGGAACTTCTGCCCGAGGGCAAAACAATAACTGGAGACCTCTACACTACTCAACTACGAAACCTCAAGAAAGCAGTCGACCGTTCGGCCCTGAAAGACAAGAAAGTGTACTATCAACATGATAACGCTCGCCCACATGTTTCGAAACAAGTGAAGCAGGAGCTGATGGGATATGGATGGAATGTTCTCCCTCACCCCCCGTATTCTCCTGATCTTGCTCCTTCCGACTATTGGTTATTTGGCGATATGACACGTGCCTTCGAAGGAAGAAGCTTCAATTCCCGTGGAGCGGTCGAAGCGGCACTCAAACAATACTTTGCCTCACGCCCGGCTGGATTCTACCGCAATGGAATCCATAAATTGAGGGAACGTTGGAGACATGTTGTTGATATGATGGACAATATAATTAATTATTCGGTTATTTTTTCTTTGAGAAATAAACTATTGAAAAAGTGACAAAGACTTTCCCGCCAACCTAATAGTTTATCAGGTTTCTTCGTACGATTTTATTCGTGATGATTTAAAGTGAGTCTAATTTATGTAATTTTTAATTTATAGAAAAAAAAAACTTTTAAGCTCAATTGATCAGTCTTCTGATCCCTGTGAAGACTTCTATCGTCATGCCCTAGGAGCTCAGAATCTGGTTTTCTGGGAAAAAGAAAATTTGATAAAATCTTTGAAAAAATGATAGAACTCCAAAAAGAGAACATTTGCGAAAATCTGAAGATTATGGTAAACTTCTGTATAATTTCAAAAAAAAAAGTACGATTTTCAGAAAGCATTGAATAACTTGCATCTCGGAGAAACTGGGAGTTCCATGTCAACTTATTTGAACAACAAATTTTTTGCATTGTAATATTTTTGGAAGGAAAAGTCGTTAAAGTTCAATTGCAGATGTGAATCACAAGACCCAGATCTTCCCAAGTTTTTGCTGAAAGTGCAACAGATCGCAATGAAAACAAATACAACAAGATGTCGCTCATCCAAATGTTTCATGCGTTTTGCTAAAGATGACAGTTGTACTCGTTCGCTGGAGATTTTCCAAGATCGAGTGGACAATTTTTTCCACGAAGACTTTTATGAAATTCAGTATTTTCTAAATTACTATATTCAGTCTTTTCTATATGGAATTAGAATCGTGAACGTTATTCTTGATGGAAATATGACAAAAGATATAGAAAACGTGAATACCATATTGTCTGATTTGGTTGATGTTGTTGTTGGCTGGATAGAGGTTAGTGATAAACTCCAACTTTTAATCTTCCGAAAAATCAGGAAACACCGTGGGCACATAATTATGGTGTTGTCGAATCTATCAAAGAAGTTGCTGAAGAGATTCACGTTGAAGGAAATCACGGACTTCAACTGAGAGCAATTGCAAACAACCTAATGAAACTGGAACAAACCTTTTTGAAATGTTCTAGCGAATTCAATGGAGATGCGACGTTACTTTGTCTTCTATCCACTGCTGAGTTCACAAACTCCAATTTTGAGTACTATAGACCATTCAATACAAGATACAATGCAAGGAATGGACATCCTGCATTAAACTTTGGTCTCCCTTTTTTCGCTATTGCTTCAGGATCAGAAGAAATTGCTGTGAGGGTAAATACATAGGCCTTTGAACTGAGTCTAATTTTTGTTAATGTTTTCAGCTTGGTTTAGTTGGTTCTATTGTTGGTCATGAACTGAGTCACTCTTTAATTGAATTATCACAAGACCATTATTTATTGCCCACATCTTCTGATGAAGCCATCGAATGTATTCAAAATCAGTACAACAGAACGTGTTTAGAATTCAAAGAAGTAAATGAAACTTCAAAAATTTTAGAAGCTATCAATCGTTTCAGGAATCATGCGAGGTGGTCGATTATCAAACCGATGAAAATGGCTCCGACATTCTTGGCTATCAGTTAGCTCATGAATTATTCCGTAAAACTTACAAAGAAAGAGTGCACATAATGCATCATACTCATTAAATTCTGTAAATTGAATTTTAGGATCAATACCTCAAAATGAACAATCGGAACGTTACATATCAGCAACTATTTTTTATGCGGCTTCATTAATACATTGCGATGTAAGTTTTTGTCTGGGGATTTTTTAAATATGCCTATTATAGAATGCTCCGTCACATAGAACACGTGGACGTCATTCTGCAAATAATGTACGTGCAAACGTGATTGTACAATTTCCAGCATTCCAAGAAGCATTCCAATGCTCGTCGAATAGCAGAATGATGAAAACTTTGGAGGTTTGAAAGCCATGATTTTTTAAATTCACTTTTCTTTCAGAAAAAGTGCAATGTTTACGGAGACGAAGCTCCACAACACAAAAGGAAACTTTAATTACTAATGATACTAGTTTTTCATTATTTTCTCTACTTATGAATTGAATGAAACATGATAAATTGATAGTGAAGGTTTTTAATCTGTAAGAAAAAACATAAAAATAAGAGAGAAATGTTCTCGTTGTAATTTATAAGTACGTATTCATATTTGTACCGTATTTTTTTGATGTGATCCTAAACATCAAAATCTACAATATCATAAAGTTTGCTTTCATGATCTTCACGGGATTTGCGTAAAATCAAAGATTCTTAGAAGTAAACCTATTCAAAAAAATAAATGCTATAAAATTGTTTAACTCAATAAATCAGAAAATAAAACTCGGTTTTTGTTTAATATTGTTCAAAGTTTTTTTACGAATCGAAAAGTTCGGGTTTATTTTTTCATGAGTTCAAAGTTGACAATCTCACACTAGAAAGGGGAAAACATGAATGGTGTCTTTAAAAAACTTGAATCAGTTTGGAATCGTTTCTTTACCAACACAATTACAAAACTTCTCATGAACACAAGACTATATCTCCTACATTCCAGTGATTGAAGACTACAAAATTTTTTCATTAATTTTGTTTAAAAACATTTTTCTAAATTTTGTGTTTACTCCCAAGGATCGATGAAAACTTGAAAAGTATGCCAAAAGGATCCTCGCAAAAATCAGGAAAAAAGAAAAGGTCGCAAAATCAGGAAAAAAGAAATAAAAAAGAAAAAACCACAAGGGGGTTCGAACCACAGCCTGTAGTCACTGCGGACCCACACATCCCCAACACCACGCCGCCGACATTTTCCGCAGATTGGAAACGCGGTTAGATGTTAGGCGCTCTCTAAGCTTTTCTCGTAGGGATTTCGGTGATGGAATGTGTCAGTACTAAAAATCTGGACTGAAATATCTCGGCTGAAACTGGCGAGCGTGTTCTAAGTTTGTCAGAGGTGTCTAGATAGGCGACCCTGAAATTTTTATCAAAATCTAAATTGACGAGTTGTTGTGGTTCCCTTATCAGAGAACGTTCTATTAGAGGGTGGTGTTCAATTAGGATCTGTTTCGAGAATTAATTTCTGTTATATTGAAATTTTTCGGATTTCTAGAAGTATCCATTCAGACCAGTTTTATTTATTTTTCTGACATATGAGTGTCAATTTTTTTTTGAAAAGTTTCATTTTATCAAATTTTCAATTATGTCCTCATCATGACGAAATTCCTAAATTATGTTTAATAAATATTTTTCCATTCACAAAAAAGACTCGAACTCCACCAAGTTTTCTGCTCCTTTTGATAATTTAACAAAAAGGTAGAATTGTGTCAATGAAAACACTTTTCCTCCATTATTCAATGAATAAAGGTATTCTTACCCAAAACAGTATTTAACCAATCTCGAGATGGGATGTCCAGTATCTGTCCAGAATGAAAATATTAACTTTTATTAGTCTCATCAGCGCAGTTGCCGCGTTTGATGTGATTCGAGAAGCCTTCCGGTAAAAAAAAATAGTTTATTTTTGTAATTTTGAAAAAATGTCATTTCAGCAAAGTCGACGATTCTAAAGATCCTTGTGATAATTTTTACCGTCATGCTTGCCCAATTGGATCCGACCGTGATCTTTTAATTGAAACTGCATACGAAGATCTTTTCTTCCGAATCAAAGCCAAGTCAGTCGATGCTATCTGGAACAATTTGGAAATCGAAGTGATAGCATTTTTTAACTTTTCTGTAACTTTTTTTCCAGAAAACTCTCATGAGAACACCATCAAGAGAACTAACATCGACAAACAATTTTATTGGTGAATTATTCTTGGCTCAGTAGGAATGCATAGCTTTAGTTATGAATACAGAAAAATTTTCAGATGTGAAGATACACACGTCAAGCATGAAGAATTGCTACATTTTTTAAAGCAAATTGAGCACTATGTATTCAAATTTGACGGCTCAAATTGTGAGTACGAAGGATGTCTATCCGCACTTGCATCAGATCACAATTGCACACGTGCTTCTGAGAAATTGAAAACAACAGTAGTAATTGACTTTCTGTTTTTGAATCTTAGCGAATTTTGGGAAAAGAAGTTTCGTATCGCTAAATATGGATTGGATGGGGTTAATGCTCTACTTGATGGCGAGTCCAAACAAGGAGTCTCGAAAGTAAATCACCTAATTGAGAGAATGCAAAAGAAATTGATAAGCTGGGTCAATGTAATTGAAAAAAGTTTGATTTAAAGTAATTAACTGATTTTAGGAAACCGAATGGGCTATTAATAACGGCGCTGACGAGGCAATAATTGAAGAAACTTTACAAGTTCACCACTACGACAACTACGCAGACTCCATGCGGAAAAACTTGCAGTTTTTAATGAAACTTGAGCAGGATTACTTGAAATGTCTCAGAGACACAAAACGCGAACACGACTTTGAAACTTTCTGTATGCTCATGTCTATTTTTGCGTCATTTGAAAATGAGCCTGATTTGACTTTCTTTACTTTTTACAACGCATTCAATGCTCATCCGAAACTGAGTTTCTCTCAACTGTTCTATGATATGGCAGAAAATGTTGGAGAATCTGCAGGAGTGGTGAGCACGAGTAATGAAATGTTTTTCAAACGACCATGAAGATTTTAGCTTGGAAGCGTAGGATTTATTGCTGGCCACGAGCTGAGTCACACTCTGATCGAAAACGCAAATGCTCCACAGTTAATTCCGTATTTCTCCAATGAGTCGATGCAATGTATTCAAAACCAATATCAAAAAACTTGTGACCACTTTGTGGAGGTCTGAATACATTTTCCAATTTCAAATTTTCTAATGATTCGTTTTAGGAGTCATGTGGTGCTGCAGACAATCAAATTGATGAGAATGGATCTGATATGCTAGGTCTCCAATTGGCATACAGTTTGTTCGAAGAAGAGTATCAAGGAAGAATGGATGTGGGGGATATTTAGTGTTTTTTGATTTAAGAAATTTAATGAAATTCAGGAGGAGTATATCCGTATTCAAAATCTCGAAGAATATCGTTCAATCACAATGGAACAACTCTTTTTCTACTCTACTGCTTTTGTTGCTTGCAGTGTATGTTTTCCTAGTCATATTCAAGAAAATTTGCAAATTGTATAGGGTAGAAGCCAAAAGCAGCGTTTGGGTGATGGTCATTCTCCGTGGAACGTTCGTGTCAACGCTATTGTTCAACATCCTGGTTTCAAAAAAGCATTCAATTGTCCGGCTAACTCAACAATGGTGGAATCCTTTGATGTAAGTCATCCTTCACGATTAATTGAAACATTCAGATTTTTTTCAGGATCAGTGCATCATTTTCGGAAAAGGAGCTCCGGAAATGAGAAGATAAAGAGAATTTCAAAGAGTTCTGTATTTCCTGAATGTAAATTTTTGGATTGTATATAATCATGCTTTTTGAAAATGTATATAACTTAAACTCCAATAAACCGTATTTTTAGAATTTCAATGCTTAGATTTATACTCAAAAACGTCAGAAATAACCTTTAAAATTTCAATCTATGAGATTCTGTAAATAACAACCACATCATGCTCATACAAATATTTTCGCGTGATATCGTGCGATGGATCAAATCTCAAAGAACAAGAAGAAAATCTTTATGAACTGTTATTACTGTACGATTCAAGTAATTCGAGCTGCCGACACCATAATTTTTACTGAAGATTGTTTTCGAAGCCACATTGGCTGTACAGCAGTATGAAAGAAGAACATAACAAATCTGAAAATGAGAACGAAAATATTCTTTAAAATGAAAAGCAAAACAGTACCCATCTAGCATGTGCATAACAACGAATGACAACGAAAAACATATGAACTGAAACCAGAGAGATGACTCGTCAAGTTTGTAGGTATAGGTTGTATTAATAGAGTCAATTGAATGAAGAGAATCTTGTATGAAACATTGCGACAGTCTTTTTATATACGTTCGCCGTCGAAGTTTGGCATCGGTGTTACTTATTCCGGCGACCTATAAATGAATGGTGACTCTAAAATCAAGTTAAATTTTGAGACCTTATCGAAAAGCAATTTTCCGGCCGTCAACAAATTTGCCGTATTTGAAATAATTGAACATACAAAAACAAAATATAAAAGAATATCATATTCGATTTCAGAACATTTTCCTTCTTCAGATATCCATAACATCTCTTCAGGAAGGAACATATAACCACAGTCTTCTGAAATCTCAATCATGAGGAGTTGAAAATAAATTTTTTGCTGTACCTGGCAAACCTGCTACTGCATAGCACGCTGCGGTAATAATGCAAACAGTAATCCATATACTTGTGACAGGCAATTTTGAATTGGAAGATTTAAATACTGGGAAATAGAGGGCAACAAAACGATTGAGCGCCATTGAGGTCAACAGGAGTGGTCCTTAAGAAAAACAATGAAATTACCAAACTCTGCAGAAAAAATTTGTTACCGAGTACATAAGAAAATGATCCACAAACTTGTGCAACTAAAACATTCATGATTCTGGGTATCCTTTCACTTCTAATTTGTAAAAAGCCCAGTGGAACGGCCCAGAACAAAAATCCAGCACAAACAAGAAAATTAGGAATAGTTTTTAGTAAACATAATTTGTAAAAACCACTTCTGACTCCTTTTTTGAAAAATTTGTAAAAAAGGTATGAGTTGATCAGAGCGCCTATTAAGGCAGGAACGAATTGCAATATATTGCTGAGTAAGAGGAAACTAGCGGATATCTCCATTTCTGTCATTTTTGAAAATAACAAGACAACAGATTTTTCAGCGGAAATGAGTCAGTGCAGTTCTTCACAAAGGTATAATTAGATAAATCACAGGCGTATTCTCACTTTTATTCAATCTTTTAGGTTGAAATCGAATCTGAGAACTACGGGACATGAGAAACGGTTATATACTCCGGATAACAGTCAGTTTGTGTTCTGATATTATAACTTAACTAGCAATTTGTTGTTTTCCTGCAAAACAGAAAACAACAAAGGTTTATTATTAAAAAAAAATTATATTTAGCTTTTGATCAGATCAAAAATTCTATGCGCATACTACATAGAGAGGGTAGGTGTGTTTTGAGAGAGGAGCAAACATTGTTGAACCTTGAAGTAGGCTGTTAAAATTGGTTTTTTAGAAGCTCAGATTTTTCTGAAATGCTTCATTCTAATCTAACCAAGTATTTGTATTCATTCTTTCATCAAAACCGCAAAAATCTATATGAACCAAGTTCAACAACGCTTCTTGTTTTTCAAAAAAACTATGGCAAAACAGATCCAGCTCTATCGGCAAAGATGGGTCCTTTCCGAAAAAATGGGCTCTTTCAGGAAAAATGGGATTTTTTAGAAAAGATGGGTCTTTCAAATTTTCACACAATCGTTGAATAAATTAGACCTTGTTGTGCATCCGTAGTGGAACTGGAATAATATAAACAAATTGCAAGTTTTATAGGCACTCACAAATACACCAGGAAGCCTTCACAAGAAAGCAATGAGTGACAATATTCCAATAAAATATGTGTATTTGCTCGTTACTTTCGTAGTGGCGGCCCATTTCCATTTTTCGTCCATGAAAACGTCGAAAGACAACCGTCTGTGAACCCAGCAGTAAACCCATCAAAATCAGAAGTCAGGATCAGAAGTCCCACTCTAGAAACTCCTCTAACTCTCAGGGAACAAACGAACCCTTGTCCGCAAGAAGAGAAAATAGGCTAGACAACTAGCTCTCCAAATGTTCTCCAGAATTTTATCAAGCCAGGAGTTATAAGCTAAAAACTTTTTGGGTTGAAAAATGAAAACGATTTGAGGATGCTAGTCACCATGAGATGCTGTCTCCGTCAAGGATCCGCTCGCAATAAACATATGGCTTTCTGATACAGTGATCGCTTGATTGAGTAAGCAAGGTATTTTCAATTTCTGATTTCGAACTGTTTTGGAACTATCCATTTCGCATAGCCGCGATGTGTACATACAATCGTTTTTCTCATTGTGAGCGTCTGAATGACGAAATGAAACAAAATACAAGGGTCTTCAATGCTCATATTTATCGTATAACAATCAATTTTGACAAGATTATTAATGTTCAAAGGAAGCAGCGCCGTTTCTTCACACTCCAGTTTGTGAATTCACACTCCAGTTTTTTTTTGTGAATTCACAAACTGGAGTGTGAATTCACAAACTGGAGTGTGAATTCACAAAATGGCTTGTGAATTCACAAACTGGATTTCATGTTACAATTTAAGACCATATGTTCCAAAGTTTCCAAGCTGAGCGATTCCATAGTCCAACAATGTATCCGCTGGGCGAACAAATTTTAAAAAAGTCTGAAAGAAGTTTATATCTATTGATCATGGGAGCTTAATTGGAATCGATGTAATTTTGTTATTATTTTATCTAAACTCCTGCCTTAACAATTGAATCCATTTTATGAATTCATAACTGAAAAAATAAATTTTCTAAATTGTACTTATTTTTTTTTCGACTTTGTTTAAAAACAACAAACTTACTTTCAGAAAAATAAGAAATATAGGCCGATAAACACTCTGCCAGTTTCCAAGAAAATGAACCGTGCCAGAAAAGCACAATCACATTGTCTCCAAAGCGAAAAATATGGAAATCCTCTTGCTGTTATTTCTTTTTATAGTTTTTTTTCAAAGAGGGAGGAGCATTACCAATCTGGAGCGGAGTGTGGGCGGAGTCATGATCGATGAGAGCCTAGGTAACATATTGTCTATCATTTTCAATTTGAATTTGCATGACCGTCGAGGGTTAATGAGGCACCACCTGACAGGCATTGTCAATTAAGGTATTAAGTTATGATCCGTCCCATACCTGCCCTGTCTTCTCCAGATGCATCACCTTTGCTACATATGTTCCGTTGCTCAAATTTGAATTTTCTTTATAAAAAGAAGGGAACACAAATTCAGGACACCGAGTTGGATTAAGACAGAGAATAGCGTTATGTAATTATTCGTTAATTATTCTGTTTTGGACTAGAGATCTGCTTCCAGATGTATTCATCTGGACACCCTTCTCCAGGTTCACCAGATGGGAACTGTTCAATGCCAAATAATTACTTGAATTTTAATTTTGAGCTGCAAAAAGAGATTTGAAATCCAATGAAAGAAAGGGCTCTAGAAATTGGGACAAAAATCAAAATGTTCATGTTTCACAATACCGAAAAATTATTACGATTCTAATCTAATCATTACCTACATCTAGAGAAATCTTAATTTTATCAAAATTGGTCAGGATCTAAGGAGCTCAACCCAAATGTGATCCCGAAATCTAGGAAAACTGAATGGAAGACTCTCCGAAAAACGTACAGATCTTCCATACCTGAAAACTGACAAATTTCACCGAAAATTACAGTAACGATGTGTTAACGGGGAACACTGAATAGAAAACTGAATACGTTCGGTTACGAAATTTTTGAAGTTTCACCATACTTGCCGGTATCTTCCCCATAGATCACCACTTCTTCAAATATTTCGATTACCTTCTCAAAGGGAAGCAGTTCATCAGAAAAGAAAATGCAAAAAAGCGGGTTCGAAGAATCCCTCGCTTCCTAACTTCCTTATTTTTATTACCACGAAATCTAAAAAAAGTGTTTATTGTTGGAAAATGAATGAAGTACCAAAAAACGGCATAGTTTTTAGAACAGTTTAATAATATGCTTGAAGCAAACGTCGAAAATTAATCAAAAGCGCCATAAAAGTAAAGTAAAAATTATTTTCCTAAAAAAAACGAAAATTCCGGATTATAAAATGCAATGCACACTATAAGATGTTGAGATTGAAGACTCCTTAGTGGCTTTTCAGAAACAAATCTTTGAAGGACCCGGATGCTGAAAATTATAATCTGCGAAATGATGCTTTATTTTATTTACCTCTATCCGGATCAATGCGGAAGGATATTTTGTCCTCATTTCCCACATTTATCACTGGGTATTCGAATGCCCACAGAAATGTGTTTTCTGATATGATGTCGGATGGCTGAGCTTTGATCAGTGAGTTCTTCTTGAAGGAATATTGGAGAACACCCCAACTATCTTCGGATCCGTAAAAGCACAAAGAAACCGTTTCGAAGCATGAAAACACTCTTTTGGAGTAACCCTGCAACAATTGAGTTTTTTACAATCAAGTAACAACTGTCTCTTACAAGCAGTGAAGATCTTTTAATACTGATGACTCCTCCGACGTTGAGTTCTCGTACATATAGGTGGGATCGGCCTTTTTCCACCTGCAAATTTTGTTAATGGCTTTCTTATTTCTATGGACATTTGAAAAGCTTGACAAATAATTATAGATTTACGACTCTTTGAGAAAACGTGAGCAGTAGGGCGACGAACCAATAAAAAACTAGATAAAAACGAAACCCCATCAGCCAGCTGTTCCGGAGGCCCGGTAAACAGATGGCTGGTAGATAAAAATGAAAATATGATTTAACTAACCGAATAAATGACTTCGCAATTGAAACTGCAATTTTCAGGGAAAACATAGCATTTGGAAATGGGGCCGCAGATCGTCTGAAAAAATAACAATGAATTATATCTGAGATTTATGAACGAGATGTTTTCCAATAAAAAATAATTGAGTAATTGAAAACCACCGTTAAGTGTATTATGGACAATGATTAGCTTCACTTTTTTCATTCTGAAGTAATGTTTCATGCAGGATATTTTGGTAGTTTACTGAAGGGGGGGGGGGGGGAGTTTTCCAAGAGATGTATGAAAACTTTCATCATGCGTTGGCAGAAAGTAGTCGATAATAATGTTAAAAAGCCCTTTGATTAATATCCTCTGGTTTCAGTTTTTCATGAAGTGAGAATGAATCAAAAACCAGCATCAATATCTTACCAACCTAATAAATAAGGAACATGAATGAAACATGTGTTAGTTCCATTCTAGCCCAGAATACCTCAAAATCTTTTTCTGTTCCTTGGTACTATTGCCTACTGTTCACTGTTCACACTGTTCGATTCAACTTGTTGAAAAACCTGCGTCTACAAATTTTCAGACCAATTGAGCCGTTTTTAAGCGCACAGGGCTTAAAAGTCACTTTTTAGGGCGCGTCATAATTATAGGACCCCCCTGGGAAATGAACAATCTGAAGTTTTCAGCAAAAATCTTGAAAAAAAAATTGTTGAAAATGGGCAGAATAGTCTCAAAGCAGCGTATTTTGACAATTTACACAATTATTGATTCTTCTATTCAAGTTTCAAAAAACATTATCCTCACAGTTAGACATTTTCGTCATTTTCAGGTTTTCCGGAACGAATCTTGAGTACCAGAAAACATTTTTGCATTGATTTGGATTGTATACTAATTGTTGTTATAATATTTTGAGATGCTGTATTTAATTTAAGAAAAACTTGAATTTTCAGAACTGCCCTTAAAATTCGGTGAATCTGATTTTGGTGAAAAACTTGATTTTTGGACTGAAACGTCTCATTCCGTACTAATCCTCAATTTCACTGACATTTTTTAAAATGTTTCGATCCCGCAATATTTTTTCTGTTCAAAACTTGAGCTCAATTTTGAGCTGTCAAAATTTGAACTGCCCTGAACGCTTGCAACTCGATCACGAGCACTCTAAAAAAGTTTCCTATCAATTTCAGCTCAGAAGCTCACATGAGAGCAAAGTTATTCAAGATTTATTCCAAAAAAAAAACCTTAAAATGACAAATATGTCTGAAAATAATTTTTTTGAAACTTGAATAGAGTAATCAAATATTGTGTAAATTGTCAAAATACGCTGCTTTGAATCTATTCTGACCATTTTCAACAAAAAAATGTATATAATTTTTTTTTGAAAAACGTCAGATTTTTGATTTTCCAGGGGGGTCCTAAAATTATTTCGCTGCCCAAAAAGTGACTTTTAAACCCCGGGCGCTTAAAAATGGCTCAATTAGTCTGAAAATCTGTAGACATAGGGTTTTCCACACGCTGAGTCGAACTGCGTTTACAAAATTCAGTTATCTCTCTTGGTATTTTTTTTCAGATCACTCATTTCATCGTAGAGTTTTCAAAATAAATAAAACAATTGTGTATTGAACTCACAGAAGAATTCAAAATGCCATCATTGCCGAAGCCAGAAGTTGCGTTGTCTGAATCCGAATTATTTTCTTGAAGACCTTTCTTTTCTCTGAGCTTCTCTTCTTCTCCATTTTCTGGGAGGATCGAAGGTTCGGTCTTGGAAGATTGGAGGAGTTCTGCATAAAAAATGGACTTACTTGAAAAAGACAACAATCAAATGATACCTGAAGATGTTGAGTTGAAAACATCGGTTGATGAGCTGGGTGGACTTTGTATGGTCGGCAAACCGATAGAGAGCTGGCAATTCAGTAGCAGCCCAAGAAGCAGCAGTACGCACAAACGCATTTTCGCTGTAAAGAAATCGAATTAAGAAACTGAGAACATATCACAATTAAAAAAAAAACGTGTACGGAATATAGTGAAACAAAAAATAGTCTTGTTAGTAGAAACATTTCAATTCTGTTCACAGCAAAAGTGTCGGAACGCACATTTTAGCCGCTGAAGAAACAGAATGACAAAATTAGATGTGCACTGGATACGCTCTTCCTCGTTTTTTGAAAAACTACTCATCTTTTTCTTCTGTGTCGTCTCACCCTCCTATTGGCTCCGCCCCCAGATGTCGAGGTAGAGCCGAGGGCGTGAAACTGAGAAACATAGCTAATGTAAGGTGTAAAGTATATAAAGAGGACGTATGGCAAAAAAAGTGAGGAAGACTAATGACGAAAAAAATTAAGAGGGACGAATGGCAATAAAAAATAATGCGAGGAGGACGAATGGCGCAAAAAATGGAGAACAGGAGGTGACGGGAGGAAAGGATATAATAAAGGGAAACGAAAGAGAAAGTGTTTAAAAAAAAGGAAAGTGGGGGCGGGGTGGGGAGTCTGGTGAGGTCCTTATATACGAAAGTCCGGTCGGGAGGAGGGGCCGCGCCATTTTATGGGATGTTAAGGCGGAGCCGGGAGGTACTGTATAACTAGAAGAAGGCAAAAAGAAGTGGGGAGGCGAGGCGCGGGGTGATACTCAGCCTTCATGGTGCCGCCACAAATGATAAGGCGAGGAAAAAAACCATCAAAGGTTAATAACTTGTGAGAGCCTGAATATTTTTATGACCACTAGTTGAAAGGGCACTACGGGAAACTGAAGAATTTTTTCTCTCACGAGTTATCACCCTTTGACGGTCATCTTCCTTTCTCCTCGCTTTTGTGATGGCCCTCATAAAGGAGAGCAGCGTACCACCATAACATCGGTGCGATTTCGTCCCTTAAACTGTCTCCCACACTTTTTGCTGTCTAACCTATTTTGCGGTCTCAGAACGGGTCACACTCTCAAACTCCATAAGAGAAGGTTTGTCTTTTTTAGGGTAACAATTAAAACGGCTCATGTATTGAAACAGAAACTGAACTTAGGTCCAGTGGAGAGAAAAACGGAAAGGATACATTCACTGGGTCAGAGAAGTGTTTTGACGTTTTCTGAAGTGTGAGAAGAAAAAAGACATAATCCACTTTTGGTAAACGGGAAACTTTTCAAGAAAATAATAAGCTAGAAGTCATCACAATAATAATTCAAATTACATTTCTAAAATAATCGATTTTTTTTTCTGAAAAAGCATCCTCTTCACGATGTGATGATAAAAATGTCGTCACTCAATTTTATTCTTTCCGAGGTGTTGAATCAATCACATACAAGATTTGAAACTATTTCGATAATTTTCAGTTATTCAAGAAATCAGGAATTCTCAGAATTCTAACAGTTATGCTATTTTATCCTTTCTGAATGTTTGCAGCACTTTTCAAAACTTTGAAGTGTGAGGGGAGGATCTTCCATTCCAAATCTTTCAGCATAATTTTAAAGCTATGTCGTTCGTTGGAAAGCAAATCATTTTTAAACTCTGTATCAAAGTTCAGCATTTATTTTCGCAAAAAATTATTTTCGTGATTTCATTATTACGAAAGAATCGTAGATCAGAAAAAGATTTTGCCGAAAAAAGCCTTGGTACTCAAATAAAAGCATTACACATTTTCGACATTTTGATTAAATCAGACGTTGACTCAAGACACAGGTGCGATCGAAATCGTACTATTTTTGTGTGAAGTTTTACAAAGCCATTTTGGTTGAACATCGGTGTGAAAAAAGAATATTACCAATCTGAAAAATTCGTCTTGCTATTATAAAATTTAAAAGTTAACGTACCCATCGAGCATATGGATTCCAACAAAAGAAACTGAAAAACAAAAGAATTGAAGCAACGCAGAGTTGTCATCTAGTTTGTAGGTAAATGAGCAATTTATCATATCGAAAGCATGGAGACAGTCGAAGAACACATTGCGAAAATTTTCGGATGTACATTCGCCGTCGAAACTGTGAATCTGTGGTGCTCATTCCCGCTACCTGTCAAAAATCGTTTTTTTCTCATAGATTTGAAATGTTAGGTTGGAAGGGAAGTAAATGTCCATTCATTTATTGGTAAATAAAACAAAGAGCAGATTGAGCATCAGAATTTCCCAGAATTCAGGTAATATATCATACCTCCAAAAGCCAGCTCGCTGCGAATCGAAGTATTTATTTTTCCAGTGTTTCTCATGAACGGTGTAAAATTCCTTACCTTCCAGATGACGTTGGTTATCTCCGAATAACCAATAATCTAAAGGAGCCACGTCGGGACTATAAGTAGGTGATCAAGCAGCGTACCGCCAAAACGTTTCAGGGCTGACTTGACTCTTGCTAAAAAGGCAATAACTCTTGTTTACGAAAAGTCACATCGTACCAGAACCGTTTTGGCTGGATAGTACTCCTTCACCCTCGTTAAAGTCCTGATTTAGATCCATCAGATTATCAGTTATTTGCGTATAGTTAGCAAACTAAAAAGTAGTCAAAAAAAATGTTTTTGATTAAACTTATGAAAAATGTTGAAGTTTTCAAAAAAATCAAAAAAAATCAGCTTCTGTACAAACAGCGAGCCGTCCTGGCCCGCTAAAATTCTCGATGGGCCGGGCCGGGTCGCGGGTTAGTTCCAAAATTTTGCAAGTATGGTTGAATGATAACACACAACGTCATCTGGAAGGTACGAACTTTAATACAATCGATGAGAAAAAATGGACTGTAGTAATGCTTTGAGTCGCGGCCAGCTGGCTTTTGGAGAGGTGGCATCCACAAGTTAACTGAACGTTGTCAACATGTCGTGGACCACGACGGTGCATACTGTCAATCTTGGATTAATCTTGTTTTTGTTTGATTTACTAATTTAAAAATTGATGGTTTCTTTCCTTCCAACCTAATATTACCTTGTCAAAAATCAATTTTCCAGCAGTGGTCAAATTCAAAGTGTTTGAAAAGATGGAACAAACCAGCACAGTATAGAACAAAATATCATATTGAAATTGAGAGCACTCCCCGTCTTCTGAGATCCATAGCATTTCTTCTGGGATGTAAAGAAAACCACAATCCTCTGAAAAGGAAAAAATTCAATGACTAACACTTAAAAATTTTTTTTTACCTGGAAGACCAACAACGGTGTAAATAACTGCAAGTATTATTGAGAAGCCTATCCAAATAGAAGTTATCGGGTAGCGAGAATTTCTCGCTTTCATTATGGCGAAATATAGAGATAAAAAACGGTTGGTTGCCATTGCAACTTGCAAAAGGGGACCTGAAGAGAGAAAAAAACGCTAGGAGATAAATATTTTACTAACCAAGCAAGAAGGCTCCGGATCCTGATAATTGCCCAATCAGAACATTTATTGATCTTGGTATACGTTTACTCCTAATTTGAACAGATTTTTGAACGAAAATGTTGATGTACAGTGAGCAACAACTAGACTTCATTTGGCGCGTGCGGTACATTTGCAAAAAAGGCTTTCATGTGGCCAAAAACAAACTTGTCAAAGTTTTCACAGAACAGTGGCAAATTGGAATTTCAAATTAAAACAGATTTGAATATTTTCTCTTCTATTCCTGTGAAGATTACTAAACGAACATACTCGAAAGTGTTTTTGCGAAATTTCTTTTTTCAAAAGTTTTTTTGAGAATAAAGTGCCTATTCGAATTCCTAATTTTTCAAATTAGTTTTTCTGTGTTTATTTTTCTGACACAAGATAACTTTGGTGACCAAAGATGACACTCAAAAAAATTTCTTTTTGAATGTTCAAGAATTATTTTGGAACAATCCATTCATTCTTTCTAACCAATCTCTTCTCTGAAATTAATGTACAACTTGATGCTCGATTCTGAACAAAAAATTCATTTTCCAATTATTAAATTTGTCTCTTTTGTTTCCCAACTCTTTATAACTGTCGCGTTTGCGGTAACAGAAACCTTTTCTGGTCACAGAAACCAATATGAAACTATTATTGCTATATTTTCCGATTCTAGTCGTTTCTGACTATGCCGAAGAAGTAAAACAGTGGGTAATCTGTCATTTCTGGAACCAAAATTTGTCTTCAGATACATTGACCACAGTGTGGATCCATGCGATAATTTTTATCGCCATGCATGCCGTGTTGGTGGTCCGGAATACTTTCCATTAGCAATTGTAATGAGAGAATTGGAAGAAGTTCTAGGAAAGTACTCTCCCAAAGTATACCCAGAGTTTGCGGACATCCAGGTTGAAAGTTTGCTGTTTCTAATTCTCTCATCTATATTTTGTTTTTAGAATGATTTGGAGAATTCTACCAAAGTGGAAAGTTTTTCGGAAATGGTTGTGAACATTTATAAATCTGTGTAAGAATCTTTGTTAGACTGACCAGCCAATCCGATTGTTTCAGATGCGAATCCAAACAGAACGTGTCTGATTATTTAACTGGAATTGAAGAATTGCTTTTTGGGGGAGAGGAATGCCTAAGTCACTTTTGCCTGAACCATCTTGTGCAGGATTCGAATTGTGGTCGAGTCGCTGAACACATCCAGAATGTGTTGAAAACAACGGATATGTTGACAGGAACTGTTGGTTTCGTTTTTAGAATCTTCGAAGTATTGAACATTACAGGAAACGTTTGAAGATTCTTTGAGAAAAATCCCCATACTGATTAAAGAAGTTGAAAGGAGAAACGCGGTGTGGGGAGACGATGGATTGTCAAGAGCATCTGAATTTGATCAGTACTTTTTGCAAATGAAAGATGCCACTGCAGAGATGATAATGGTAAGAATAGAATCACACAGACTTGCAGATTGCTGAATTTTAGGCAACTCCCTGGGTGAGAAATCATAATGTATCAGAAATGATCGTTTCTGTGTTGGAAAAATTATATGTGGAAAATGCGGTGGAAACATCGAAACAAAACCTTGTCAAAACTTTGAAGGACATGAATAGTGTCTATGCACAATGTCGAAAACGCTACAACACCGTTCCCAATTCGCTGATAGTTCAGTTTTGCATGGCTTATGCTTACCATGTAACTGGAAGTGAATTTAAACTTCAAGAAAAAGGAGCTGATTTTCTTAAAGAAATCATGGCCGGGGGAACACTGTATCCTGGTATAAAAGTTGGTTATCAATGGTATCATATTTTTCAGCATTCTGATAACCGTGCGTCAAAAGTAATTTCATATCAATCATTGATAGGAACTTGTTTTTTGTTCTAGCTTGGATCGCCGGGTTTCACTATTGCTCATGAATTATCACATGCCTTGATTAAAGGAGCGAATTTCGACATTCTTTCATACTTCTCGAATGAAGCTAGAAACTGCATTCAAGATCAATATAAATCCACATGCAAGGAGTTTGACGAGGTAGGTAATGCTAAAAAATAGTCCGAATTGTTTGCTTTTCAGGGTGGGTGCCGGATCACTGAAAAGCGATTTGAAGAGAATGGAGCCGACGTCTTTGGCTTTGAAATTATATGGTCCATGTTCGAAGAGCAGTTTTTGAAGAGGCAAAAAAGATCAGAGAATATTGAAGCGTCTGAAGATTTGAAGCAATTCTTTTACTCATCCGCTTCCAATCTTTGTTTCGGAGAAAAAAGAGTTGAGAATTTTCGAGATGATCATTCTCCTGCAAATGTGAGGATCAATGCGCTAGTTAATCATCCGGCTTTCCAAGTGGCATTCCAATGTTCCGACGATTCGAGAATGATGAAATCAAAAACCGTAATCCACAAAAATTAAAATCAAGAGACGCGATTTTCTTTTTCAGAAACATTGTTCCGTTTACGGTCAAAACGCACCACCCAACCGCCGTCATTTTGTTTCAACTCATTAATCACTCTATGTGATGTTACTCCATTTCCAATGAGTAACACTATAAAATAATTTTTCTGAATTTTTTGTTTTTCGCTACAAAACCAACCACAAACTAAAATAATGGAAACCAAAATAACTAAAATTCGTCAATCTTTGAATCATAATATAACAACGCCCATGTGATAGAGAAGAATTGAGCAATACACACGGTAGATTCTTAGATTATTGGCTACTGGAAATGAAAAACAAGGAATCTGGGTACAATAATTTCATGTGACTGATTAAAAACTATAGACTATGATAAATTTGAAAGTAGCCACACCCATATCAAAGAATATTTAAATGTACGCATTTGAAATGCTTCCTCGGAAATTTTAGTTTTCAGTAGCAACTTCTTTATACTCCCTGAGTCTTCAACATCACCAAATACTTTCCAGCTTGTTCTATAGAAAAGATGACCGGCGAACTATGGCTCACTTTGGTTGACACCGCCGACATTGTTGGATTCAGCATGACGTTTTGTGTTAACATTGTTCTCCTGTTCCTCCTAAAAAATCGAGGAAAAAACTTGGGAACTTACAAGCATCTCATGGCATTTTTCTCAGTTTTCTCGATCTTCTACGCCATCATTGAGTCTATTCTAAGACCGGTTTGTTGATTCAGTTCTCATTTACATATCCTGGACACTAGTTTGCATGTTTTCAGATCATGCACATTGAAAATGCAACGTTTTTCTTGATTTCTCGAAAACGTTTCAATTACTCAACTCGTCTTGGTAAAATCAACTCTGCGTTTTACTGTGCTTGTTTTGCCACTAGCTTTGTTGTTTCTGGAGTTCATTTTGTTTATCGATTTTTCGCAAGTTGCAAGTCAGTTTATCAATCCTACAGTTTTGTACATAGTCATTTGTTTTAGACCACACCTGCTTCGTTCATTCAACATGCCATATCTTCTGCTGTGGCCATTGGGATGCAGTATTCCAGTCATGATGTGGGCTAGTGTCTCCTACTTTTTGTACCCGGATACTGCCTTCACAGAAGCAGCAGTCACGTGAGTGATTTCTGATTTTTTAGTTTTGATAAGATTCTTGATCTCAGAAATGTACTCAATACTCACTACCACTCGATCAAAAAAGATAACGTTTCTTATATCGCTTATGTTTATGTGAGTGACAGTCACAAGAGTACAAAAGCAAAATAGAGAAAATTTCAGTATCAATACGATGAAAATGGAGTCAGATATGTTTACCTAAAGAACCTTTTGGGATGCTTTGTTCATTACTTTGTCATGGTAGTTCACAGTAACCATATAGAAATTATAAATAGTTTTCCAGTCTGCAACTTTTGTTGTTATGTTCATCTGCGGATACTTAACCTGGAAAACAATGCGGAAACATAAAACTGCGTCTGATAGAACTCGCCAGTTACAAAAACAATTGTTCAAAGCTCTGGTACTGCAGGTTAGCAACATAAATCAATAGACTATGAAACCTTGAAAAATAACAGACTCTCATTCCAACCATCTTTATGTACGCCCCAACTGGAGTCATGTTTATTGCCCCGTTCTTCAGTATTAACTTGAATGCCAATGCCAATTTCATTGTCTTCTGCTCGTTTTTGTATCCTGGACTAGACCCTTTGATCCTTATTTTGATTATTCGAGATTTTCGGCAGACAGTATTCAGTATGTTGCACATGTTGTAAAAACTCTAAAAGATCGATACTACTAGCTTTCAGTTTTGAGTCCAGGAACGGAGATTAACTGGCTCGAAGTTGACAGTTAGGTGTTGAGATCAATTAGAGTGTTTACGGTGCTGTAAGTGAAGTAACGAATATTATTCCAGAGTTCTTTTGTCTACGTAAAAAGAACAGTGTCGATGAGTCAAGATCCACAACAAGAGCTAATATGTCTCAGGTTGCCACACATTAAATTTATTCCTGATTTAATAAATTCTAACTGTTTTCTTCCATTAAAGTACATACAAAATAAATTCAACAGTTGAGAGAAGTAAAGAATTTGAAAAATTTTTCCAATGACGAATTGAGTCTAAAATAGAACACCACCAAACTTCAATACTTCCAGATAGGAATTATACTTCGTAATACTAACAAAAGAGTTCATACAACAATTTCAATAAGGACAACATTGGTTTCCAGGAAATAAAATTCTACAAAAAGTGGTTTTCCGCTTCTTTTGTTCCCAAAGCTATATAAGAATAATGGAAATTGTAAACAGGCAAGAAAATGTTCCGACCAGTTAGAATATTCATCTGTCTTCTAATTCTCACTGTCTCCTGTGCTGAACATCCTTTCGATTTTGTGGAGAACGCGTTTTATAAGTAATTCAGAAAACACCACATTTGATAAAAATTTAATATTTCAGTGTTGTCAACTGGAAATCCGATCCTTGTGATGACTTTTATCGTCATGCCTGTTACCGGAGCGATTATAAACGATTAGTTATAGAGGGTTATTCGAATGTTATTAAAGATGTTAGGTATCAAAGATCAGGTGAAAACTGGAAAAAATGATTTGATTAGCGTGAGATTGTAATATTATAACCAAACAATTTTTTTAGTTAGACAGTCTGATTTTGAAACCAATCATCTCTAAATATGGATTGATACATTGTTCAGAAAGTCGTTCAGTTCAATGTTAGTGGTTTTGCTTTTTCCAAATAATCCAAATTCAAAATATCAGATGCGAATCGAATGAAAAATTGGTTCCTTCGCTTGTTTCTAATATGGGGAAAGTTCTGAGCCGCGTTTTAAATGATGATTCGATAAGAAATCACATCGAGCAACAAATACATGGATGAAATAGCAGATGAACATTTTGAGAAAAGGATAACAGATTATTTTGATGGTATTCCAAGTCTTTCGGTTTGTTTTGGATTCGATTTATTTTTTGAAAAACTTTACCAACAGAATTCCTATTTAATCAACTTCTTTCCAATGCTCGAACAACGAAATGATGAATTCATTGAATGAATTGATCGAGGTAAACATTAGGAAAATAATATTTTTAAATCTGTGATTTATAGGAAACTCCTTGGGCGAGAAACTTCAACGTGACCGGGAAGATTCAAAATCTCGATATGAACAAAAATATGACAGATTCGATAGATGAACAACGTCGGATGCTGTCGAGTATAATCGAGATTTACAAAAGATGTTCATTGCAGTATAGAAGTATCCATAATTTCGAAAGGCTATGCTTTATTTTTACTGCAACTCCTCTGGAATATATAGAGCCATTATTGTTTGCTAACGATGACGCTGTGAACCTGCAAAACTCATTTTTGACTTTTGGTCTATCATTCTTCTACCACAACACATACAGCAAATGGAAAGCAGCGAAAGTATGTTATTCCTCTAGTTATTTCTCGATAAACCAATTGCAGCTCGGATTCACTGGGTTTCATGTTGGTCATGAAATCGCTCACAGTTTTGTCGAAGTTCATAGAACACCTCGCGAACTTGGCTATTTTTCGAAAGAATCTCAAAAATGTGTTCAAGATCAGTATCAAAAATCTTGTGATTTCTTCAGAGAAGTAAGCATTCAGAGAAGTTAGAAGAGAAATAAAAAAGTGAATTATAGGGTGAATGCTATGCAGTCCCTTCACAGTTCGATGACAACGGTGCTGATATATGTTTTCCAATAAGTCGTGAAACAACATAACTTTTTTCCAGTGAAAAGCTAAAGGTCTGGAAAAATTTGGAGTCACGAATGAACAACTCTTTTTCTATGCTTACGCTTTTGGATTTTGCAACGTAAGTGTTCATTTCCTACCTCATCTAAAGAATTTATTCCCACAGGGAAACGAATCTTCAATGGATTTAGATGATTTGAGAGATCATTCCGCTAATAACGTTCGCGTCAATGTAGCAGCACAGTATCCAGGATTTCAAAAACCTTTCCATTGTTCTGATGATTCACGAATGATGCAGTCAGCTACAGATCAATGCATCATTTATGGAAAAGATGCACCTGAAACTCACAAAAAGTTTATTCAATCAAAGTAACCTTATAATCCAAGTGTATTTTATTCCATGAAGAATGAATTATGAGAAAATGCAAAATATTACGATAAAGAAATCTTAAAACATTTTGAAAAAAATTAGGAACCGTATATTTTCCAGTTGCAAGAACGAACTGAATTATCTTGAGGGGCGGAATCAAAAAAGGCGTGTTTAAAAATGATGAAGTCACACGTTAATGTGATAATGAATACTATAAAAGCTTGTCTGACTTTTTTTTTTGAAAGATTTGGAAATTGAGAGAAGGGGAGAGGGAGTGGTAGTTTGAAATAAGGCGAGATAGAAGGAAAAAAAATTAAAAGAAGTTTCACCGATTTACAAAGTTGACAATAGGATAGAACAGTAATTCACTAGAGTGATGGCGGAATCTAGACGAAAAGACGAATGACGAGAAGGGTGGCGATGGTGAGTGGGATAGTAGTGTAGGTAGCCGAGTCAGTCATTTCCAAGTAGTTGTCATCCAGAGTTTTGGCGCGAAGAACAACACTGTCTCCTGAAATACACAAAATTTGAATTCAAAAAGTAATTCTAAAGTTCTCACCGAATCCAGCCTCGTTGATCTGTCTGAATCTCCAAACATACTCGTGTCCGTGTCTGAGTCCGTTGATTTCGTAAATACCGTCGCTCTCTGAAACTTCAAATTGCAATTATATTTCTGACGATTCAGCTCACTAATATTTCTTTGCATGAAGATAGAATGGCTCTTCCAGTACGAGTCTGAGATATCCTCATCGGCCACTCCTAAAGCTTCGGCGGTTGCAGCGCGAAGGTGACGGATTTCAACAGCGTTTACTGGAAGATCCGGCTCCTGGTCGATGGAATCAACTCTCCAGATAATCGAGTGTCTCTTGGCCTCAACCAAGGTAACTTTTGGCTCGGCTGGGGCATCTGAAAAAACGGATTTTGAATGATTTTAAAGACTTTCTGAAGTTTTGTAACTTACTTGCTTCTCTGAGGTGAACAGTGTGGATCGATTTGGCTTTGATATTGTTAGCTTCGCACTTATAGGTTCCCAAATCGTTTTCATTGACATTGTGGATCTTAAGATGGGCTCCTTGGATCAATCCGACATTGACAAAGATGTTGAACTTGTCGTTCAGTTTGATCTCTTCATCACCGTGGTAAAATGTGTAGTGACGAACTGGTGGGAAGGAGTGGGTAACATTGCAATAGACAACAGCATCACGGACATGACTATCAATGACAGTGTATTGCACAGATTCATCAGAAGCGAACTCGGGGAGAGCTGAAAATTAGATTTTGTGTTTCGTCAGATGCATGAAAAATGTCTTACTGTAGACTTCGACATTCACATCCTTGCGATCTACTACTGGGAATTCCTCATTATTACCCTCCTGGTGCATTTCGATGGTGATACAGGAAACTGCCAACTCAGCATGTTCCTTCTTCAAGCTATCAATAGTAGCCTCATTTCCAGCAATGGTCCAGATTTCTTCATCTAATGGTTCTCCGTTTCCATTGGTCATCTGAATCATTGGATCGGCTCCAGACTTGCTCTTCACACCACAGTCAACAGTGATCGGCTCTCCGAGAAGTGCCCCCTTGACAGTATCTTTGTCGTTCCATTCAATTGATGCTGAAAAAAAACAGTTTTCTGCTACTTCAAAATCATGTTCTTACGAAGTACAACCAATTTGACGGTTTTCTCAAAAGTCTCTCCTCCAGCAGTTCTTCCAGAACATGTGTAGAGCCCGGTGTCTCTAGTATGGACCGAAGAGAAATGAAGAGATGTCTTGCGGTGTTTGCTTCCTCGCTCGTTTAACACAATAGCAAAAAGGCTGGAAGAAAAAACAAAATCATTTTATTTCTCCTTTTTTTGTGAATTTTTATGTTTTAACGCATATCGAATTTCCAACAAAATTCGATGGACCAAAAATTGCTGCAAAAAAAGAAACGGAACGAAAATATCCAATTCAGAAGCTGTAACATAACACCTTTTTCCGATGTCATTTTTTTCTTTTTTCTCTCCAAAAATAAATTTTTCATTGCTCACCTTGGATTGGTTTCGCCATCGATATTGTTTCCGTTCGGTTGTTTCCACAGAAGGTCGCTTTTGTGAATCGTTTCATCACTTTCGAAAACGCAGCTCACCATCATTTTCTTTCCTGGAAACATTTACTGATTATTTGGATTCTCTACAATGGAATACGGTACCTTCTCGGACAGTAATCGTGTTGGTGTCGTAATCCATGGATTCTGATGAAATGACAATTGGATTCTCCTCATTTGACGTTGGCTTATCTGAAAATATAAGTTAACTTTTGGTCCCCACGATTTTCGGTTAGTTTTGTTGGAAATGGTAGTAGCTCTTTCTGTCTCTCTCTCTCTCTCCCGCTCTTTTTGGATACCCATTTCCGGTAAATATATAATTGAGGCGAAATATGGACGAAATAACTGAGGAATATCAAATTTCAGAGGGTGTGAGAATTTTATCGAGTCATATGGGTATCCCAATACAATTATCTCAAACTAGCTGTTTGCACAAAATGACTCATTAAGTAACATATAGCAGCAGCAATAGATAGAATTGGAAACCACACACTTTTTCGCGCACATTGGAGACACAGATGGACATGGATACACGTTTGACAAGAAATCAATTAATCATGTTATGTTTGAATAATGCTTCCAATCGACACACCGCAACTTAAAGAACTTCACTAACCGAAGAGCATTGGCTCTTCAAACAAAGGAATAAGGCGATTATCGCTTGTTAACGCGAACAAACTTCTCTGCCTGTTAAAGTCTTCGTACTCCAAGTAATCCACATCTGAAATTTCAGGGAACTAACAATTGCTTTCGCTTAACACATGTCACCATCAGTTTGATTTTGTAGTCATACCTTCATTCCTTGGCTCTGAAATCTCTTTCAACATCCCTTTGGAAAACAGTTCGGTTAAATGTTTTATGTTACTCAATGACAAATTTTACACAAAATTTCACAATTCCACCCCTCATACGTTATATAAACTGTTCGTTTTTGTACTGTTTACCAAACCGGATTCTCAAGTGTGTCTTCTTCTCCTCACCCCCAAAATGTGCTAAGGGCTCATTTGCTTTTCTTCACTTCCCGCAAAAGGTGTCATCCGACACTGGATACCAGTCAGCTCACACTAAAATTTGCATAACGAGACATAGTCCGTATACCAAAAAGACGAAGAAGAAACAATGGTAATAATGATGTACACTAAAATCTGTTGTTGCTCTTCCTGTCCCGTTTGGTACCATGTGTCTTCATTAAAGACATACTAATATGCTAATATCCCTCCTCTCAGAGAGTAAACAGGAGGATCTGGGAAAATTCAAGACAATCCATGGGTGATAAATTATGGATGCTCATAGAAAACACTATGTCACTTTCTCACGATATTGTACCTTCTCAATGTATTCATAATGAAAACTCATTGCGCATTCAAGGTGCCCCACATCTCTATCTCTTTCACTTCGCATGATCAATTTCTTTGAATAGTGCTCTGAGATTTTTTTTTTTGGTTGAATAGAATGTTTGTTTACTTGAGGAACAGAAGAAGAAGAACTGTGGTCAGTTTCTATAACCATTCAATTTGGTGGTAGAAAAACGGGAATCTATACATGCTGCTTGTTCCATTTGGTTCAACAAAAAAAAGAGAACAAGTCGGATGGAGAGTGGCAGGTAATCTAATTTTCGACCAGCGTCTTCCTTTTAAAAAGGTCCCTCCCTCCGGGGACATTGTGTTCAGCCAAAGAAAACTACATGGAGGCTTTCTCGATGGATGTGTGTAACTTGATCTGTTTGATGGTCATGTAAAAAGCCCAAGCCACTGTACTTGGGATGGCTCGTGAGGAGAAAGCGAGAAAACATGAAATCGCATACCGTACTAGATGTGGAGCGGTTGTGATTGTTTAGACATGCTCACACATTAAGGAACAGAAGTTCACTAGTGATTTAAAGTGGAAAACATTATGGGTAAATAGGCCTTCACCTTATAATTACCCAAAACGTTTTGAAATGTTTATCAAAACAGTTTCCTCTTCGAACCATTGTGGACCCATCCATAATACTATCGAATTCAAGACCCGGTCCGTTTCCCCGGCTTCCTCTTACAAAGCATTCATGTATAATTCAGGGTTTCTAATTCGAACAACAAGGGAATGGTTAGTGTCGTCCGTGTCGAGGGGGCCTGTCGGACCACCCCATTGACTCGCTTCTTTTGACTTCAAACCGCAGACATAATTGTCGTGACACGCATGATTTAGTAGGTGTTCTTTTTTAACTCAAGTCAACAATTTCGATGAAGGAAGCCCGGGGGTTTTTATCATTTTGAAAGACAGTAACGGCCAAGTAAATGGTTGTAGGCAGTTGGGTAAACATTTGGATAACTTTGTGTTTGTAGCGGGATGGAAGAGCTTGTAGTAAATCCCGATGTTATGTGATGCGTAATAGATTAATCTATTTGGAAAATGAAAACATTTCGAAGAATCTCGCTTTCTTTGGAAGTTTTCAAGGGAAAACGTTCATTTTTTGGGGAAAAACTTGGGGATTTCCCTTTTGGTTTCCGGGTCGCCAACTCCATTGACAAGTTACTATGGGAGTCCACCTGAATGTTCTTTTTCTCGACCCCGTTTTAGAAAGAAGAGAAGTCTATGTACTTAGTTGTTTCCGCCATCTGCTGCTTTCACCACAAAAATTGCAACTACGATTTGTTCGATGGATATAGTTGTAAATATTTCAACATGATCGATCAGGAAGACGGCGCAAAAAATACAAACAATCATACAGTACATGAACCTCGGAGGCCTTCTTGCTAGCATCTGAACACACAACGTGAGCCGTGTGTTACCATCTCGTCCTTCTCCTACTTCTTTCTTTTTCCCCAGCCTCCCGAATGTCAAATAGACACGGAAAAATTGCCAATCAATAAAAAAAATGGACAAAAAGGTGACTACTCATCCTTAGGTTTCATTTTCTTTTTTTTCTAGGGTACCGCCTGTTTGCTTCCGAAATGTTAAGCCATTGAGAAGGAGTGAAGGTGGCTTACCCTTCACACAAAACAAAAAGCATGGCAAACAATTGGAAAAATTATTGAAAAGCATTGCACATCGCTAGGGATAGCAACGATACTCTACGGCAACATTATATTGTGTTGAGACTTTGGAAGACAGGGAGATAGAGCCAATATAAAAATGCTGTCGTGAGGACCAAACACTTTGGAGAAGTTTTTTTTTCGAAGGAAGGGAATAGAAGAGGAAGTAGAAGAAGGAAGAATTTCAGGAAAGGGAAACAAATGCTTCCGTAGATTTTTTGAAAGTATTTCGTTAATGTACCGAACTCTTCAAAGATCAAGTTATCTAGTATAGTTTCCCTAAATTCTTGATTTCCCGATTTTCCGCAAAAACTTTTTATGCAGATCCAACCTAATTGAATCTTTGAAAGACGAGAGATATGAACCCATCTCAAATCTTCTTTTTTTCTTTTTTCTCCCCAAAATACTCACCACCACATTGAAACCAGCCAGACTTTCCTAGGGACCCTCCTAGCTATGCGATGCGACACGACAAAAAGGGGTCTATTAGTAGAAAGTTGGCAAGTGTCTCTCTAGGGGGAAAAACGGGCGCGACGGGCGCCCTGGCCCAAACACATGTTTCGAAACCTCTTAGTTTGCCCATCAGGGTTGAAAATAGATTTACAATTTCAAGTCGCTAGTGGATATTGTATCATTCCCTCCTGCATCCCATATGATGATGGCTTGTGTTTATATCGCACCATCCCGCGGATTTCTTGGGAAAAGATAAACTTTTGAAGTGTGCAACCACTTGAAATGCTCGAACTATCGCAATTGATACACCCCCGACCACCAAGCGCTAATTCTAATTTCTATACCAGCCTGGACTTCGAAATTCAAAGTTCAAGGGCTTGTCCTGAAAATCAAAATGACAAAAACCCAAAAAAAAGAACTAACCTGATGCAACAACTGCGGAAGTGAGTAAAAAGCACATCGCAAGTGGGAAGAGCATCTTTCCAAGTAGTCGTCCCATTTTTGAAAAAGAAGAATGAAGTTCTTCTGCAAAAAAAAAGACAAATAGTTGTGAAATTTTTAGGCCATAGACGCAAGAAAAAGAGAGGGAGTAAAAGAATACTGGCGGATTGTGATGGGATCATTGAAGGGATTAAAAAATAGGGAGAGAAAGGGGCAGAATGAAATTATGGGTAAATAATAGAGGGTCTAGAAAAAGGTATAGCTTGTATTACTAATAAAGAAAGAAGATGAAAAAATAATGAATTTAAAAAATATCCCTGAGAAAAATATTTTCGTCTTTATAAACCCTAAATATTAGGGGGAGGGAGCTTTGAAATAGATAAGAACAGGGTTTGAGATGAAGCTAGTTAAAAAGTAATAAAGAGAATCCAACTGATAAAAAACCCAAAAAAACATTTCTGGAAGTTAACTGGACAACAATAAGTGTTGGTCTCCCTTTCTTTCTCTTCTTTTTCTGTGTGCAAAGAGAAGGGCATAGCGTATGAGTGCGCTGCCCCCCGCGATTCTTCCTCCGCCCGCCCTCTCCTCGCGCACTATGAATAGAGCCAGACGGTTGCGAGAAACCGAAAAAGGACCGCCTACTTTCTGGAAGGGCGACGATGCTTGTAACCACTTTAAGCATAGGTAACACGAAATGATATGTGAAGGAAACTAATGTGCGGGGCAAGTGGGTTGAAAAAGTTGCGAAACTTTAGGGCAATTGGTTTGGAACATAAAAATGAGTCAGAGAGAATGAGTCCCTTTGGGAAAATTCCAGAATTCAAGTTTGAGAAGGTTTCGGGGGGGGGGGGGGGTCTGAAATTATCATAGTTTCGCTTTAATCCCAGAGTTTGAAAAATGGGGCGAAAAACAAGCGTCTAAATAAACTGATAAATGGAAAATTTGAAAAGATAGTCCAGAAGAAAAAACCGTCAAACTATTGTAAGCTATAGAAGATAACCCGACTGAAAATTTGAATAACAAAGAATTTGCTTTTTTTAAAGGAATGGAAATATATAATATCACTTTGGTTCTTCCCGAGACTATGGATTTTATGAAGCGGAAATCTATTCAAAAAACTCCAAGGGGTTTCTTTTTTTAAACCTAAAATATTAGAACCGGACGTGAGAAAAATGATCTCAAGATATAATAACTGGGCTGTGAAACAGAAAAAATTATTCATTTTGGGAATCTTCAATTTTCAAAAAATGGAGAGAAATCAGGTCCCTATTCTAGTTCCAGCTGGTTTTGAGAGTTCAGAAGATTTTTCGAAAACTACAAAAAATCTTAAAAAGACACATTCAGGCGGCAATAAAAATTAAAAATCACAGCTGGCTTTGGGGTCATGACCAATAGGGAAATCAGCCAAGATTAGATATTATAGCGCACTCTTCTGAATCCAGATGTTCTGAACCTGTTCGAAATGGATAAAAGTGCAATTTTTGATTTACTCAGATGCTCGAACACTTAAAAAGAACCTTCTCGGGCTGAGGGTCACGACCTTGCCAATGTTAGGGAGATATCAAACGAAAAAGTGCATTGTGGGTTCCAGCTGATCAACGTGGTAGAAAATCTTGCGATGATACAGAGAAAGTGAATAATATTCTAGAAAAGACAAATCTGTAAGAGGGGGAAAACGAGAGGAGAGAAAAGAGATTGAAAGATTTTGACTGATCATTTTTTTGGTTATCATATTCGGTAGGCGGGGTCTCGTGAATCGTTTGACCACCGGATAAATATGTTTTTTTTTATTTCAAAATATTGAAATTTCGAAATTCACATTTCAAAATTCCAATTGGGGAAACAAACCCAATGTGATGAATTTACAAATCCAATATTGCTAATATATTTTATATGAAATATCAAAAATGTAATGTTAGTCTTTTTGTCTTCTTGTTGTTCCTGACAAAACACTAAGTGGTTTCCAGAAAACGTCCTCCTGCTCTTGCGGGGGTTGCAGTGCAACATGTTTTTTGTGTTTTTTGGGGGCTCTGACTCATATGAGAACAGTTCGGAATCCGGATTTTCAAAACCCCCACGCATGGATTTCCAAAACACGTGCCAACGTTTCTATCAGAAAAAATGGGTTTGTGTTTTGAATAGAATTTGGGCATCCATCAAGGAAAATGGACGATTTCCGTTTGCATTTTTTTGTTTATGTGGGCGGACTGATGCTGACATTTCAGACCATCTCTCTTTCCTATTCAATCATTCTCTATCTGAAAATGCAAGAGAATATACGGAATCCATCCAAGAAAACCAATTTGCTTGGTATTAGGTACACGTATTCGAGTCGTGCTCGATTTTCAACCATTTGAGCCATCTCAATTTTCAAAACCTCTTTTTTTGTGGAATAAAAAGAACCGAATTAAATTTGAAAATTGGGAAGGAAAAAGGTAAATTGAGAAGGAAATCGAATTAAGGTTGTGCTGACCGCCGGCGGCGACACAACCTGAAGGATTCTGCTCCTTATTAATGTGACGAGCAAAAGGTCCGGGAGTCTTTGGGAAGAGCCACAAATAGAGGACAAATCACTAATTGGAAAAAAAACAAGGACCAGGAAAAATAGGAAAAGACAAAAAAGAAACAACTCATCACGATTTTTGGTGCAAGCGAAAAAAAACCAAAAAAAACCACAGAAGTGGAAAAATATCCGATTACCATGTGAGGAGTCCTGAAATTACATCTAATTTTTTTTGAGGGAAAATGGCTGAAATTGATTTACACTTTTTTCTTGTTTGTCTTATATTTCAAGTCTAGAGAAGGCTGCAAGTATGTTCAGATTTTCAGAGACTTGATATTTTTTCGATAATTATTTTTCCGTCATAAAAAATATATTATCAGCGGTCCTATAAATTTCTTGTTCTCAGACCGTTAAAAAGGTGATTTTTTTTCGAAGTTTTATTGCTTCTCCAAAATTTCGTCCCGTATTCTGACCTGCGAAAATCATAAAAAGGAAGTTTTATGTGCCTATCTTATCATCGTACCAAGTGGGTCTGTCCATAGACCCAAATACAATATTATACAGTTTGACAGAAAAAGGGGACCGACCAGCACCTTGTAACAAAGAAAAAGGACGGAAACGATAGACGCTCAGATTTCCGTTTCAACTCTATTGTAAGCCACTCATCTCTAATTAGAAGAACGTTTGGCGGATTAGGAGACGGAGAGCGGACCGACAGCTTGTACAAGACAATAGAAACAATACGATGGGTCGCATTTCGGAGTTGCTAGTGAAAGCAAAAAGTCAAAAACATTGGCGTTTGAAAACTTATATAATCACCTTTTTTTCGAGGACTTTGACTTCCAATACCTTTTCATGGAGGTTTCTGGACACTCATTATTTTTGGCTGTGTAATTCAATATGTGTCCCTCTAACTGGATAAGAGGAGATAGAATTCCGTTGAAGAAGTTGAGGGGAGACGGGTGGTGGTGGTATGAATTTCATTGTGTGTGAGCGATGGTGTCTCTTTCAGAAACTTACTGAGGAGAATAAGAAGAGCAAGAGCAACTACCAAGGTGGTGATGTGGGGCTTCTCAGGAAAAAAACTATAGAAAAAAGGGCATGCGAACAAGCGTTTTTTGCACAGATGGAGTTGTTTTTGAAACAATTTGATATCGATAAAGTTGAGGGTTAAAAAAAGTAAAAATTGAATTTTTCTACTTGGATATTGGATATCGTCAACTCTTCCTTTTTCAAGGTTGTTCCAAAAATGCCGAAAAAAAACAGGCGCCGCAAAAATTGAAATCGAAAGCATGGGAACGTGGATATTCTGTAGAGTTTTCTTCACAAAAAAAACCAGATCTTGAGGAATATGCCATAACCGTCAGCAGTTTTCATCAAAATGATGGCTGGGGAGTTCTAATCTTTTAAGGGGAATTTTGAAAAAAGAAAATAATGGATGAAAAATCACATTTGAAAAATAAGGAAAACTATTATTCCGGTACAAAAAAAATTGGAGCTGATGAAGAGAAACTCCGATGGCGTTAGCCGAAGGTCCCGCAACAACAACTACTGTAATTATCAGTAAAAAAATGACAGAAAACTCACGAAACTTGAGAAAATAATTAGGGAAAATGTAAATATTTTCAGGTTACGGTAGTTTTCTTTGTCGGAACTTTAGCCATGGTTACCGGCGCTCCTTTCCACAGCTTTAATTTTTATTGTGTGGGTTTTTCAATAATTAGAATTGAAAGTCGGGAAGTTGGGAAATTTGCTTTTCTCCGTTAAAAAAAAGCTTTGAATTCCAATTTTTCACTATTTTTCAAATTATAAGTCAGAATTCGCGGCTAAACTCCAAAAAGAATATAACAAACACCCACATGTTTTGTTTGTTGGCTTATTCAAATTTGATGAAAAGCCACGAGGGATAGAAATCATGCCAGCGAATAAAAAAAGAAGAGAAAAAACAAATGAACAGCCCATTAATGTCTATTTTGTCCTCTCTTTTTTGTAATGCACTTATAATAGTGCAAAAAAGACATATGGCAGAATTGGCAGAATAGAAAAAAAAGGACCCGAAAGAAACAGAGCTGACAATGATAACACGTGTCTGAACAAGATAAGTCAGGAAATGGTTTGGGTTGTTTTGTCGGAAGGAAGGAAGGTTCCAGAAGAAAAAATTCTCGAATTTCAAAAACCAAATCCCATATATCCAAAACAAAATGAGGCTGGAGTAGAAGAATGCGAAAAAAGGAAGAAGAGGAAAAAAACACAAAATTAGAGACTGCCTCGATAAAATATTTGAGAAGGGAAAGCTTTATCTGCGTCGTATTCTTGAGAAAAATGAAAGAAAGAGCAGTTCGCAATGCTTTTTTACGCTGTTTTTTATTTCTTTTATCCGTTCTTTTATTTTTATTATTTTTATTTCTTGTACCACAAGAAAAGTTTTACTTTATTGTCAAAAAAGCAAATAGGGACATGTATACAAAAAGTAGCGAAACTCTCTTATGTGTTTAGAATAACAAGAAAAGTCATCATCACCTATCATAACAATATATCTTGTATATCCTCCCAAGAAAGGAACCGCACACGCGACGAGATTTTGACACCAGATAAGAAAAGGATCTGAGGAGAAAATTGAATGGTTTGGAAGACAAGTACTGGCCCCCCTCCGATCGGGTTAACTTTCTTCTACTATGCCTTTAATGAACATTGGCACTCAATCAACCAGTAGCCTTCTAACTCTCACCTCGCCCGCGCGCATGGCCCCAAAAGTTTCTCACGATTCCATTAGGAATGGACGCAAAAGTTGTTACGCCTCGATTAACTATTGAAAGAATATCTTGATGATCACCCTTCATCGTAGAAAGAGGTCCACCTGGATAAGTGTCTGCACTTTTATGGGTGTGTGTAAAAGCAATGAGGTACATGGAGGTAAGGAGATATATACGAATCTTTGGCGAGTTGTGTAATAAACTTGGAATAAGCTTGGAATCTCCTATGTTTTACGAATTGAAAATGAAAACCGATTTATTCTCGTGACAGGGAAAATTATTCAAACATCTTGCAGTATTTATTGATGCAGATTTTTCTCTCCGGACAGTGTTTATCACGAGTGCATGTCAATGAACCAAATTGTACTTGGTGGCGATGAGCAGATGTTGAAGACGCGTAGGAAGAGAAAACTCCTGTAGATTGACCAGAAGAAATCTCCACGCAGAATCCTCTGGTGCAGGAGAATCTCGATGGGCATTGCAGATTGTATTCACATCGAATTGGCATCTGGCGGAGACAGGAAGTAGATGGAATGCAGCGACCTTCATGGTTGTAGACGTATCCTTGTATGCAATTGCAGGAGGGCCGAGTGCAGTCAACTCTGAAATTGTGAAATTTTTTGCTTGAGCTTTGAAATTTCATTGAAGACTATGAGAATTATTTTGACAAGGGCACTTTGTAAAGCTAGATGATTATCAAAATTTCTGATTACACCAATGACTGCTAATTTAGATTCTTCTGAAAAGGTCAGAACCCGCTCGTCAGTTTGAGACGACTTATATCAGTTTCATAACAAAAATTCGCATTCAGTGCAGAAACACCGACTTTTAAAGATTATGTTTTCAGTTTCTACGACGTTTTGCACAGTTTTTTTAATACTCAGAATTGAATGAACTTCTATTACTCAGTAATTTTCTCCAAACGTTTTTTGTCAACTTTTGGAATTTTTCCCACCTGCATTTTTTTGAAAATCTTGAAATATTTTTTTGAGAAACTGTATGAAATATGCAATGTCATTAAATTCTAAGTCTAATACTACAAACTTTATGTTTAAAATGCCTTAGAAATTGAGAATATCGTCTTTGAAAATCGCTGTTTTTCCACTGAAACCGCGATTTTTGGTACTGAAACATATATGAATCGGTTGAAACTGGCGAGACTATTCTAACATTTCCAGAAGTGTATGGATAGGTTATTTTTAACCATGTTAACCCTGATTTGTAAAGAATTCAAAAATTAGTTTAAAATTTTGATTAATATTCATGGCCTAATTTCAAAGACAATTCAAGGCAAAAAAGTTTCCAAACAAACCTGCATGTCGGATTTGGAGCCTCACAGGTTGGTGGACAAAGTTGTGTACATGGTGTATAGTTTTCGTTGATCCGACAGTTTCCTGGAGAAGTTGAATACCATTTACCTTGCACCGACGACGTGATCTGTCAATAATGTTTCCTTAACAAGTAAACACTCGAAAATTAACTCACCACAAGAAAGATTAAGCAAACAGAAACTCGCAAAAAAAACATCATGACGAATCTAGAAAATATTGAAAGCTAGAACATTTATATACTGAGTGCCTCAGAATCAAGAATGTGTAATATTTTTTTCTTAATAAACCATCATATTGGTGAGCCGCTCTTGCTTCCCTCATACGAAACCTTCGCATCATCAATCTTATGACACATGCATCGGCTTTTACAAAGACAGATTGCCCTAAGAGTAAAAAAGTTTTGCACTGAATCGAATCTCCCACACGTCCCCACTGAGACTTTGCTTTTTGAAGAAGATTTATGAAGCTTTCAGAAAAAAATTTTAAAGGGATTGGCAATGTTTATTGGAATTTGGAATAATACAATGAAAATGAAATGTACAAATTTAAGAGCTTCTCTTCTGTCTGAGCACGTAGCTGCTGCAGTATCCAGATGAGCAATATCTGTTGGATCCACAGTCAGAGTTGTAGGTGCATCTAGTGTTGGATCCTCCGTATTGGTTGGAGTTTCCATAAGTGTTGTATCCAGAAGATCCAGGTCCATAGTAGGAGCTAGATCCAGTGGATTGGCACATGTTGTTGACACATCTTTGGTTGAGTCCACAGGTGTTGTCATAGGTACAGTAGTCTGGAAAAATTATTTTGATGACAAGAATGGGCTAGACAAAGTTACTAGGTGCAATGTAAATTGTGCAACGACCGTTTTCGCAACGTTCATCGTTAGAGCAGGAGAGACTGTTAATACATTGTTCTGAAAATTGGGTGTGCAAGGAATTGGTGTGGGGGGAGGGAAGTATGTGTCTCAAGGTTAGATTTGAATCACTCACTTCCAGTGGACGAGGAGTACATAGCATTGTTGTAAGATGTTCCGTACTGAGCAACGCACATTCCATTGGAGCACATTTGTCCCGACATGCAGTCAGTGGTGTAACGGCAAGTCATGGATCCAGCTGAAACAAGACATTTTAATACCGTTTGTGCTGAATTTCCCTTACAGCTGTATTGGTTTCCATACATGTTGTTGTTGCTTCCGTATATGTTGTTGTTGGAGTAGCTGCTCTGGCATCTGTTGTTCATGCAAGTCTCTCCAGAACGGCACGAGTAGGATGTGGTACAATAGACTCCGGATCCAGTGGTTCCGTATTGGCTGTTCATATCGTACTGATTGTTGGAGTAGACCCCTCCGTTGTAGCTAAGCGAGTTCATGCATTGTCCATTCGAGCAAGTCTGACCGGATGAGCACTCATAGGAAGATGAGCAACTTCTATCTGAATTCGTTTTCAGTTTTCAGATATTACTGTAATTTAAACTTACAATTGTTGCTGTAGCTCGGTGTGGAGGTGTAGTATGTGGCAGCAGAGGCAAAGCCAACAAGCTGAAAATCCGAAATTTGTATTGGAATCAACAGTGGAAACTCACCGCAAGAAGAATGGAGAATTGCATTTTGAGACTCGATGTGGTCTTGGATACTCCATCCTGACCTTTTTATACGTTCCTGAATTGAGTTATTTGTCTTGGACTCGATAAACATGTGCCCGAGTGTGCGTCGTTCAAGTAAACACATGTTTTTGCCAGAAAAATCCTTTAGTTCATAAGAAAATGTCTGCCAAAGGGGTACAGAGTCAACAAACGTTGTGATAGAAGAAGTCCGCTGTGATAAGTTTACGTTATTGACTTATTTCGTGTTGTTTCTTGTGCCACTACCCATGTCACAAATACCTCCCCGTGTATATTGACTTTACACAACGGACTTTAGTTTTTTTTTTCTGTTTGAGTTTTAATGTAACTTCTCATCACGAGAATCTAATTTGATAGATCAAGCAGAATCCGGGAATAGATTCTTTGCTCAAAGATTAATTTAAAATAACTTTTTTCTTTGCATGTTGCTTAGTCATGAAACATCTGGAGCCAGTGTTTCTCACATCTCCGATCTGTTATTGTCGGATTCTAGAGCTAACATGATTCATTGTTCTCGCTTTGCTCAGAAACCACAGATTGAAATGACAAACAACTTTGAGATGTTTGTTAGGTAAGAGTATGGTTTGGGAACTACGGTTTGAAGAAGGTAAACTTGCTTTGGCATAATTTTGAAACGGGCAAAGCAAGTACAAAACGTTGGTCTCCCGTCGCAGTGGGATTTGAAAATTGCATTCAAACAGAGTAATGCATTGAGTTTATAAAAATAATATACAGTGTGCTGTGAGGTTGCCATCCTCTTCTCAAGTCTCATACGTGAAAACTGTCGATAACTTGATGTTGAGTTGCATAATCAAATTCAGAGCTCAATTAACTTATGATTTGCAATTTCTGAACGATATCTGAATGAATACCCATTTAACATTAGGCCCTTAAAAAAGCAACTGTTGCACATTTATTTTTTAGGTTCACATCAGGCCTGTGCGGCAACAAATTGCCGATTGCCGAAATTGCCGAAATTGCCGAATTTTTGTTGCCGATTTGCCGTTGCCGAAATCGGCAACGAAGAAAAAGTTGCCGAATTGCCGTTGCCGATTTCGGCAAAAAAATTTCGGCAATTTCGGCAACTGAAATTTTTTGAATTTTGAGATTTTCACAATTTTTTTAGTCAAAAAAATTATTTCGAAGTTCGAAAAATCAAATTTTGAACACCATCTTCTCTCAGAGTGAACTTTAGAGGAAATGTGTCCCAATAATCATCAAAAATACTTGTTCGGATCTAAAAATGGGCTTCAAATTTGTGAGCATAGGAGAAAAATAGATATCATGAGTCACAACTCATCAAAAAAATTATCCAACCTGTCTCAAATCTCTAGGGAACGTGTCGTGAGTTGCCTAACAAGTTGAGCGCACTATTTTCAAAACTCACAATCGGAACAAATATTTTCAACTATTGGAATACCCTCTATTGCTAAAGAAAAATAGTTTGCATAAAAAATGTGGTCTTGAGTTGCCAATTTTTGTAATTACTTTTTTAAGGAACTTATGAAACACATTATCTGTAGTTCTGAGCCTGATAGAAGCATTTTCAGGTGAGTTACGTATCGATTTTACTTAAAAAAAAGACGCAAAACTTTTGTTGCCGAAAATTGCCGAAATTTTTTTTCGGCAATTGCCGAGTTGCCGAACGTTGCCGAAACCTATTCGGCAAATTGCCGAGTTGCCGTATTGCCGAAAAAATTTTGTTGCCGCACAGGCCTGGTTCACATCACGTGCCAAAAATAGCAAAATTAATGAGAATTAATATTCGGAGTGTCTACCCTTTAAAATAATAAAATTAAAAATACTATTGGACATCGGTGTGATAGAGTTTGGAATGTGCCGGATGATTTTGAGTTGAATCTTCGGTATCAACTCGATATATTATATGACGATAGAATTTCGGAGCATCCCGAAGGCGTGATGCTTCTTGCCATGTCGTTTTTTTAGCAAGCGATAAATAATTTCTTGAACTAGTGTGTAGCAAAATGGGTGTTCAGTGAAATTCTTCAAGAAACTTGAATTTCGCCAACATTATTACAATAAGAACCGATATCTTCAAACAATTTTGTTAAAAACACACGCTCTATACTTGTCAGACAATCAACAGAGGCAAGGGTTCAAACAAAAGCTATATATAACAGTGTTGTTGGCCGTTTATCACCAGAATCTGTTTTACAGCACCTTGCCAACAGACAAGAAAGTGTTGAACTCTGAATACAGCCCATATTTCAATTTTTATCAGTCTAACTCTCAGCTTGTGGTAATCCAACTGAAACTTCCTAGGTAATGTCGATATTCTGCGTGCAAACACATATCCCCATCAATTTTTATGAAGAATTAAAAAGTATCTCAATGGGAAGCCTAATAAAACAAATTGAAAAATTTTATTCGAAGTTTTCCCAACTATACACTATTTTTCTTCGGTATTTGTTTTCTCTCTTTGGTTATCCTTTCCACCAAAAATCAGTCCGTACCTTTTTGATACAGATTAGTTTCCAGTTTGAATATATTCCAAATAATCATATTTTTTGAGAGGCGGCTTCAAAGTGTCTCTAAGGTGAAGCGAATGTACATATAACAACCGTGACAACCGCTTTTTTCACCGAAACCATATTTATCCAATTCATCATCCATATTGAAACAAAGAAAAATATTTATCACCCGTTCCATTAAATCCTTCTATTTTCACGTTAACTTGGAGTCAACAGACGAAATCCGCCATTATGAAATTCGACTGAAATCTGGAATAAAATGTCAAGTTTTCCAATCTGAAAGATTGTGTATCATATTTTTTGAAAAATCGTCATCGAGACTTCATTTTACAAAGAATTCAAATTTAATCTAACAGAAAGGGGTCGATATCATGAGAAAAAACGAGAAACACTAAACATTAGATCCAGAATTTAGTTCTCGAGAGCAGCAAGACGTTCTTGCTCCTTGACGGCCTTCTTGGTAGACGAGGAGACGAAGTCGGCAGGAACCTGGAATAATATGATTGAGTATGGACCGCTTTAAGTGAAAGGATGTTTCGTTTTATCCGCTAATACATCCGAAAGATGTTTTTCTCTTGTAAACCGAATTTCCAGAGATCTAGTTTCTACTGTAATCTGGACCACGAGCTGATCAGAAAACAACGTGTGCAGTACTAGCTAATGACTCGATAGACAAACTTACAAGGTATCCGTAGACGTAGCGACGGCCAATCATTTCTCCGACGAAGAACCAGAAAGCGATCTCAAGGGTGACGGCAGTGTAGACGAGTCCTTCCTGAAAAACGGAGATTTTAAGAGAATGGATAATATGCTCAAGATAATTTTTTACATATACATTTAGAATCCAGGCTAGCGCATACTGTTTCTATAGAATCAAGGTGTAGTCCATTTTCTGAAATTTTGTGAGCCGGAAATTTTTTAGGCAAGCATGTCTAAATTTGCAACACCGGCGATATCACGTATTCGATGATTTACAAAACTGATGAGCGACTGAACTCAGCCAAACAGTAACATCGACTTCTTCTGCACGTCTCTAAAATGTCAGTAACTTTTAGCTTCCGGTCAAGTTCTGCGTTCGTATATTTTTATGAGAACTAGAGGAGACATCATCGTATGTTTTTATGAGGGCTAGAGGAGGGATCATTTTGGGGTCCAGTGGTTGCTGAAAAGATCCCTGGCAGCATCTAGGTTTATCTCATTCCGTTTTCTGTTATATCACAGCAAAAGATTTATAGTAAACTTTGCGTTTGTCTGTGACTGGCATCTAGACAACAACACAGCTCCGATGCTGATGAACTAGCTCCTTGTTGCTGGCTCATGAAAAAAATCAAATTCTCACCTTAACAGTCAATTTCTTGTATCCTCCGGCTTGGATGAAGTTTTGAACCTTGGCCCAGTCGGCTTTGATGGCTGGCCAATCAGCTTGACGTGGTGGAGCGAGCTCGTGCTTTCCGACAGCCTGAAATGAAGAAAAATAACATTTTTTTACGGATTTTCCCTGTGAAAATGTCTATCATTGTGCAGAAACTTGCTAGAACGTACCTTCAAAATCTGGAGGCGACGTGGGAATTGAGCAGCTTGGTGACGGTACAACGCCCCAGAGAGATTGGCGATCTTTTCGAAGAATCCAAGTTTTGGAGCTGCCATTCTGTAAAAAAATTAAGTTTATAGAGCGAAAGTATGATTTCAAGCAAACGAAATATACGTAATGTTGGACGGAAAAAATTATGCTAATAGTTGTAGGCGAAAAAATTACAAAAATCGGGCGAGTTTCGTCTAAATTAGCCATTTTTCATCGCGTAAAATGTGTTGTGCACCGCCTTGGGTCGGCCCGTTTTCCTCTCTTCGTTGCGAGACCAACAACCGTGTGCAGTAGGGCGAGTTTGCGCGCGCTACTCTGTATTGGAAAAGAGGGGAGGACAGTCAAGGACACACGGCGAATAATCGATTTTGCGAGAGAAAGCTAAAGGATTTCAGTTGAAAAATCAAGGAAGAAACATTAGTAAGCTTCTAAAATTATCAAATATAATAATAATTCTTATATGGTACAGAAGAAGTGGAAAATGAATGCTTTTAATCGAAGAAATTCAATTTAGCAGTCCAGAAACAGTGTTTCAACGTCTAATATTGTGTATTTCAGCTTTTTTACCAATCAAAGTTCTTTTTAGTGTCCCGGAAATCACTTTGGAAGGAGCAGTCAACTCAATTATCGTCTATTGAGCAACCAATTAGCGACAAATTGATGAAGAATGGATTGGGAGAAATGAAACAGTTGGAATGTCTGGCCACCTAAAAGTTCTGTTACTGGTTCTACTCCTGTACAATGGATCAACTATACGAATCGGTTGGCAATCTTTTTCTGTTTAAAAAATCCAGATGCTTTTTAGGATTGATAACCAGCCACCACTTGGAACATTCTGTGCGGACAGCTGTGAATATCATAGTGCCAAGAATAAATGAGCAAATCGTGAAGACTCGTGGCGTTTGTTTCATTTCCCACACGTCATTCATTGTACTACGGAACTCGCATGACGATTTGAATGAGAGAAGTAAGCATTTTTAGATTTTCGCAAAATGAAAAATGATTTTTTTAGTTTGCGGTTTGGCCAAATCGGAAGTGACAGTGATTATTGGAGTGGTGGACCGAGAAACAGGCTCAATAATTGAAGAGCAATGCGCGGAGCTCAACATTCTATTCATCCACTACTATTGGACCCCGGGATATCAAAAGTTGAGCTTTTTTTAAAATTCCGACTAACATTGGTACTTACAGAAAACAACAAACATCTCTCAATCTCTATCCATCAATGGAATATTCTCAATTAATGGAGAGGCTTATCAATCTGTGGCGTTGGGATAATTTTGTGTACATCTACTCAAACTACGATGCTCCGAAGCAGTTGATCGAAACTCTATCGCGATTAGAGAAAAGTCCCGCTTTGCTCCGAGCGCATACTTTGGACGATAGTATGATGGCAACAGCACTGGCGTTGAGAGACACATGTGATCGGAATCGGTGCTGGCCGAAGAAGAATCGAGTGCTCATTGAGCTCAGCCCAAACGAGACGTTAACGTTCTTCGATGCTTCATTGAAACTTGGAATGATAAGCGTACACAATTGGTTCCTTATCACCGCGCTAGACGATCTGAAGGACCATCTCTCCCAGTATACACACAATGGAATGCGTGTTTCCCTACTCACTGTATCTAAAGAGAAATGGAATCAGAATGATTTGGCTATCAAACTGCCGGATATGTATCAAGACTACCTGGCACACATACCAAATAGTCCTCGGACTCCATTTGTGAGTTGAAGCAGAACATGGTTTTCAGACAGAACAATTAATTCCAGAAGGATTTTGCATTCATCTTCGATTCGATTCTACTGGCATGTCACTCTGGAGAGAGAAAAATCAAAACTTGCGGTGACGACGAGCCAGTACGAAAATACAAACTTCCCATTGTCAAGGTTAGTTTCAATTCTAATTGTTAAGCTTATATTTTTTTTTTCCAGCCGTTCAAAGGGCTTACTGGCACGATATCATTCAACGGGACAAGTGAACGAAGCGATAGTGAGCTACACATCTGGGAAATGGGCATCACTGGAGCTGGATTACATGCAAGCTATCATTTCTATCTTTGATTGAACTGGTTTATGTTGAAAATTTGTGGAATTTCAGACAGGAACGTGGAAATCGACTTGGGAAGGGTCTAAAGAGCTCACAATGCTTGCTAAGAACATTCCTGGAACCCATGAGCATTATCAAGCTTCTGTCAGAGAATCGCGAACACTCAAAGTGACGTCAATTCATGAGAAACCATATGTAATCGAGAAGATCATGCCTGATGGTCGAGTGAAACATGAAGGATTCTGCGTGGATTTGCTGGATAAGCTTGCTGAGATGCTTCATTTCAATTACACGCTGAAGATTGTCAAAGACAATAAGTATGGAGAGAGGAAGAATGGAACGGATGAATGGGATGGAATGATTGGAGAAATATTAAGAGGAGACGCTGATATGGCAGTGGCCCCAATTACGGTCACAGCGACTCGTCTGGAAGTGATTGATTTCACTGATCCATTCCTCCAACTCGGAATTTCCATGTTGATGCGTCAACCCAATCCAAAGGCGTCTTCCTCGTTGACCAGATTTTTGTGGCCTCTATCGGCAAGGTAGTGTTAACCTCTTTTATTTTTTTCGAAAAACCAAATTTCAGTGTATGGACCTTCTCCGCCATCGCCACTGTACTAACAGCCTTACTTGTCACCATCGCAGCCGTTTTATCGCCAAAAGAGTCGACAACTGAGTTTAAGGTGCAGAATTCTGTGTGGTACCTGGTTTGTATTCTGCTACGAGCTGGATCTGGATACAATTGTCAAGCTGGTGCGACGAGGTAGCCGTTATAGACATAATCAAAGTAGCGAATTTCCGAATTCAAACGCAAATTTCAGATTGATATCTGCGGTATGGTGGACATTTACTCTAGTCCTCATTGCTCAATATACTGCCAACTTTGCTGCGCTGCTGACTGTGGACCGAAAATCTATGCCATTCAATGTATGTTCGTCTATTTTACGAGCAACACCACTAATTTTTGCATTTCAGAGTTTCGAGGAGCTGGGAAATCAAACGGAATACAATTTTGGAGCGATTCTAGGAGGTTCGACAATGCAATTTTTCAAGTATTCAAGGATTGAAACTTTCCGACGCTTATGGGAGAGAATGCAGAGTGCCGAGCCGTCAGCATTTGTGAAGACGAACCATGAAGGTGTTAACAGGGTGTTAAATGAGAAGTGAGTGACGAGCAGGTTTGGTTTCGAGTCAAAACGAATATATTGGTTGTAGAAGCAAAATTCTAGGTTTTTGGAAGAACTTCCATATTGCAAATTTGAAGACTAGTAGAATAGGCCTCAAAGCTCTCATATGACTGCCACATCATTAATGAACTTTTTCAGATATGTGTTCTTGATGGAATCGGCCACTCTAGACTACCAAGTAACCCAGAACTGCAACTTGACTCGCGTAGGAAACGTTGTCCTTGGCTCAAATGGTTATAGCATTGCTCTTCCGAAAGGATCCAAGTGGAGAGAAAAGTTAACTAGACAAATTCTGGATCTCAACGAGAAAGGCATCATTCTGATGTTGAAGAATAACTGGTGGAAAAAGTCGCAACAGTGAGTATCTCACTTTCCTTCGAAAAGTTTATGTTGAATATTCAGAGAATGCCAATCGAGTGAACCTGAAGATCTACAAACCGCTCTGGGAGCTGAAAACGTTTACGGTTTGTTCCTTCTTCTAGCCCTTGGAAGTGGAATTGGTGTACTTTGTGCTGTCCTTGAACACACTCACTTCATTTTCTTCGAGAAGAACAAACGCAATGGACAGACTCCTAAACTGCAGCAGATGATCGAAACGATTCATGCTGAGATTCGGAATTCTCCTAAATTTTGAACTGTCAATCTTTCAAATGCCCCATTCAGTCCAATAAATATATATTTCATAATTTCGTAACACCATTTTTTCACGTTTTGTTTCGAAATGCGGTTGTTTATCGCTCGTGTACTTGAGTCTGCGTCTCTTCACTTCGTGAAATGTATAACCACTAACTGACGTTGCATAGAAAGAGGACCTAGTTAGTTCAACTACTTAGAATGTTTTCTTCACATTTATTTTTTTTGGCAGAAGATTTTTTTTCTCAAGTGCTATTTTTGATATTGGAAATTGAAACTTGTGACACGTCTCTTTTTTAATCTCTCTTATTCTATGACAGACATTTTACCTGATTAATGACAGACATTCTACCTGATTCTCAACTTCAAAATTTTACAGAATAATTTGAAAATGGCCGATCACTATCTTCGTCAAGTCATTGATCATGCTCAGAACAATAATGTAGGATTTTCACCACAAACTTCTCAAAAAAAGTTCATCGGAATCATTTCAGCGTCTACGTGGAACAATGTCTGGAATCTTCTATCAAACCGCGTACGCAGCAGCTGGAGCTGGAGCTGGAGGTCTTCTCGCGGGACCACTTGGAGCAATGTTTGGTACGATGGCCGGAGCAGTGTATGGATATGCAAACTCGGATGATTACTCGGTGATAATTTGAGAAATATATCAAAACAATAATCCTGAAAATATTTAGAGCGTTTTCGGAATAATCAGAAATTTGGAAGATGAGGAGAAGGACATTCTGGCTTCCACGGTAAGATTTCAATTGATAAACGAAAACCTCAGAATATGTATGCTAGTTGCAGATCAGAAATCATGTTGGAGGTCTCACATTTTCTGAATTCGTCAACTGGTTCAAGGATATGAATCATCAAGCGACTTTCATGCAGCTGTTGATGGCCTACTTGGCTGCCAACCAGAAATCGGCGGGAACTTCCAGACGTTGAACTACAATCAGTGCTCTTTTTATTTTGAAACATAATAACATAATACCTCAAATAAACTTGTCAAAGATCTCGTATAAATTGTTTTCCTGATTAATAAATAGACCTTTTTCAGAAAGAGAAATTCCTTTGATTTATTTTAAAAAACGTTCGAAAGAGACTCAGACAGAAATGTTTCTATAGAAGTAGATAGAGATCAACCTCCTCTCCCATAAACCAAGATTAAATCTGCTCGATGAATTCCTTTCGAATGCTGCTCTGAAAAAGTTTTAGTTACCGTTCAAATATTGCTTCTCACTGCCATCGGACTTTCTGTTTTTATTTCTAATTATTGGCGACTGAATGAAAAGTATTATACAATTTTTACTCATGTTTAAATTTCTTTAAGGATGGAGGGAAACATGAATGACTCGTTTTTGGAAAATAATGACGCAGAAAAGTTTAAGAATGAATATTTGGAATGTTCCGAAAACTTTACCAATGCTTTTCTGGAGACACAGCAAGCAAAAATCAATATAAATAACAAGAAAGCTATCTGGAATGAGACTGTCAACAAGATCAACGAAGCTGAAAATCAACTAAAGGCAATGAATGATCCATACCAACTTTTCGAGGAAAAAATGGAGCAATCTTATGTCAGTGTTGAAATATATCACCGATGAATCATCTGTAAGCTGTCTTCCAAACATTTTTTACTGACAGTTTTTTACTGAGATACAGTTTCCAGGATCCACAAAACGATGTTCGACAAGAGCTTTCTTTAATGGAAAAAATTCTCGAAACTCCTACTTTGTCTGCGCTAGAGGTAACAAATCTAAAAAGTTGAAAAAGGTTTCTCACAGCACTGCATTAAACTTTAAACTAACGTGAACTCAATTGCATACTTGTCACGAGCCGCGTCGAGTAAAACATACAGAATATTCTTGATATTTTTATGTACATTTGAAAAGTTTTTATGCTTCAATTTTTGTAAGAGCAGAGTATCGCATCAAATTTGCTCCTCATAATCATAGTTCCACTCTGAAAATTTACTGTAAAACCTCTTTAGGTGCCAATTCCGGTTGATTTTGAGAACTGATTGACCGATGGATTAATAATTTTTTTTTGTTTCTTTTGTTTTTAGTATTTTTTTAATGGATTTAGTTGTACACAGCCGATTTTTTTTTCAAAAATTGCAATTTATCACTATAACGTTCTCTATCTGATTCCTCGAAAAAAAGGTAACATTTCTTTCAAAGAGCCACGAAAAAGTGATTATATGAAGCAATAGATTAGCCGGAATTCGATACTTTCCGAGTTTTTCTCAAAATCAGCTACCCGGACTCAAGAAATGTGTTTTGCCTTTAGACTAGGCCGGGTCCATGGCGCGGCCCGAAATTTTACAAGTAGATTAAGTTGAAAGGAAAGTTCAAAATTTTCAGCTGGAACCTAGTGAGAGAGCATTGCTGTATGAGATAGCAGCCGAAAGAAAAGTATCCAAAAAAACAGTATCCTCACATACTGGTGCTACTTTCCGAAAATCGATTGGGAGAACAGATATTGTAGGTTCAAGTTAAAAAATTGCGTAGTTTTCTTTTGTAGGCTTGACATTCGTGACGGAAAGAGAAAGTTCTGCATTCCAAGACTTAATCCCCATCCTCGAAATTTTGAAATTACAAAATTTTCGTAGAGAAATTTGTGAGGTACTCACTGAAGCCGTCGCATTGCAAACGGAGAAGGTGGAACATGTCACTAAACTGAAAATACTAACAGAGTCTGTCTGTGAAGCTGAGGTAGAGTTTTTCAATAAAGACGATGAATTTAAATTATCCAGAAGACTCTATGAAGAATGCCTGGACGATGGGAAAGTTTATTTCGAGTCGGAATATTATGCCAGTCTCGTGACAAATACCGAAAAACAAGTAGAACTGGCAAAGAAACTTGAACAAGGTCATGAAGAAGTTCTGCAAAAAACTGAGGATCTCAATATGCAATAAGAAGCGATGGATGAGATAATAAAGAAGATAACCGAAATCGAAAAAAACCTTCGTGAAAAACCAGGCTGAGCTAATGAAATTGGAGAAAAATTGGTTGTTCATCGAAAAAGTACAAAGTTCTTTGGAATTCTTAATATGCCGTCTGTGGAGCCTTCTGAGGATGAGACTGCACCAAAGAAAGCTCGAATGGAATCGGAAGAATGAACAACTTTGTGTGTGCGTCAATTATCAAATGATTTGTACCACTATGATTATTAACTTTGCAGGATTTGCGGTATCAAATCATTTACGTATTTCCCAAAACCCGACTTCAGCAATCAAATCCAAACTCAAATCATAAATTTTTATCGGTTTTCTCATTTTTCTGTATTTCTGAATACCATGTCAACCACATCTTATTAAGATAATTAGATTTTTGTTAAAATTGTCTTTCCCATCTTTCTCCTTCCTCAAAATTCACGTTTTCCCTTCGCAATGCAATTTTTTTCTAATTTCTACCAGTCGAAAATTTTTTTAATGTTCAGCTGAATTTTTAACACTGTCTTTTCAACTGAGTTTTTCTTTTGTCAATGATAATTTTTGAGGCTCGCAAGCTGTTTTAAAACTATGATGTTTCAGCATCACACAACGGAAATTTCAATTTGTAGCGGAACTTTCAAAACTTTTGTTTACCACTTCAGTATAATTCTTTTCTCCTTATCAGTCTCCATTTTTTTTCCTCAGCTTGCTAACCCTAAAAATCGCAGAATAAAAAAGAACTATTCTTAATTTTATTTTTCATTTATTGACCAACAAATTTTTCTCCACTTCATTCAAAATGAACCGCACCGCTGAGAACATGACCGATGCAATCACCTACTTGTCTCTTGTTGTGGATCATGTCAACTCAAACAAGGTACGTTTATGAGACACGCAAATAAATGATTACAACATCAGTTTTAGACAGTAAGCCACACTGCAAAGCAAATCTCCAAACAAGCGGGTTGTGCTGTAGCTGGAACAGTTGTCGGTGGTGTTTTGGCAGGTCCGATAGGAGCTGCGGTTGGCTCAGTGGTTGGCGCCGGGATCGGTCTATCGGTTTCAGACAAATACGATGTAAGTCAAAAAATGTGAAGTTCAATTTTCCAAAAATTGTTTCAGGGTGTCCTACAAAAACTTCTCAAACTGAGCGAAGACGAACAATTCAACCTTGTTCAAGAGGTAGGAGAAACTGCTTCAATAAGAAAAACATCTTTACAATTCAGATCCGAAATCTTGTTGGCGAAAATCCGATCGTCTCGTTCTACATATGGTACACGGAGCCGAGTAACCAAGCTGCCGTCCAAACATTGCTTATCACTGCAGTCGGACTTGCTGCAGCTGCAACACAATCCTCTTCAATGAACTGAACTACCGTATTTTCTCTAATAGAAGCCCACCTCTATTTGAAGCCCACTCTCTGACGAGCTTAAAAACATATGAGCGCATCCTCTAACATAAATACGGGCAGTTTAGTTAGTGCAGTTCGAACATTTCAGTTCGTCTATTCGGTTATTGTAGACATTTCCTTTCTATTTCAAAAAATTTCTTGTAATTTCAGTTTTTGGGAATTTCCTAAATAGAGGTTGAAAAATAGAAGCCTATGGGCTTCAATCAGAGGAAATACGGTATGTTGCTTTTTTCGCTCACTGTCTTGGTCACGTCTTGCTCACACTTATTTTTTATTTTTGATGACTGAATTAAAAGTAGTATAAAGGTTTTCTCATGGCTGAATTGATAACATCAAACTTCGGCATAACCATGAATGTGAATAGCATCAGTAATGTAGGGAACGAAATTCCGATAATTTTTTGAATGTGTGCAGGATTGGGCTACGGTATGTCAAAGACGCACATGAGAAGCTTTCTTGCGGGTTTCTAGCGGAAGTATTTTTGATATGTTTGTGTTTTCGTAATTTGTTTGTCAAGTTCTACTTTTTTATGACAAAAAAGAAATAATTTTTCAAAACTGACTAAAACTAAAACATCTTGTTCAAGCTTGTCCATCAAATGTATTTCAGTACTTCAAGTTTCTGAAACGTTTATTCTGAGAATTTGCTTCTGCTCAGTTGGAATTGAGATTTTTTAACCATATACAGTTTTCATAATTTTCCAGACTCAAGATCATCTGATCCCTTCAAAAATTGTTCGACACCAACCAGTCTCCAAAAAAAAAGAAGATTGGGGGAAAATTCTTCTTTCCCTGATCGACAACCATGCACACAGATGTTACCTCCCACACAATGGATAGAAATTCCCTCAGCAAAAAGCGCTGATGGTAAAAAAAAAGAAGATAAAAGAAGTGATCACAAGTGAGACGAGACAAACAACAACTGAAAAAGATGATAGAGACACAAAAATCCTCTGCTTCTAACCCACATTACACTGTCACACTCTGAACCTCTCCGACATCTGAACTCTTCTTGAATTGTGCTTCTATCTCTATCTCTTCCAAGTCATCAAAGTTTTTGTGACACCGTCAAAAAACGAGAAATAGGTTTGGCACTGCCCCGGAGTGAAATTTGTCGTTGGTTTGACTTTTCTTCGCTTTTCTTTTTCTGTTTTTTCCAATTTTTGCTTTCAGATATGTCCTACTCGACCTATCTTCCAAACAACTATCATGATGAAGTCAGTTGTTAACTTTTTTAATACCAAAAAGTGCATTTTGCAAATTTTTAAGACCAAAATATACATCAATGGCGTGGAGCTTCTGAATCGTCACGAACTCTCCTCAACACAAGATCGTGAACTTCAACGATTTATTGACAACAATGCGCATATTTTGCAAGTTCAAGAACGAGAGATGCGTGAGTTTTTTCTCTCAATTTTAGAAACTCTGAAATCATGGCATCTGGAAGAATCAACATTTTTCAGCGCCACCACCACCACCCCGTAAAACTCCATCTCACAAGTACGAAGAAATGAGAAGAAGTTTGAGCCGTGGCCCATCTGGAACATTGGAGCGATACAGTTCGATGGACAAGCTTTTCGGATCTCAAAACAAAAATAAGAATGTGGAAATTGAGCAAGGAATCAATCCCAGAGATCTACCAGTTTGTCCAAATATTGAAGGACATAACTACACCGCCGAGTTTCCCGGTTTGGAGTATTTGTCTGATAACAGATTCATCGAAGATCTCATCAAAGACGGACAAGTCTCAATTGGATCCACTGGAATGATCAGTCAACCCGGTTCTCGTGTCGGCTCCGCAATGAGCAATCCATATTCCCAACCACAATCGGCGACATCAACTCTCAACCGTCAATCTTATTCTCAATCTAACGCCGTTCCTCATCAAATGCCACAGTATCAGCAGTATCATCGCCACGCGTCACCGCCCGCACCACCACCGCAGCAAAACAACAACACCAATTATTACACCGAGAATACGACAACCACCACCACCTATCAGCCAACCAGTGTAACCTATGGAAGTTCAAACGGAACGAGCCAGTATGGAAGCCAAAGCCAATATGGTACCCAGAGTCAGTATGGAACTGCAAGCCAGTATGGAGGAAGTCAGAGTCACTATGGAAGTCTGAGCAATGTGGGAACTGGTAGCACGTATGGAACATTGAAAGGAGGAATGAAACATACGTCGACACTTCCACCAACCAGTCCGTACAGTAGTTTGAAGAGGTTAGCAATCTTAATTTAGTCGTTTATGTTTTCTAAAAAAAATAATATAACAAGAGCTAATTTGGAGTCTAATTTTCAAGTTGGAGTCTAACTTCCTAAAATTGGCTTTCTGTTTGCTCAAAAACCAGTTATAGGGCAAATATCTAAATATGGTTTATTTGCAGAAAAGGAGTGAGTTGGCTGGATCAGGAACGCGCCCGTTCATTGTCTCCAGGTTTACACCAATCCACCTCGACTACCCGCCAAGTTCATCAGCAGTACAATCGCCCCGCCTCCACAATTCACACTACAACTTATACAACGACTTATTAAATTTTTCTCTCGCTAGATTTTGTATATTGTTCATTTTCTCCCCAATCATTCTTAAAAATTTGTTTTTTTTCCCGAATTTTCAAAATTTACAGCTCTCCATATGATTTTGAATAATGTTTGTTTTTTCCCACTTTCAAACTATCTTATGTCGTTTCAATTGTCTCAGTTCAACTTCTCCATCCTTCTTCATCTTCTTCGCGTATTTTTATGTGTTTCGTTTTTCTTTCTTATCCCTCCCTCACCTCATTTTCTCGACAGAATTAGTCAAAAGCATATGTGTGTACAATAAAAGTGTTACACTACCAAACCAAATCCACATTCATAACTCGATAGTCATCTGGAGTGCGGAAACACCGCCCAGTCATGGGAAAACAATGACAGATCTAGAAGTTTCTTCTATAGGTTTTGCAAGAATTCATTCTGCATGAGCAAGGCATGTTTTCTAGTTGAAAATTTCGAAATTTCAGACTTTGTTCTTTACACTCCCCAGAAAAAAATACGTTTCTTGTTTTTCCAGGTATCTCCAGCTAAAACATTTTTTTTGTATCCAATGTTTATATTCAAAATTTTACTCTGAAAAAATCCTATTTTTTTGAAACCACGAAACTGAACGGCGGAATCAAAATTGTCTGGAGTGGGAGAAGAACAAGAAAGAGAAGATTCCCGCTGTGTGCCATATGTTATCGCCTGATATCTCTTCTACCCTCCTCCCACTCCTCGCCTCGATGCCATCGTTTCCTCTGTGCTCCGGCTCTTCGTCTCCGACTCTCGAGACATAAAGACAAGAAAAAGCACAAAAAATATCGCGTGGCGAGTTCTTCCGTCTTCATTTTTTTTTCATTGATCCGTTTTGATCACAATTTTTTAATATTATATCTTATCTTTCCGTTTACATATCGGTTTCAGTGTTATTCCGCTCAAACATCGAAATGTCTCAATATGGTAGCGCTGCTAATTTGAGCAGCTTCCGTGAAAGAACTGGAAGTCCATCATACGCATCTCTTGGAAAGCATAAGGTGAGATTTTCGAATTAAACGTCGGGTATTTTGAATTTGCCTGAAACAATCATTTTTTAAAGAATCTCCAGACAAGAAAACCAAAAAACAATAAAAAACCCAACTATTTGTTTGTTTCAATTTTATAAGATTTCCTTTTACCAGTTGTACTCTGTCCTTGATTCATATCTAGATATAATATTCCCTCTGCCCAATTCCTCTCTATCAATTTTTTCATTCAAAACAAATCAATCATGGAAAAATCCTTTCTGAAAAGATCCGAATTCTTCCCTCACTCTATCTGTTGTCGGGTGCGTAGGCGCGCGCAAAACAAAGCTCACTGGCATTCGGTGTTGTAAAGTTAGAAACAGATATCTCTTTCGGGGTCCCGATGAAAACGCGATGGGAGGAAAGTGAGGGAGAGAAAATAGACTCATCTCAACGATCAATAGTCAATTCAATGACGTATCCCCACTATCGTTTCATTGCTTTTTCGGCGCGATCCACGCCGCGTGAATTGATAGAGAGAACGCAGTGGGAGGGAAAGAAATGAAGAAAGTTCATAAAACTGCAAGTGTGTTCTATTGGAGAAAAAAGAATAAGAATAACAAACGATTTTTAGGACGATTACAATCGTTTCGAGACTGCACGCCACGCGATGAATAGCCGCTCGAACCGATCACAAACTAGTCAGGAAAAGGAGGAAGTCCGTTTTGGAGGATTTGGAGATCGTGCTGGAAGTGGAGTTGAACTGACCGGATTCAACTGGTCGGGAGGAGAAGTAAAACATTTGAAATGGAGGAAAAGTTGGGAATGAATGATTTCAGGTTATTACTTCTCCAAACCAACTTCCAAAGGCTCTCAAGCCAAGAACTATGTTCTACTCGCCAATCGGAGACGGAACTGTAGCGGCTGACGGTTATGAGCTTAAGAGGTACGATAGAAATGACATTTATGAATTTCGTTTTGATAAGCTTTGCATCAAATTAAAATAAAACTTCATAGACTTCCACAGACATTACAAAATCACAGAATTTAAAAAATACTATTTGTACCTTTTTTTGATAGATCGTTACCCATATACTTGTTCTTCGAGCTTTATCATTTCATTTCTAATGGGAGATATCAAAAATGTGTCCGCTGATCAAAACACTCCTGATATTATGATAAAACATTAATCAGTTGACAAATTCTTCAGATCTTTAATTAATTTATTTTCGACTTCTTTCACAGAAAATGTGCTGAAAATCAAAATGATGACAGTTTTTAACTACTAGTAAGTACATCAAGTAGTATTACTCTTTCAAATTCTAAAAATTACTTTCTCTAGTATGGTTTTTTCTCGTAACAAGCCGACAGAATTTCAGGCATGATATGCAAGCGTTAAGTAGTCATTATTTGATACTGAACTGAGTCGTTGTACAAGGACTTTAAAAGCGAATCACTTAATAACATGTGTACAACGTACTCAAAATTCCAAACCATAGCTATTGCAAATTTGAATTCCAGACGTCCAGTGGATTTGACTCCAAAAGTCACTGTCACTCAGCTCCAACATATCGAACGTGGAGCTAAAGGACATGATGGAGTGAACATCATTGAGAAGAACTGGAGCACTGGAGGATGTAAGTCTTTTTCTTTTGCATATTTGAATTATTCTGTTATTTCTCAGCTGTTCCTGCCAGCGAGGCTGGATTCGGAAGCGAGTACGGACCAGGAAGCGGTAGGAACTCTCGTGCTGCTGCTTTCAGTCCAGAACCATTCCCAAAACCAGCTACAAATGGAAAAGCAGCTGCACCACCACCAGCCGACTTTGGAAACTATCAGCCAAAGTCTGGTGAGTTTCATTTGTCGATTCCAACCTTTTCAGTACATGTCTTGTCTAAATTTCAAATTCCATTCCAATCCTTACCTAGATTCGTTTTCCTATTCCCTCTTGTTTTTCCTTCCCTACTGTCCATTTCAGAACCTTATCCACCGGTTCCTGCTCGCCCCATCAGCGGACTCGGAAACAACAATGATGGAGGAAATCCATTTGGAGGATCTCAGTCCAACTTGGGACCAAAGGACGGGCGTAACAGCGGTAATTTCTATCCAAAAATCAAAATCCAGATTCGAGTGTTTTTTTGTACCTCTCGTACTTGTCAATCAGTTGTCAAGAAAAAAAATCTATCGGAGTTGTCTACAAGTTGTAATGTCAAACTCTTAATATCGAATTTCTTGTATTAAAAAACAACAATTTAAGTTGCCTCTTCGGTCTTCTCGGATCCATCTTACCGTCTTGATACCAAAACCGGGTATCTTATCACCAATCCACGTGAGCTCATCCATCAGTTTGCTACAATGACTCCAGTGGCTACAATTGACGATAGCGTCAACAACACACCAGTCACTCACACGATTCAAAAACAAAGTTACTACAAGAGAACCGAGGAAACAACAGAGTAAGCAACAGGCTCGGGTTGGATTTCAAAATTTTCCTCAATTTCAGAGAACAATTTGCACCACATGCACCATACAAAGCCAACCATCCAGTCGCTTCACCAAACAAATTTGTTCGCCAACTTCGTGATGATAGTAAGATTTTCAAGTCGTTCCAATATGAAAAAAAATTTCAGACCTGACCCACAGCCAACGTGAAGCCAATACTCACACCGAGCCAGTATACCATAGAGATCCCAACTACAACCAGCGATTCCAGGAAATTAGAACTAAATCTAATACATACTCAAGGTTGAACTCTCATATAAGACTAATTCTTAAAAATTGATTTTTTTAGAGGAGGAGATGATATTGACCAGCTTACACAACAACTTGTCAGCGGTATGCAAAGCGGAAAGTCGCGATACAATTAAATATCCTAAAACATCTGATACTGTAATTATCCGAAACAAAAAACTTATCAAACAAACAAAAAAAACGCCATTCTCTTTTTTATGTTTCTTACTTTATCGATTGCTTCTTCAAAAGTAATTTCTATTCTTTCCTTTTTTTCCAAAGTTTTTTTTTCTGATGTCATCCCTTTTCCATTCTACTTTTATTCAAATATGAATTATCCTGCTTTCCTGACACACTGCAACTCTTTATACACAAAAATTAATAACTTTACAACTTTGATTTCTTAGCCTTCTCAAGAAGAGTTTGGAGTTTTTGGAGCAACATTACGTTTCCTTTCACTTTCAGTTTTCCTCCCATGAATGCCTGAAAAAGTATACTATGATAATCATTATGATGGAAACGGAGGTCTTAGTACAATCCAAAAATATGATAAGAGACAAACCTTTTGAGCATTCAATTTTCCGGCTGCAATGTCAACAAAGTCGCTATCAGCAACGGTGACCGTGGCGTTTGGCTTCTCTCCGTTCTGCACATCTCCCAAATAAACCGATGGGTTTGCACTCTTGAAGTCCAGTGCTGTAAACAAATCTCAAATTATAGAAACTGAATAAAAAACATACTGAATTTTCCAAGCTCGTTCTTTCCATCAGTGATAACATAGAGTACAATAGCTTTAAGTGGCTTCACTGCGTTTGGATCAGCCTTCACACCGTCAGCCATTTCTTGGAAGAGAGCGCTGCTCTTGATGTTTGATGGGAATGCACTTCCAGAAGAGGATCCTCCTGATGGAGCACTAGAAGATTCATTCTCATCAAGAAGAGCCATAAGTCTTCCACTTTGCTCGGAAATCGTTCCGATGAATTCAGCTCCAGCCATATCGGTAATAGTGGACCAGTTCTTAGCGATATCATCAGCGGAGGCGTTGGAAATGACCTTTCCCTTTCCCTTGTAGTACTGAATAGTTCCGTACCATCCAGCTCCGGCTTCGAAAAGTTTTCCAGACTCTTGGAAAGACTCGTGAACCATGTATGTGACAAGTGGAGTGACATATTCTGGCTTCAAGGCGTCGACAAGATTCTGAAGTATAGAATTATTGATATTACAGGAGGCAAAACTATCCCCTACCTTTGGCATAACAGTCTCGGTAAGTCTAGATCCGGCAGTTGGGACCAAAGTGTTGGCAAGGATGTTGTACTTGGCTCCTTCTTGTGCAAGAGAGTTGGCAAATCCAATGAGCGCACTTTTAGCAGCGGCATAGTTGGCTTGTCCAAAGTTTCCGTGAACTCCAGCATTGGAAGATGTGACAACAATACGTCCATATTTCTGGTCTCTCATGTATGGCCAAGCGGCCTTGGTGACAGCATAAGCTCCCTTGACGTGAACCTTGAAAATAAGATCTGGAATTAAATTTTGTTAGTGATTTGTCATGATATCTAATGATGATACCCCAATCCAGTTCAGTCATCTTGAGGAGAGAAACGTCACGAAGAATTCCAGCATTGTTAATGACAATATCTAAAGTTCCAATATAAAAGAAAATCAAACTTTGAAAAAAATTACCGATTCTTCCAAAGTTGTCAATTGCAGTTTTGACAATCTTGTCTCCAAACTCGACACTATCATAGTTAGCAACGGCTTGCCCTCCAGCAGCTTTAATCTCTTGGACGACCTTGTCAGCCATGGAAGAAGATGCGGATGTTCCATGTCTATCTCCTCCAAGATCGTTGACGACTACTTTGCATCCTCTCTTGGCAAGCTCAAGAGCATATGTTCTTCCGAGACCACCACCGGCTCCAGTGACAATAGCAACCTTTCCGTCAAAACGAAGGGACATCTTATTCTGAAAGTATACAAGTTGAATTACACAAGAAAGAATAAAAGTAAGAAGTGAATGTAATCAAGTGATAGAGAGATGTGACGATTGATTTTATAGATGACTACGCTGTGGTCGTCGCCGTTGTCCGTCCACCTATTACTGTCCGCTTGCGGGGCAAGAAAAATTGTTTGTAGCGTTTGATAAAGGTACACTCGAGTCGATTTGAACAAGACAACACATTGTTATCAAAACCATAATGATTCAAATGGTTGTTGGGAAAAACTTATTGGTTCAAAAAAATCTGAAAAAAAAACGTTTTTCGTATTCTTTGTGATAAGAGCAAGGCTGGACGTAAAACTTAATTTTTACGAAATCTGTAAAAGGTAAAACTGAGCTTTTGAAAAGCAGTAAAATCCGTAGAAACTGCGAAATTATTAAATTAATCGTTTTCGGACAACAACATTTGCTTTCTCGAGCTTCGAATTTTTTTCAGCATGTAGGTGCCTCGACTTTTACTGTAATATTGTTACAATGTTACATTTTCACAGTTTTATCACCGAAAAATAAAAATTACAAAAAAAGGTTTTTGAAAAAAGAAATTGTTTGAAAAATAACGGAAAAATTGGTCAATAATAGCTTTGAAAGCTTTGAAAGCGCTGATTGTGTCTTCAATTACTCGTTTGTGAATTTTGGAACTTTTGAGAATAAAACTCTAAAAAAATTGTAATTTTTGAATTATTCAATTGAAAGTCTTCACATCTACATGCTCAAAACCTGCAAACTCGAAAAAACGAGCTTTTTTGGCAGAAAACAATAATTTGCCAATTTTGAGGTTTCCACGAATTTTACGAATTCACTTCTACAGTCCGTAAATTTTAAAAACTGCTAAAAAAACTCATAAAACCCAAAAAATCCGTAAACTTGAATTTCCAACCCTCATTTCCAGTGCACTGTAAATTTTGAACCTGAAATTTTTTGAACAGAAAAAAACGTGTTTTGTGGAGGCCAATGCATTTATCTGAGAATCATTATGTTTCAACAGTGAGAAAGAAATCAAGAATCAGATAAGCATTATTGGAGTAGGCGGGGGAGAAGGGGGAATACAATTTGGAGTACACAGTTATTTTGGGAAAATATCAAGTGCAAAAGTGTGGATGTAAGGCGACTTATGGTGTACAAGTAAAGAGCTAAAACTGGCAAAATAACAGACAAAAAGAGATATTGACCAATAATTGAAAAAAAGGGGAAAAATCGGATGAAAAAAAACATACATACGGGCTAGGGACCAGTCTAGAAAAGGCATGAAAGATGGTGAGGAGGGAGACGAATAGTGGACGAGGGTAGCATGACATATGTTTCACATTAAAGTAGTAGCTGGAAAATTGGAGCACGACACTGAAAAAAACAAAAGCGGGTATGGTGAGGGATGTAGGTGAATGACAAAATGTACACAGAAAAAAGAACAAGAGAAAAAAGAAAAAACCGAAGATGTTGATGAGGTATATGACAGATGAAAATAAAAATTGACAAGAAAACGTTTAACAAAAATGTACAGGAAAAAAAGGAAAAAAGAAAAATACAAAGAAAATAATGTATATACATAGAAGAGCGAAATTAATTATTGACTCCTCCGGGGACATCCTTCTCTCCCCATTTCCGCCGTTCATCCTGGTAGGTGTCGGGCCGGAGTTGGTTTCGAAGACCACCTAGAAGTTGATAGGTGACTTGAGTCGCCATGACGATTGGTCCCAGGAACGTTGGTACCGCGTAGCGGAATGCGCTTCGGACAACCGAGTTGCCAGATGCTCGGTCTTCCTGGGCAGCTAGTTCCAGATCGTCGCGGGTTTGTTGGTAGCCCTGAAAATTATGTTATAGTTTTTGAATTTATCAAAAAACTGCCGCCCTTCCCATAAAAAATTCTGAAAAATCTTACATCATACAGAATACCATAAGCCAGTTGCAAACTGTGACGAACATCAGTAGGATTTGTTCCGTGGTTTCTGTTGTAGCGTCTTGATCTTCTGTTCGACGGGTCATCGGGCTTGATTTCGTTCATTGTAATTTCTGCGAGACTCTGAACAAAACCAGTTACAGTTTGTGCCATGCCGACTATTCCAGCAGCTGAGGATACACTGAAGGAGCCAACGCCCCGTTGGACTCCCTTTATGACATTTCCATCGTTCTTGCGAAACTCGGAAACTGGCATCCAGAAGAGGTCGACGACTCCTCTTCCGATTTGCACTAATGGACTGATTGGTCCGTAGCTCGCAATCACACTGGGCATGTTTGTGAGCATATCTCCAGACCATTCACTGACGGCGTGCTGCATGCATCGTCCGCTTCCAAGAAGTCCTGTTCTGGTGTCGATCTTTCGAAGAGTGATTGGCATTTGGTTGAGCTGTCCGAAAGCCATTAGAAGGCCGACCAGAGCGCCTTGCTTCTCCATAGCGATCTTTCGTTTTCCTTGATAGTCAACATAAATGTTCACTTCTGGTGAGAAGACGAATTGCTTGAAGAAGGTTTCTCCACGTTCAACGGCAGCTTCGATTTCTTTGCTTCTTTCTTCCTCTTCTTTCTTCTGATCCTCTTCCAACTCCTGCTCAACTTTCTGCTTTTCTTGATCATCATCATCGTCGAGGCTATCCAGGAAGTTCTGAAAATACATGAACATTGATATCAGTCGCATTAGTATGAATTTTAAACTTACACTATGCTCGTCCATATCGTCCCCAGTGTCCACTAAATTGTGTACACTATGAGTTGGATGAATGGAGCCCATCATGGTGGATCGCATCAAAATATCTTCATGGGAGATTGGTTGAGGTGGCATCTTAAGTGGTGATAGCTCTTTCTTGTTTCGTGGCTTGATTGAACTGGCAGCTCCTGTGGAGATGGATGATCCTTTTCCAGACTCTGAATCTTCATACAAGTCTAAATGTTCTAATTCCTCCGGTCGCTGACAGTATTTCTCAGTAGCTCTGCATGGCATTATAGGAGCATTGTGATACTGATCTGATAGATGCGCAGTGAAGGTTGGTGTATCTTCTTCCGCCCAGTCGCCGGCGAGATCGGAGAGATCAGCTGGGTGTGACGGGTCGACGAATTCGTGTAGTTTGTTTGAGAACTTTGGAATGTTGTTGTCGTCATTATTGTCATCTTCGCTAGATTCAGATGAAGAGTAATCTGCACAGAACAACGTATCCGCTGGCGACTTCTCTATTTCATTTAATTGACGAAGTTCTTCATTAAATAGTTTGTATTCTCCCGTTCTCTCTATTTGAATTGGATCTACTTCATCTTCCTCCTCTTCATCGTCGTAGACTCTTGGAGTATCAAACATTTTGCCTGAAATAATGAGAACTGAGTCAACGAATACGAAAAATGTTTCATTACCGATAGACATAGCTGAAGTGGTTAATGGAGCATCAATAATAGGCCTTTTAACGGGTGACTGATGATTGGATGAGATTTTTTCAAGGTAGGAGAGATCGCCTGGAAATTGAAGCATAAGCAAACACATATAAACAAAGTCTTGAAGTTAGAAACCACCCAAATGCTAAATGGATTATTACTTACCTAACGGAGTAGCTGGGTGAACTGGTGATGGTCGAAGAGGTTCTGATGTGAGTGATGGTTCCGGAAGACTTGGATACATTCTGGTCACATCTCCTTCCGATGAAGAAACTGACGTCTTTGGCGAAGTTCTTCTGGAGTTTGATTCTGCTGGAACCTCAATGACTGGTCGTTGAACAAGTGGAATGTTGGTTTTTCCTTTTGGTAGATCAAGATGTCTAGATGTTTCTTCAAAGAAGTCGCTGAGAAATTCCAATGTGTCCTGATCGACATTGATCTTGATTGGAAGCATTGACACTCTCATTTTTCCTTCCTTTGCTTGACTTTCAGTCATTCGGACACTGAAGATCGGAGCACTGCTTCTTCTAGGTTGGCTGGTGGCTGAATATTGATAGAGCATTTCTTGAATTGTGCTTGCTCTGACACAGTCCTTAATGACCACATCACCAATTTGGAAGAGAGTTGTGGAGAGTTGTGGGGCAGTCTTCTCAAACACTTGCTTTAAATAGGTAATCTTGCTTAACTCCAAAACGACAAATGCAGAGTGATCACGATTTGGTCCTCCAGCAGAATTTGGCTCAATTTTCTGCTCCGGTCCATATCCATTGCGGTATTCTTCGGTGCAGTAGGTTCGAAGTGGGGATGGAGCAGTCGACAAATCGTTTCCAGCATACAAACTGAGGCGTAGAGTAACATCCTTCAAGAAGTAGCGAAGAGCAGGAGTCAAGTCATCAGCTGACATTGTTTGATAGAGACCATCGTTTCCGGATTCTTCGATGCATTGGAAGAAGTCAACTTTGATTGGTGGCTCATCAGATGAGTCGGGACCTGGCATTGGTCTCACACGAGATTCTCCTGGTAGAGTAGTGATTCCAGATCCAAAGACGTTGTCATCCACCATGCAAAACTCTTCATCTGTGATTGCGAAATCCATTGGAACCATTTGCTCAAAGTTTTCAGTCTTCTTCTTTTTACTCTTAGAACTTGTTGTTGGTTTCTTTTCATTCATTGCAAACTCCTTGACTGCGTCTTCTCCAATAGCTATACCTGCACCTTCTTCGTTTTCTACCGCAGCTTCCAGAATCATTGCTTGCATTCGCTTACTCACATTGTTTGGCAAGTCCATCCCCACCGCCATTTTTTGAACATGCTTACTGCCGGTCGACGCATCACTCCAAACCGATTCAGTGGCTACACTCTTGGTAATGTCGTCATTCTTCATTGAGTTCAATGATTCTCTCAAACTTCCGTCTTCCGGTGTTTCCGTCGGAACCTGTTCGTGACTGGTATATTCCATGATTGTTTGAATGAAGGTTGCGAGAGAATCGGCGCATGCCCAAGCGTTTATGATGTCGTTTTGACATCGGATTTCAAACGCTGGTGTGGTTTTTGGACCGGTTTCGTTTCCGACAGCAAAGAGAATATCCAACTGAAGTGATCCGAATTCAAGGAATGGCATGAACTTTTTCGTTGGAGCTCTTGGTGCACAATAACCTTCAAATCGAACAGCATCCTTGACCGAATCATGGCTCATGTACAAGCGGCAGTGTTCAAAAATGCAAAGTGTCTTGGAAATGCTCATATCCGACACAATACAACTGGCCAGGTTGCAATGTCCAAGAGCAGCACGAAGTTTCAGTTTGCTGCTCGGAATTATCCATGAGTGATCGTATCCAATAATATCATTTTCCAAACAAATATGAAGATCAGTTGTGATAGTCGGGAGAACATATCCAGGGATTGCGTAGTCTTGAAGAGTGAAGAGATCTGCCAATTGGGTAATCCAGAATGCTCCCCAGTTCTTGATGGGTCTAGCTTGAAGTAGCGAGTTGCGAATTGCAATTCCTAGAAGCACATCCTTAACATTGATGTCTGGTTTGAAGCTCATATGAAGGGCCACGGCGAATGCGTCTTCAGTGGATCCCGAACTCAACTCATCGGTTGGTGGAACATGTTCAAGCTGATTGAAATCTTTCGACCATTTTCCAAAGTCCTTAGCAGTGATGACATTTGGAATTCGCTGTCCCCTCGTTGTGCAAACACTTCCAACTGCTGCTTTTGAAGATGTGAAGTGGAAATACGTGTGGTTGATGTCTCCATGGTAACCGGCAGTTGTTCCGAAGTGTACTTTGTCGAGATCGAGAGCAACTTGCGAGGCTTCCGGAGCTTTTTCTTCCTGAAAATAAATAAAATAGTGTTTGGAACACATTTTATTTTCAAAAACGTTCAAAAACATGATGTAGATTGTGTTTTTCCTTTTTTCTGAAATCTGACACGTGTTTATTGTTATTGATGTTTTGGTTTATGTGTCAGACTCATGAAATTCAGAAAAACAGCAAATTTTCATCATATTTCTGTATCATTTTAATTTTAAAATGTTGCTGTTCTTTCTCATATTTGTTCAATAATTTATACTTAACTTTTTGTTTCAATTTTGCTTTAATTGTTTTGAGAAAACAACTTACATCTTTCACAGCAGTATTGCACAGAATTGCACATCTGTTGGCGTTCATTGTCAACACGAAAGTGTGTCGAACATCTCTATTGAATTCAAACCCTTCCGTCTCATCTTTCACCGTCATCACGTCATCTTCCAAGTCAGAATGTTCGCTCTCTGCTAAAAACTCAAACGAGTTAGCACTAGAGAAACGTCTAAACTTTGGATTACCGTAAGTCTTTGGCGATACGCATTCTTGGAATGACTCTGTTGGTTGGCCAGTAGCTTCTTCCACGGTTTTGGGTCGGAAAGCTGGTGCCGCAGGTTGGAAGAGTGCCAAGTCGTTTACGAATCTGTTGTAAAGCACCTCCAAATGCCCTTTTTCGGGAATATGAAGTTTGAGAGTTGGAATTGTGAAGAGAAGGAACGTGGAGGCAAACTTTTCACACTCTTGTTGGAAGGCAAGAATTTCTTTGCGAGAGCCAGCCTGGATAATCTGAAATTCATTTTTTAGATTCTGAGTTCCATATCTCTAATTGCTACTTCTTCCTTTTCCCCGCCATCATGAGAGCAATAAGCTCTTGGTGTTTTGGAAAACGGGCCTTCTTTTTTAGGATGAGACATCATAATATCAGCTGAGATGGATTTCATCATAATATCCGGCACAGCACTTGACGAAGAATTGGTTCTCTCTCCATTCCGGTCTTTATCTGGATTTCCAGCGAACTTCATTGTCAAGTTGATCTTGTCAAATCCACTTTTGGATGCATACAGAATCCTTTTTTGTTCTGGTGGTATGCAGAGGCCTTCTCCACAGAAATCTCCATACAGCTCGGAGCACAGAATTTCGATGAACGGAACTTCTTTTCCAATCGGGATCGAAACATCAATTTCTTTGATTCCCAAAGCAAGATATTCATTGTGTACATGTCGTTGTGAGAATGGGAGACGTGATCCAGTGGGGTCTCTCAAATCTGCTTTTGGAATTCGTAGATCCACCTGCCAGCTCGGACATCTCAGGTTGAAGAGGGTCTTCGCGTTCACGCTCTCGTCTCCTGCTGCATCTGCGTAGAGGTCGTCCTTCAGTTGCGGCACTTTGTCTCTGCAATAATAATTTTATGTTTTTATACGATGCGATTAAATGTTGCGTAATACCTTCGTCCACCCTGCTTTGATGCCTCGTCAAAGAACGGCCGGCAAACGATTAGATTGGAGATGCGGTCGATAATGGATAGGTCCAGCTCTGTCTTGACAGCTCCAAGTAGAACTTCAAGTTTGGTTTCTGCCTTATTCTCAGATGACTTCCTTAGAATCAACTTGAAGTTTGGATCATTCTCAGCATTCTCTTGATTGGAGTAGTCGAGAATGTTGATGCTCATCGGTCCGTCACTTCCAGGTGCACTTTCTGGTGTGAGGTATTCCAATATATCAAAATGGTTAGCGATGACACGACAAGAGAAAGTGGCGATTCCTCCAATTCTCTGACTGCTGGATGTTACGTCCAGTGATCCTCCGACGATTCGAAGATGGTCTTTTGGGTAGAAGGCATTCGCAGCTTCCCGAATCGTGGCAAGTCCGTGTTTGGCGAGAAAAGAGTATCCATTGAGTGCGTTGAAAAACTTGCTAGATTCTGCTTGAAGAATGCTCAGAGCTGTTGCACTTCCACCATGTTCTTTGGCGTAATCTGCGGAGAGAAAGTCACAGTGTGGAATGTACATCAGAAAAGTTCCAATGTGCGTTTTCACTGTGAATTCTTCTCTGATATTCGCATTGGCTCCTGAAACCATAAAAATTGGAAATGAACATCGTCAAAATCAAAACTCACTCAAACTTTTGAACTTCTCCTTCTCAATCTTTTCTTTTTCCTTCTTCAGTGACTTGACATCTTCGAATTCTCGAAACTCTTCTCCTGCATTCCAATTACCTCCGAAAGTTGGAATCGGGATCTCAGTACTCTGATTTGGTTCCATATTCTTGGCCATGTTCTCATAGTCTTCTTTGTTCATTGGCTTCCCTTGCTCCGTGATGACAATTTCTTTTGGAGCGGTGAACGAAGCAAAGAATCTTTTTACAATATCAAGTTGAGAGGAAGTCGCAAAAACATTGATTCCTTTAACAAAAATATCTGTTTCAATCTTGGATTCCTCTATATCTGCCACGTTGACGTTATCAGCAGCGTTCTTTATCCTAAATACGCACGATACATCGCCAATAACCTCGGCACATTTTATGGGATTTGAAAACAGCTCTGGTTCCATCGGTGCCGTTCTTATCGTTTCTAACTGACTCGGAGGGCAGTCTTGGGTCACTGAAAATGTCAGTTAATGGTGTTTTTCTATTCATTGAATCCAACTTACACTTATCGTAACACGAGTGAAAAGCATCCATATCACTCATGGCTGACATGAACATTTCTGGATGTAGAGAGTTTTGAGCAGACTTGGTTGGTGACATCTGTTTGGCCTTTTCTCTTCTGATGTGCATGCTAGTGATAAGAACGTCTTCGTCAGCACCCATTCCATCTTGTCGATTTGCGAGAAGACGTCTGTGTGGATGGAGACTCCTGAAACCCATAATACAATTTCCAGACAATTCAAAACCATAATGCTTCAAATCTCTCTGTTTAGCTAATTCAATTAGTTGCCTAAAAACCGATTTGTCATTCTGACCCCTCCCATATGCTTACCGTGGAATGTGAGGTTCTTATTCAAATTGGTGGACGTCCCCACACCATGTGGTTGAGTGGTAACTAAGTCGGTGGCATTAGTGTTGTCCATCTCACAAGAGCGCATCTGCTCATCCATGAACGTAATCATCTGCACGTGAATCTCGACGGCTGTCGCCATCTCCGATTTGTCCTTCGGCTCGTTTTCGAATCGAAGTGTCAAATTTTTGATAGTCAGACAAAACCTCGAGTAGACGGCGTTAATGAATCCAGAAAAACTGTCGGCGGTCTCTCCGGTGCCCAGGAAGTCCAAAGAAAGACTATTCTCTTTTGTCACCTCATCGAGGACACTTCTGGCCATGTCATCGGTGCTGAGACTCATCAGAACGCTTTCAATCATTGAGGCAACTGAAAAGAGGATTACTTTGAAAGTCCTAATTTGTCTAGGTAACTTACAAGTTTCAATATCTTCCATTTTGATAATTTCTGATCCTCTAAATGTGAGTTGCAGATCTTCTATGCACATTTTGGTCGGGTCAACCATGATTTTCACCCATGGAATTTCAATCTTTATCCTGCCAACATACCCATCGACCAATTTTAATGGTACGCTGGCCTGTGCTAATCCGGCACTGACAGCCTAAAACAATTACGATTAATTACAGGTTATAATCTTTTGAAAAACTCACCTTTGTGTTAATGTCTAGATTCTCCAGCTCCAGACTCCCACCCACGAGTTCCAGGGACAACTGATCTACTGATAGATTGTTGTCCAGCCAGACCCCCAGGTATCGCTGTATCATAATCTTGCACCATACCCGATTAACTGTGTGCAAGCTCATGCCTGAAAATATGAATTTTTGAAAAATATAATCTTATTAAAATTTTTTTTAAATTGAAAAAGAAAAGTAGGTGGATGTTTTTTGATGACGCGAACTCAAAAATTTTGCCTTATCACTTCATTTGAGAGTGGCCGACATTGGAAACGGTATAGGGTGCATCGTGGTTTGTCAACTGCTAGTCACCTGACTTACAGGGAACTGTACATGTAGAACTGTGTGAGGTGAGAGAGTGGGAGGTAGAAAAGTAGAGATACAAAGGTGAAAAAGACCATGCGGAAGGTTTTTCGGTGAAGGAAGGACAATGGGCTTCGCGGTAGAAGCATTAGCAAAGAGATGAAAGTGAAATAGTCCGACAAAAAATTGAAAATTACAGTCGAAACGAAACTGGTGTAAAATTCATGACTTTCAAAATCAACCAGCGTAATCCTTCAAAAAAAGGGAAATGCGCTCTGTCGGAAGCTCTTGGAATGGAAAATAGGGGTAAAATAGAAGCAAAAAATAGAGGAGCCCGAGAAAAAAGGAGGGGCATCGTGGTCCCATTTCTTTAGGAAAACAGCTGATGTCCTAACCAACAAAAGAAGAAGCCGAAGGAGAAAAAGAAAAAGAGTCGGAGAGATCTTGTGCTAGACAGTTGCTCTTTTTAACCTTCCCTTCCTACACCACCTGAGCAGGACCAGGTACTTTGTTCTCTTTCCTTTATTCACTCAAATTTCAGGGCAGTTGCTGACCAGATGAGAGAAGAAAAAGTGAGAATTGGAGGTTGATCAAAAAATATAAAGAGAGACAGTCATTGTTCGAACCGGTTCTCATTATCATCATGGGATCTTGCAAACGGGATAGTTGCCAAAAAAAGGAAAAGAAAAGTGAGAAAAAGAAGAAGTTGAAGTTTCTATTGAAAGTTTCTATCAAAAGTTTGAATTGGTAAAAGAGAAATATAAACTTGAATTGAAAGGTAAGCCTCCGGAAAAGTATTATAGTAGTTGAATCGAATTGTATATTTGCGGAAAATTTTGCTCCGAGAAAGAAAAGGGGGAAAAAGAACTCAAACAAAAACTCTCACACAAACAAACAATTCTTCCTGGTTTTTCCCTTCAAGTTTATTTTTCTATACAAGCTAGTGCTCCAACCAGCACCGAAAAACTGAAAACTATATCCAAACAAGGAAAGTGAAAATATTATAAATATTCAGTGTTTTTTTCAGGCTGGTTGTGTTTGAGCTGGAAAGGAAATAGAGGGTGAGCAGTGAAAACAAGACCCTCCGTCATTTCTCAGCTCCCACTTTCAGACACTCTTTCTCTATCTCTATTTGCCGGTATCTACGCGTTCCACACGGAGTGTTCCTTTTTTGAGCATAGAGATCATTTCCGTTATGCATGAGTAAGAAAAGCGGAAGTTGAGGTGAGGAATAGGTATGTTGAAATTCAAGATGTATAACTTTTAGCAATTGCAAGATTCTCCATTCGCAACAATTTTTATGAACCAAACGAGGGGATGGGATGTTAATAGATTCACGAATATGACCAAAAAGGGGGATACATAGATGGAATATGCAGATAGCATGAGTTGTTCATTGAATGCACTGTGTGTTGTGTGCCTTTGTGACTCGGAGGGGGTGAATGGGGAACGTCCAAATAAAGAATTCTGTGACTAAAGATGGTCCCGGGGAAAAGGACAAGAGCTAGAGTAGGAGAGAGAGGCTAATACAAGAAACGCATAGAAGAAAACCACTAGGTAGTGACAGTTTGTTGACGTGGCTTGTCTCGCGAGCTCTTCCCGAGAGCCAGCTCTTATTTGTGCTGCTCTTTTAGATAACAGAAAACATGATCAGAAATCGATAAGTGTTGGAAAATAAATATTTTAGAACTTTCAGATAAGAGAACAAGTTTTGAAAATTGTGTGACGTGATGTCGGAAGAAGAGATAGAGGAGGAGAAAGGATGAACTGGGAGACGGACTGATGAAGATCACATGTTCAAAAGTTACACTAAATGTCTCAAGAATCGGGAATCATTTCTGATGGATAGCAATCTCACACTTTCGTCAGATTTAATTCTTTTTCCCACTAATCATTGTCTTCTCATCAGTATTCGGACCTCATTCAATAGTTATTATCTAAACATGACCTCCAAAGCGTGTTTATTTTGCCTGGTGCGAGAGGAGAGTAGTGCAGTCAGTCAGTCTATTTAAAACTTTCTATACATTTTCCTAGCGAGAAAGAGCACCACGGAAAAGAGAAATTTGAAAAGAGCCACAGACGTACACAGGGACACCCTCTCCGATCACAAGACAGTTGAGCTCAGAATGATGGTGCTCGACGGAAGAATTCACAAGTGCTTCTGCACTATCAGTCTATGCTAATGAGTTAATATTTCCTTTCATAGTCAATTTTCAAAAGAGAGAGAGAAAGAGAAATAGAAAAGATGAGTTCAAAAGAATAGTGCATGCATATAAATTCAACAAAGGACTCACGGTTCATCATAAAGGCAAGATGTGCCATTTACTGCCGAATATGGGGGATTGGCGTGATGGGGGCGGAGCGATGGGGTTTAGACAATAAGAACGATTGTTCTCAGACGTCTCTTAAATAATGAGGGGTGAATCGGACCTTCTTCTGTCTGCCTGTATAGGGTTGAAAATTGGGCGGTCGACCGGGGTGCGGTTTAGAGTGGTCCGTTGGTGCTGCTGGTGATGGAGAGGGCAACGAAGGTCGTAAAGAAGGTTTGTGTACCGACGGATGGACCACCTCCTTCCTCGTTCTCGACGCATTCAGTGAAAGGGTGGGACTCTTCACGTTGGGGTCACTGGTCCTTCTGGCAAAGTAATGGTTGCAAGTGTAATTGGATCATATGGGAAGTCTCAGATAGCTATAAATGTGATGAATTAGGAGTCAAACAGATGCGAGTGAGAAATTTGAACAATTGAGACGTCTTAGGAGAAGCGAACTGAGAAGTTTATGTGGCGCAGAGTAGAATTTTGAGGAATAGTGGAAAATGTTTCAGAAATCGAAGACATGTTTCAGAGATCTTTCTAACAAATCTCAATTTTTTGAGGAAAACTTTAGTTGGTTGTCTATTTTCTGTATTAACATTCCAAATTGGAATTACGTTTACACACCTTTGACACCTACTTATCTCAAAAGGTACCGACTACAAATTCAAAATGCCGCAAATGTTTGATGTAACCTATAAAATAGCGAAGAATAGCAAACGTCAGACTGGGAAATCCAAAACTGAAGAAATAAACTTTCCTATCAGTTTTTAGACAAGAGATATCTGAAAAATGGAGTTAGAGTTTCATCGTAATTTAGAAAAATGGTTTCACAGCGCATGTCAAAGTAAGAATAACTTTCTAAAATCTGATAAGATTGATTCATATGATTTCCAATGGTTGAAAAATCATCAAATTGAAAAAAATTGATTAAAGTAATCTATAGACAGCTGTCGAGCTGAATTGCTATTTGTCTGCTTAACATTCAGTGCTAAGAATTCGTTTACACAGCTTGACGTCTCTTCTTATTGGGAAGCACAGACAACAAAACCAGAATGTCATATCTGCTTGCACTTATTGTACTAAAGTGCAGATCAACTACCAAAAATCCAGAAAATATTGTTCATTTATTTTTGATCAAGGAGCAACTGTTTACATAGAAGGTCAGGATTACCTTTTGCTAGTATGTTATCACAGATAAGAAAACACTTGAATCAACTTGCTCTTTTTGACATCACTGGCTGGCAAATAAGGATGAAAATTTTGCGTTTTCCCAACGAAAAAGAAGAAGAAGAAGATGAGGCTATGCAAAGAAATGTAACATTGCTCGAAGGAAGGACATCAACAACCACATTACTTCTCTACTCCTAGGATTAGACAACTGCCAAAAGCTCAGACACTCACTTTTTTCAAATAAAAAAAACCAATTCAGTTGCTCTTTAATCAAAAGTTAATTTTTCATATATTCCTTACGGAAATTTTGATTCTTGATCTGATTTTGAAATATTAATCTACTTCTGTTTTTCCTTATCTTTGACTTGCGACAGCTAAAAGAGATTAGATTGCCGATCAGAAACGTTCTTTTCATTTCCTTTCCAGACGTTCATTTTCCCATACACACAAGAACAATAGTAATTTACCGGTGACAGAATGAATGACATCTTAATGATCACCCATTTTACCTGTCCAGCCGCAGACAAGTACAGCAATTATAGTGCTAATAGGTCCCAATTGTTGTTGGAATACAGAATTCAATTGAAAAGATCCTATCGCACCTACTGAAGAAGTGTTTTTACTGGGAAGTTACAGTATCTGACGAAATTAGTTCAGATGGTAGAAACAGAGAGACTAGGACAATGAAGGGAGTAAAATAAAAAGAGGACCACCAACAAAAAAAAAAGATTTTGAAAAAAAAGAGTGGTGTTTCACAACCGGATAATCTCCTTCGCCAACAAAGGAAAACCACGTGAAAATATCCAATTTTGTTGTCCGCCCATTCCGCCTGACACAATCGCTCTATTTTTGAACCGCGCGCCAATTTATAAATGTCTGCGTCTCTTGAAATAAATTCATAACTTCGTTTCCTCCTCATTTCCTATTCCGTTGCTTTTGACGGGCGCCCATCAAATTTTGACGTTTGCGGTTTCTTGTTTTGTTTCTTGGTTCTTGTTTCTTGGATATTTAATTAAATTTGTTTCATTAAATAAATTAGTTTGCTAGGGAATTAATCAATACCACAAACTTTACAGTCTGTAAGTTTTTATCTAATGTTTCGGTCTGGAAATTGTTCTCAAAATTCTCCAAAAATGTAAAGCAAAGGAAAATGGAATTAGTCGGCTAAATTAAGAGATGACACTACTTCTTTTCTAGCGAATAACAACTTGAGCCACTATATTTCAGTCATATGAGAGAGCGTTAACGTGACATAAACTGACTCACCGGCAATGAATGAATCCAATATTCATAAAAGGAAATATATATTGAAAATATATCAAACACGAGAAGTGTGACCATTCCTGTTCTTTGAATAGCCTTGTATAGAGAGTGGCTGTGGGAACATAAATGCATAGGGTTGAGAAATAAAGCAGCTGATTTTCTATATTGAGTTTTGTTTTCGAATTCAATTATATAGTAAAGGTGAAAAAGAATCAGAAGTTTTTCGTTTTTATTTTGTTACTTGAAAATTTTTCAGTCATGTCTTCGAAAAAGGTTTCACTATTTTTATTTTCAAAAATTCAAAATATATTAATCTGATTTTTCAAAGATTTTAATCATATTTTAAATGTGTGAAATTTTTTTAAAAATCTAAAAAATCGTGCATTGAAAAGTTTAAATTTTAAATGTGTCTTAAAATTATTAAATGAAGTTGCGTATCAGAAAAAAAACTGTGAGACCAAATTTGATTTTCCATAATTTTTTGAAATTTTTTAAAATTAAAAATTTAAAAAATTTTTAATGAAAAATTTAATAATAAAATCGTTGGAAAATTGAAATTTAATTATGAATTTACAAAACAATTTGAATTATTAGTGCCAAAAAAAATAAAAAATACCAAACCAAGAAATACTAAAAACGTAGAAACCAAAAATATCACGAAACCGCATAAACGACCAACGTCTTCGTCTCCGTTTATAAATAATTGCGTGTGGGACCAAGAAATGCAACACTACAACTTTGCCCTCAAAATGCAGAGACGGAAGACGGCTACTTATGTCTAATTCGAAAGAATTCTCCAACATTTTCACAAGAGAGAAAAAGAAAACTACGCATTTTGGAGAGCGAGAAAAGGAGAGTTCAAGGTTCGCAAAATATGAAATTTGAGAACTTGAAGCGATTTTTTTTTGAGTTGAAGGATTAGAGAAAAGTTATGTAGTCGGCCACTTTCTAATAAAAAAAACTGGTTACCGATTTCGCACGTGGATTTTTTGGGTGAACAACAACAACAACAACAACACTTCATTATGAGTGGAAAAGTCAGCGGAAGAACTAGCACTTTTTATTTTCAAAACAAAATTTCAAATCGAAAAGTTTGGCAAAGTCTTGTACATCATTTTTATTGGCAAAATGAACATTTAAAGTATAGAATTTAAAAGTTTCAAACTGCAATTTTAGGGAAACCAGAAACTGTGACGATGGGAATGGTGAGACAGAAAAAGAACCCTTTTTCGGACAATAGTATAGAGAATGCAAACTTAGTAAAGCATCAGCAGGTTGCATTATCTTTCTTTCAATCTGTATACTAAGCATTTTGAAGATGTAGCAGAAAAAGCAGAAATAGGGTGGTATGAATACGAAAACGAAGAAAACGGAAAATGAAACAGAGGAAAGAGAACAGAAGAAGAATAAAAAGTAAAAGGCGACAAGAAGAAAGAAGAAGACGTTTGAAAAATGGGAGAATTGAAAATTGAAATTAAAGTAACAAGTCGGTGTGACGGCGTAAATCTTCTGTGAATTGTTTTATTGAGTTAGGGATTGTGCAAAAAATTATGATAAGAATGAGCAAACGTTGGGGTGAAATTAAAGAAAAAAGGAGCTCATACATTCTCAGCCGTCACGGAATCCATATCTTGGAACGACACGCTTTTTGTTGGCGAGAATTTGTTTTGTCAAGCAGTATTCCTTTCGGCAACTGAACTCTGAAAAAAAATGGAACTAGCCATTTGCAAATCGTCAATGAGTGCCAGATGTAGAGAAAGAGAACAAAAGAGCGGGGCTCTTTTGATGTGCTCTTTTGTTCTCTTGTTGAGTGAAATTTTCTTTGAAGTGAAAACTTTTTCAGAGTATAACGTTTTTAGATACTAATTTTTCCAGGTTTTTATATCCTTAATATTCAAATATTGGAAAACTAAAAATTTTCAGTCGTTGCAATAAAAAATCTTAGCAGTTTGAATCCATACTAAAAAGACCACAAAATGGAACCTCCAAAAAGAATTAGCTGTTGAAAAGGCAAATCATTATGACCTGTGAAGTGCTGAAGTCACCACTAAATTGGATGAAGCTCTGAAATTTTGATTGAAAAGGGGGAATCGTGAAGAATTTTAATTTTGATTTCAGCGCTTTTTTTTGTTTTATTTTATATTTCGTTACAGTATTAATTCATTTTTCATTTCATTTTAAATTGAAATTTTGCTCTAAAAAAATCATCCAGGTGATGTTCCAGTTGGGACAAACAAACAGTAGACGTCTAACCTTCACCCAACCGGTCGCCTGGTGTTGTCGCCCTACCACATGACACACCATGCCAGACAGTGAGATTTATTCAATTTCTTCGCGGCAGACAATGAAGCGAATTTTATAAAACAACGAATTGGAAATTCTTGAAAATGGGGATGTTAAATTTCGGAACTTAGCGGAATTCAAAAAAAATTCTAGTTTTTTAAAAAATATTTTATTACTTTTTTGATATATATTCAATTTGTATTTTTCAGAACCTACTTATCCAATCTTTTTTTTGAATATTATAAATATTTGTATCAATAGATCTACCAGCAACTTTTTTTCCATATATGTCTTGTTTTTTCCGCATATGTCTTACGACACTCCGAAATAACGGGGCGCGCATGGATTAGCAGCGCGAAATTCCTGAACGACTTTACATTATTAGCGGTTTCACTGTCGTTATCCTTTCTTATTTGAACATTTTAAGCATTAAAAAATTTCAGAACACATTTCGGGTCACCAGAAAGGTTCATTTTTCTGACAATAGCTGCAGAACATGGATATTGTGAGGATTATCTTTGTAAGTGTTCATTTATTCACTTTTCATGAAAATTCTCAAAGCGTCCATTAAAGAATAGACTGAAGCCTTCCGAGAAGTTTGTCGGATGCAAGAGCAGCAAATTTTTAACAAAACTGTCATTGAAACATCGAGATTAATACGATGGAAATTGGATTTGACCATATATCTGTGCAGAGTTGTCTCCGGAGCAATTCGACGTCGAATCAGTGTTTATGGGTTGGATGCACTTGTGCCTACCTTAAGAAACCTCACGGGAATCTGGAAGTTCTCCACAAAAAGTTTCGTCATTGTTTTTTTTAAGAGAGATTATCACGTTACCCACATATTGGCAGACTATCGATTTTTTGACGGAATCAAGCAGTCGAATGGTGTATGCATCAAGCTGCACGTGTAAACTAATACAAGACTCGAATCGAATTTTTAAAAAATTGATAAATGATTCTGTCACGGAAAACCAACAGCTCCACACTTTCGATAGAACTACTGGAACAGAGTTGATTCTCGAGAAGGCGATGGAATTTATAAAAAAACTATGATATGAAAAAAGAGCCGGCCAAGATCTCCATTGCATACCTGATATTTCCAGATCACGAGCGACTAGGCTGTAGAGAAAGAAAGGAAGGAAGAGCGTATAAAATTCCACCTTATAAGATACAGCTAGGCCCAAGTTTTCAATTGGCATTTAATTGAGGAAACAGAATAGATGATTGGTTATGGAAATGCGGAATTCTCGGATTTTCGTCTCCGGGGCCTTGGAAAAAGTTTAGGATTAACCGAGTCAACCTAGAGCTAGGTGCCGATTCGCAGCCGTTAAATTACAAAAAAATCGAGCATTTTTGGAAAGTTTGTACAGTAGTCTTATTGGCAAAATACACATGTATTGTATAGAGAAAAAGTTAGAAATTCAAAATGTTGGAAAACCAGAAATTGTGACGACGGGGATGGTGGGGGACAGGGAAGGTAATCTTTTCCAGGCGGAATATAGAAAATGCAAATTTGGTAAAGTGGTAACAGGTTCCATTATCTCCATCTGTATAGCAGACATTTTGAAGCAAAACGACTAGAAACTATAGAAGAAGAAGGAAAATCAGAAATAGGGGTTGGCATGAATAAGAAGAAAAATGAAACGGAACAATGAAAATGGAAGAAGAATGAAAAGTAAAAGACTACAAGAAAAAAAGGAGAAGGCGTTTGAAAAATGGGAGAATTGAACATTGAAATTGAAATTACAAGTCGGTGTGGCGGGCGTAAATCTTCTGTAAAATTTTTTATTGAGTCAGGCATTGTGCGAAAAATGATGGTTAGGGTGAACAAGTTTGGGACGTGGATGTAAGGTAGTGAGGAGCTCATACATTCTCAGCCGTCATGGAATCCATATCTTGGAACGACACGCTTTTCGTGGGCGAAAATTTGTTTTGTTCGAGCAGTATTCCTTTTGGCAACTGGACTCTGAAAAAGAATGGAATTGGCAATTAGAAAGTATGGCAGTCTTTAAGTTCTGAAATTCATTTTCTCGTTTTTTCTTCCTCCCACTAACCTCACAAAATCTCTATCTGCCGACTCTTCAAAATCCGTTCGAGACTCGTTTTTCTTTTTTTGCAGGAAAGAAATCTTATGTCTCAACATCTCCATCGATGCATTTCGTCTCAACTCATTCTTCACAACGCGGTTCACAAACTCAGCTTCGTTCAATTGAAGACTGGAGACTGAAGTGTCGGTGGAACCCGGAATTTTTGAGTAGACACCGCCAGAGTCCACACTTTCCATTGTTGAATTGTTACTGAAATGAGGATAAAATGTTGAAATATGAGCAAAATGAAAATACCTGAGCCCCGGGCTTGTGCTATTTACTAGGCGATTAGGGTGGAAGTAGCGGTTGAAACGGCAAATCATTTTGATCTGTGGTGTGCTGAAGTCACAGCTGAATCGGATAAAGCTTCTGAAAATTGGATTACTGAAAATAAGAAATTGGTAATTAAGGATTACCTCAAATGCTCCACAAACAGGAGAGCATCTCCTGTGGCAAACTCGAAGGTTCCCAAGTTCTCAATTCCGAATCCAACACAGTGTTCGCCAGTTCCAACCCTAAAAATCCATATGTAATAAACTCTCTAATTGGGATCAATTCTCACCATTGAATTGATTGATATGGAATGCAATGGATATTGTTATTCCCACTAATTTGCAGACTCTCATTCAGCGACAACTTGTAGACCCCTTCTGTCGACTCTCTCCCATTCACTTGCTTCAATTTCAGCATTGCGTAAGTATCAGCTGAAAAATGGGAACATTGTCGTTAGAAACCGATTTCTACACAATGTACTTACGAAATTCAAAATATTCTTCTTCTTCAGTAGGCGAATCCAACGAGGTACTTGGGGCAATTGTGACATATTGCATCTGCAATTCAAATAAATAAGCTTGGATTTTTAGCTTTGTTCAGTTCATTGTCAATGTGTTGTTACAGCACGAATTCATTTTTTTGTCTGAAATTTAACATTCATTCTGAATAACCGTGATGTTTTCGATGGTACAAAAACGAACAGTAGTTTTTTAACCTTCACCCAACCGGTCGTCTGGTGGGTTATCATCATTACAGACAGTGAGATCAATTCCCCTGTGGCAGATGAAATGGAAAATGTTGAAAACGGGGGATGTGAAATTTCGAAACTTGGAGGACTTTGAAAACAAGAGAGTCCTATTTTCACAATTTCAAAATTTTAAAAGTCTCAATATCTCAGCCTGCTAAAAGTCTTAATATCTCTAGTGGTCCATTGAAAAGCACTTCTGGCAAAAAGATAATGCCCTAAAGCTTTTTTTTTTGAAATTTACCTTCTTTGGAAAACAAATGGTGCTCAGAACATCCATGACCCTTTGTAACTCTTCACTCGAAAACTGCAAGTACGAATCATCTTTATACTGTACTTTCACAAATGCAGCTCCGCCATCAGTCTTCCCGGGCTTCAACGACACCACATTCTCCAAAAGGATTGTTTTCACTGGTTCCTTCTTTTTGCCATCACTCTGGAATAATTCGATGCGAGCCTTTCCCAACGAGTTTTCCTCGAAAAAGCTGGCGATGTAGGATTTCCATTTCTGTAATTGATAGTTGTGGGGAGCCAACAAAATTTTGAGCTCACTTTTCCGATTAGTTTGTCCTGGTACAGTTGCACTTCTGTTGTTAGAAGTGGCTCCATTGCTTTGATGAATCTGGACGGGAGAATAAAGTTGGTGAAAGCCTGAAAAACCACAGAATAAGAAGGTAAGAAGGTGTTGATTGAAAAAAGAAGAGCAACGAGAGCGGTTTTTTAATAAAGTTCATACTGTTGGAAATTATTTAAATCTTATTGTAAATTCTATCGAAATTCGGAAGGAAAATATTTTGGAAATTTTGGAAATCATTAGCCGCCGCTAAGTCTTAGACCTACCATACAAACATAGATTGCGAGCTGTCAAACAAAATGACGACATTATCACGCACATTAATACGGAGACGGTCTCGCAGAAGTTGCCGACCAGAAAGACTATATAAATTGGATTTCAAAAGACAAGGAAAAATTCACTGATGTATATAACAAATGTAATTTCCTAACTTTAGTCGAATACGGCATCCTTTGTACAAGACGAGCTTTAGTTCCTCATCTCCTTGCGGGCTCTTCACTCGAGAAAGATAACACTAGAGAAGTGCTTCGGACATACCATACCTGGTAAATTATTTGTATTGAGTACATAATTTTAGGATTAGTGGATAGCGAGGACGAGCGTGGCATTTTTTGGTGGGCTTTGATATTTTTACAAAAGAGTTTTATGGATAAATGATTGTCAAACCCATACTACCACGTATATCTATTTGCATTACAACCACTCTCAGATTCCCACCCAATTTTTGTGACAAACACACACAAAGGGAGAAAGACACTTGTTGAACACACTCAGCAACCCTGACCGTTCCTTGTTTGATGGTCTCAAGTTGATAAGAAAGAAGATAATAAACATGAGCCCGCCAAGATTCAAAGAGAAGATTATGATAAGCGATAGAAATAGAAACAAAGTTAGACAAGAGCTAGGAGTGATGTTTGAGTCTTGAAAAAATAAAAAATTTTGCAAACTTCGTAGAGTGCAGAGGCAACTACAGTAACATTCACCACAGTAGTAGAAAGCCACCAAAACCGTCAACATTCGGCTCATATATATCTTTCCTGTAAAAGATATAAAAACATGGTCAGCTGACAAAATGCTTATCAGGAAATAAAAATTATTATGTAAATTAACAACGTTATACATTTTGGTCACGAACTGACATATTTTGGCTCAAAGTGTGAATGAAAGATGGCGTTCTAGAGTCTTTACGGTATCCACTTAAAGCTAAAACCGCTTGATTTAGAAAAATTGTCTTATCTAAAACATTCTCTCGTTTCATTCCTTCAATTTACAATCCTTATGAGAAATTTACGATTGGACCGTCCTCTTTATAAAACCCAAAGTTATAAACCGACGAGGCCACAATTAGAAACCCTTCGAAAAAACCGACATGAATAACCAATCCAACTGAACACCTGCCTTCAAATCTACTTAACGATAGTAGAATATGGGAACTATGGGAGGAAAATTTTTGTTCGAATTCCATTTGGTTTTGCATGTCAAAAAAGGGAACGGAATTGCGCCCTTAAAACTTGTTCCTACATTAACATGCTTTCAAGGAAGACGTACAAAACTAACTATATCACTGTGCGTTGTCATTGGAGCGTGCATAAATTCAATGAGTGACAAAAGAGACCAACAGAGAACAAAATAGTCTAGTTCAAAAAATGCGTTTCATTCTCCTTTTGTTTGAATTTGGCTTATCAGAAGCCAATTTTGTATTGACCGTTCGGTTTAATGCTAATTCTAGGATAGTTTTTTCTCCTGGAGATTCAAGTCGAGAATAGAAGAAAGTGACACAAAAGCATACGGAATCAGAACAAGGCGTCGATCTGAGGAATCGTATCAAAATGGGACAGCTAGCCATAAAGAGCGGTTGAAGTGTCGGTTGTATCAAGTTGTATAATTTATTGAGACACACCGAGAAGGAAACACAAAATGTTGGTTGGTGTGGAAGCGGCGGTTGTGATGGGTCAGTTTCATTTTAGTGACCCGGGGCGATTATCAGTACGAACTTGGGTAAACACTGGAGTTTGCCCAAGATGATGAGGAATACGCCGCCTACTATTGGAAACATGTCTGACAAGGAAGCTCTGTTTGATTAGAGGATGGAGGTTGGAACAAGCGAAAGTTTTGAATGAAAGTTGGTAGGGGTAGAAAAAAGTCAATATTGATGGAAAATGTTTATGGGATTTAAAAAAAAATCTGAAAATGTTTATCCAACAAAAATTAGGTAACGATTTTAAAATTCATATTTTGTGTGTTCCGAGTGGAAGTATGTTCAAAACACGTACCGTATTTCTTATACTAGAAGAAGCCCACGAAACCATCAACTTTGAGCTTAATTATCTCTATTCCTGTGAAAGATATCAAAAATGTGTCAACAGGTAAATTATTTATCATAATATCACCAATAGTTTTTCAATTCACAAGTGTTTGATATCTTTCACAGGAATCGAGATAATCGGCGTCAAAATTTGGTGCTAGAGGAAGTACGGTATTGTTTAGTTTTTCGAATTTTCTTAGTTTGATGAAAAAACATTTTTCTAAAAATGGTTTTTAGTTTTAGCTTTATTCTTTGCGAACAATGAATTGGCTCTAACAATAAATTCTTAATTCTTAAAATTAGGAAACCCGTAAGGTTAAACAATATAAATACTTTCAACTTGATTTTTTGAATGAAGCTAGTTTTAAAAAAAATATTTTTCATTTTAAAACTAATTTCAAAAAAAAAGCTTGAAAATTTTACTGCTAACCTACTACGTTATCAAATTATGAAACACATTATCACAACTACTAAAATGCTAGTAATTTCGAAAAACTCAAATTTTTACTATCGGAGCGAAGAAAAAGGAAAATGAAATCATTTTCAGAAAAGAATGATTCTAATTTTTTCGAAAATATTTCTCAATTTCTAGAAATCATGCAAATGTTCAAAACATGGTCACGAAAAAATGAAATCATGAGTCAACAAAATACATCATGAGGCTTTGTCATATTCCATTCTAAATTTCCTGCTTTATAAACAGAATGCCAAATATATTTTTAAAATTGGAAAAACAGAGGAACAAGAAAAACTGAGGCAGAAACAAGTGTACAGTGCCGTCCTAATCAGTTGAAGCAAGTTTGCACAGTCGAGTGTGGTACTAGCCATTTTTCTTTGACCATCGCCGCCCAACACCGACAATTGACAATAAAAAATGCAATAGAGGGAAAAAGAAGAAGAGATAGAAGGGACCATCTGTTGATTGACCCTATATTAGTTGCGGTCATGGTCTCGGTGTGTCCACTACTAAAATTGTGAAATATTGGTTTTACTACTATCACATGTTCTGTGTCTCCAGCACTTTTAGAGCGTAACATGTGTGTGATGAAGTAAAGTGAATGGGGAACTGAATAGCAGAAATACATGACGAACAACGATGGGATTAAAGGGTTTTGATACATTCCAATTCACTAAATACGGTTCCGTTTCTGGCCGTATACAACACAATAGAAGGACAAAACTTTTTTATGGTAAAGTAGTGACTGACAGACAAAAGTGAACGATAATTGAGCGGCGGGGGCAATGTGAAAAAGATCCCGTTATGTGGTGAGTCAAGCGGATAAGCATATGAGAAACATGCGACAGGAACATGAAATGGGAGGAGCAATAAGAAAGAACGCAATTGGATAGGGTAGAAAAAGAGAATAAAACATTTCGAATTTGGAAAGTACTGTAAGTATTTTTGTACAAAAACCCAAAATTGGTTTTTTTCTAGTGTTCTAATTATGAGGTTTTCTTGAAGTTTACTGTTTTTTTTCCCTTATACCCCGACTTTTTTCAAGTGAGAGGCGAGAAAAACTGAAAAAAAAACTTCATTTGAAACATTGGATGATGATGAATCACTATAGTTTTTATGGCGTAATCAAATACGGAACTTGGTCTGTGATTTAACGGCTACCTGATTACAAATGAGATGCGCGGAAAACAACAAAAAAGAAACAAAAACCCCGACACCACATTCCTCTCCCTCGCCTTCTTGTTGCCCAGTTTATCAATCAAATCGACACCTCCGCCTATCAGAAAAAGAAATATTGCGCTTGATCGGGTTGGGTTGAAACGAAAACGTTTGAAGACTAAGGTGGTTTCGTTTTCGTTTTTTTTTTCTTGTCGCCTGTCTCACACACACGGGAGGTGGTTTTGGGTAGTTGGCGGTAAAAAGGGGAATATAGAGAGAGAGAGAGAGAAACATCTGAGAAATATATATATCATTATAAGATGATTGAAGGTCTACAAAAACGGAAGATATGGGAGAATGATCGTAAGGATGGGTTGAAGGAAGAGGGTAAGAAGGAAAAACATGATAATGGATAGTGACAAGGACGAGTAGTGGTATTAGTAGCGGAAAAGTAATGGAAAACGGATCGAAAGTAGTAAGTTTCTTGACGCGATTGACTATCTGATTTGAATAGTAGATAACAAATAAAATCGAGAAGGATGGGAGAGGATTGATTAATGAGAGATTGGTTTTCGACACTATGGGTGAGGCCAAAAAAAAAGGGAAAACACAATAAATTCCTTGGGATAAATTTGAAGCGAAACGGATGGATTTTCGATTGCTATCGCGTTGAGTAATTAGCATGTCAACCCTAAATAAATAACATTTCCGTGACCAGGTACACTACTGGCGCCAAAATTTTGATATTTGAAGTTGACAAGAAAATGATTCAATGTTTTTTTGCAGTTATGTACCACTGGGATCTAAAATCAATCAAGATAGATACCAAAAGTCAATTAAAAATGTCGAGGACAAAACTTTCGATGCCAATGAAATCTGGAAACCAAAAATTCCTCAAACAATCAGTTTCAGAGACCACCAAATTTAATTGCAGTTCTGGTAACAATGAAAAGAGAGGAAATACAGAGAAGAACCAAAACTGATACTCCCTCATATAACTAATACGAATTCTTGATTGTTGTTATATTGTTGTTGTTGGTTGGTGAGGTGGGGGATGGTAAAAGAAATAACAGCTGAGGTGTTGTTTATTATTTGCAATTGTAACTTTTTTCATTTTTTTTTTCTTTCCCCGCTGCAAAATGAAAGATGGAAAGGCTTCTTCAAGAGTTATGGGAGTAAGTTATGTGGGACAAACAAAAAAAACCGAGGAGCGACAGAAAAAGGAAATATTTCGTTGTGGAATGAGTGGGTAAGAAGAGAAAAAACTGTGATGTGCTGAATAATGTGATGGGAATTGGGTGGAAGAGTGTGGAAAGGAAGGAGGAGGAGATGGAGAAATGATGAGCAACACCCTCGAAACCGACACAACAGGAAATATGTATATAGAGATCCCAATGAAAAGCGGTAATTGGAATGACTCTATCCAGATGATAGATGACTGAGTGATGGAAAGGAGGGCATCATGATGCGATGCAAGTCACCTGCTCCCCTCCCCCTTTTAGGAAATTTATTCCTTATTTTGCCCTAGTCTTCCTTTTCCGTCAAACCGCCGATATGATAATTTCTAAAAGATTTATGAAGCTCTTGATGATGGCCGATGGTCAGTCATGTGAAACGATATATAGATGGAAACTAGATGGATGAATGGGTGGAAAGCGTCAAAAAGAATCATGAACTATTTTTTCCCCTTTGAAAGAAGTCAAAAACCAATCAGTCTTATTGCCCTATGCAGAGAATCGATCCATCAAAAATTCATACTCATTTTCACTGAAAGAATAACCTTCCTTTTCAACGCTTCGAACAATAGGTTTTATCGACCACCCAATATGTGGGAAAATGTTTTTCAAGGTTGTTTTTTTGGTTTAGTGTTGGTAAGAGAGAAAAAAGACAAATAGTGATATGAGAAAAACAATGATGAGAGTTTTGCAGAAAACTGACCAATAGATTGGTAAAACAGTAAGACGGAAAGAATGGGAAAAACTTCGAACTTCTATTTACGCAGCGCATAATCCACGTATTTTTTCTGTCTTTTCCAGCTGACCGGAAACATGTATTGTCTTCTTCTGCGCTTCCTTTACAAATACACACACACACACACCCACAGTATTTTGCACAAAGATCGCGCAGTTTTCTTATTGTGTTTGTATATATTTCGACATTGAACAGAAGCTCAAATTTCTCGGAAACCCCAAAGTTAGAGCAGCCGGTGGTTAATGCCTCAAAATCTAAACAAATGGAATACACTTGCTGAATGTTTCTCACAAAATATAAGCTCATTTTCTCCGTGCAAAAGTGTTCACTATATAGCAAAATTCAAAACATGTGTGAGGCATGCTGGAAATCGTGAAACGACAACGTGTTGCGTCATTCATGAAAAAAGTGAAAACCATATGTTTCGAGATTGAGCATATAACCCATAAAATTTGGTGTTCTAGCACTTCTACACCAATGTAAACGTTGTTATCGTCACTAAGAAGTACAACATCTAATCATCACCATTTTTATTACAACGAAGCAAGGAATGGCAAAAATAGACACATGTGCACTGACTATCCGTTATAAGAAATTAGGTCATAATTTATTTGCTCTTGGAGGTGGCGAATCCAACTCTCTTGTTTCCGTGATCGAAGACAGAGTAGAAGCGTCCGATGAAAACGTCTCCGAGAATCCAGAGTGGTCCAGCTGGGGCTGGGATGTCCATTCCCATGAACCCAGAAAGGCAGGTCATTCCTCCGTTTCCGTTGGAGAGCTGAAGAATGTAGTCTTTTCCTTGAAGGTCGAAGTTTTGTCCTCCGAGTGTGAAGGTGATGTTTGGAAGAGATGGAATCTTGCTGCAGGCAACCTCGTACTCTCCGTTTAAGAGTGGGATAGCTCCGATCTTGTGTTGAATCTTCTTGATGATATCAGATGGTCCGGTGAGGAGGGAGGTTCCGGTGTCAACAATGGAGTCCATTGGTCCGTTGGTGAAGGTGGTTCCTTGGATGGAGACAGCTCCGAGCTTGATTCTCCAGTAGTCCATAGAGACGAGTGGTTCCCAGGCAATGTTTCCAGTGTAGTGGTTGGAGTCAGTGTCGCAAAGGGTGATCTCTCCTCCGTTGGCGATATCGTTGGCGTCACGGCTAAGCCAGAAAGCGAATAGTTGGTTGGGGCAGATGGCGGAGTTGGCGAAGATCTGGTCCATTGGCTGGGAAATCTTGTTAACGGAGATGGTGTCCCATCCCATTCCGAAGATCCCGTCGAATTTAGCGGCGACAAAGGTGATTCCTGGCTCAGAGGTAGCGCAGGCCAATCCTTGTGTCTTGTCGGTACAGAAGGTGGTGTCATGAGAGAACTAAAAGATTTGAGATGAATTTACTAATTCAAAAGTTTCAATGTTACTTACGCAAACAATATCGTTGTCAACGGTTCCCTTCATGGATCCAGTTCCGTATTGGATCTCGAAAGAGGCTCCGGTAGCTGTGCAACTGGAGGACTTCTTGCAGTCAAACTACAAAATGTATTATAAAGATACTATAGCACATTGTAACACCTACTCTGTTGTGCATTCTGCAAGCGATGTCTCCAAATGGGCAGTTGGCGCATGGCACCCACAAGTTGGAAGATCCGGTATCAAACAAAACTTGGAAGTTTTGTGGTGGGGTTCCAATGACAATTGGTCCGTAGTATTGAGCGTTGGAGTAGTCGGAGAGTCCCTCGTTGAAGGCATCGTTGTTTGGAACGTATCCCTTGATGTACTTGGTCTTAAGGTGCTCTTGAATAGCTGGGAACTTGTACTGCTCTCGGGTATAGGTACGCTTCTCGAGCTTGATTCTAAAAATCCATAAACTTAGTAGACTGTTAAAGAAAATAGGTGAAATCTACTGAAATTTTAAAAGTAAAGTTCTGAAACTAACCTCTGGATGGCCGAAGCCACGGCGACAAGAGCCAGGAGAAGGAAAACGCGGCCAGTCATGGTGCGCTTATCACTAAATGAAAGTCGGCAGCTCGGTTTCTTTTATACACGGCTCGAAACTCTCTTCTCCCTCTGATGATATAAGTGTACGTCACGACCGTTTTTAGTGATAATTAGTGGGCTGGCTCTGAAAACGGAATCAAGTCAAAAGCGTATCTAATAAAATTTTGATGTACTTTTTGAGAGCAATGTAGGAAGCGAGAGTGATAGAGAAAATCATAAAAAAGAGAGTCCGGGTCCGGGTTGGACTTGCTGACAATGGATTATTCGTGTTTTATAGCGTTCCTACTCGGTCGTAAAGTTCTAGAATCTGTACTCTATTTTGTATGACGTATGAGTCATATTAGTTGTTCGCTCCCCATATTGAGCCTTTGTGATCAAAATAACAGTTTCAGCAATTCCCAGTATTTGCTCTAGAATTGTTGATTTCCAATTTTTAGTTAGAATACCCTCTATTCAAAACCTTATCAGAAATTTGTTCTAGAAACTTCTAAAAAAGAGTATCGAACAATCTAGTCAACACACCACGGTAATCGGCTTATTTCAAAGTTCTTCAACATGTATTTAGAATCGTCATCATTGTCAGATAGTCTCAAAAGTTGCAAAGATGTGATAATGAGGTGATAGTGGTAAATGGACTACGAAGTCAAAGTTTGGACATTGGCCTATTGACTATTACGACATTGATTGGGAAAGTTTGAAAGAACAGGTGTGCACATACTATTTTGAAATTTGGAAACTATTTAAACAATTTATTGTATTGAGCAGTACAAGAAGGAGTTATTTCAACGTATTCTTCTTGTGATACAAACGTTTTTTTCCTGTTTCTGTAAAACAACCAGAACGTTTTCCTAGAATTTTAAATTCCGTTCCGTCTCAGACACATTTGCTCCTGGTTTATTCGATCGTCGAACCGCTATCAATCAACACCCGCGATAGTTTATCTCATCAAGTTCATCATGCTCTAAAATATATTTTGTCAACAATGATTTCCCTCCGGCGGGTCCCAATTGCTTCTCATCTCTCCACTCAAACCGCCAACCCAAAGCTCCTCCAGTGTAAAGAGCAAAAGTTTGTGAGTATAGAGATGGGTGAGCACATCAGCAGCCGTTGTAACGGATAGATCTCGTTTCGCACGCCTCATCGCTTTCACACGAAAATCTTTCACTTAAAAATGAAAATTCGACTGCTAGGTTTACTTTCTGTGTTCGTCCTACTGTTCGGAGCCACTGACTCATTCAAAGCGCCTCAACATGTTTCGGCGACAAAAGGAAAGTTTTTCGTGCACACACTACATTCTGCGAATTTTTTTCCGAGCACAGGTAACATTTCTATTTTCAAAATTACTGTTTCTGATGTACATGTTGTTCAGTAAAAGTGAAATGGGAAGCTACACTAAACAACAAACCGGCTCTACCCAATTGGTTGCGTCTATTGCCGTCTCGCCACCCGGAAATTGCTTATCTAATAGGTGATCGCTTCTTTTTTTAATAGCTCAAACCAATCAATCATCTTGTGATTTTTATTCGATTTCAGGCACTCCGGTCACAAATGTGCAGCATGTCACCCTACATGTGATAGCGAAACGGCTGGATAATTTCGACATACAGCAGCGAATGATAGTGATTAATCTAGTGGAAGATTGTTAGTCTAGTAAAAATATTGAAATGAAAACAAAATGAAAATTTAGCACTGTACCAAGGAAATACGCAACAAATATTCGAACTTCCTATAAATGGACTCGATGTGGAAGATCTGGTTTCGAATCGAGAGCGAAAAATAAGTGAGTAATGTTGCATATGACATCACACCGACTTGTTTTGTTTAGGTCAACTGGAAAACGCACTGCGTAATACGTTTCGTGGTAGAAATGTGAACCCATACATCGCCGGTATCCGCTCCAGATATACTATTCCTCGCGGCAAAGAACACATTTTCAAAAACAATGTTGGGTAAGAAGACGATTTTCTGACATCAAGATGAACTTTGCTTTCAGAACTATGGTTTTTGTTGGAACGCAACAAAAATTCTATCCAGGAACAATGGCAATTGTCAAGAATTTGCAAACGGTACCCGATTTTTGCACCAAACCATCCGCAGTTGTGATGAATAAGTATTTCGCGCCCACGTTTTCGGTTGATTGGTGTAATGTCGCTGTGGTAAGAAAGAGAGATAACACAAAATGATATGCAGAACACAAAATACGTTTATCTTTCCAGAAAAACGTGTCGGCAATTGAAGAAGAAGCAAATAATGAAAAGTTGGTTAATGTGGATGGTGAAGAAAAATCGACGCAAATAAAACAAGTTGAGGTTAGTCTGAAACATAATGAGTTTGATAAAATGCCCCGAATTCTCTAATAGACTTAAACCTCTCCTAATTTCAATCAAATACTTCACTTACTGCAGAAACAATTTGTAAACTGAAAAAACAAGATTTCGATACTACTGTATTTGTTCTGGTAGAAGCTTACAATATGCATGTATTTTGAGCTCAAATTAAAAGAGATATTTTGTCCACTGATAAATTGTTTGCCATAGTATCACCATCATTTTATTTGTTGACAGATTCTTGATATCTTTCATAGAAATTAAGATTTGGTCTACACGTATAAAATTATTGTTTCCAAAGAAATTATCATGGAGGTTCCAATTTTCGAAATATTTAATCATGCTGGATCATTGCGACGTCACAAATACTATCTCAAATCACTTATCAAAAACTCAACAATAATATCTTCTCAATTTCTCTCTAATAGAGTAATCAGATGTTGGAACTCTTTACCCACCAAAGTGTTTCCGGTGAAGCCCTCGTCAGCGGCTTTCAAAAATCGACTATTATCCTGTGATCTAAAACATTTTCTTGTCTTGAATTCAACTAATTACTAACTCGGTTTTCCTTCGTCTCCCATTTAATACAAATGTATGTCCCTGTTATATCTCCTAGTTTCATAGACATTTCACGTGTTAGTGGTTTTCTCCCCTTCGTTGAAATAAATAAATAAATAAATAAATAGCTGAGCTAAAAGAGCAAGTATAGAATACGCTTTTATTAGAGCAAATACCGTATCTTACAAAAACCAAGATGATTGGGATTGAAGTGCATGAATTGTGGTGGAAATTTATTTGAAAACTTTTCGGTAATAAATAGTGAAAATGATAGCGAAATTTTCGAAATTTTCATAATAATTAATTCAACTTTTTTGCTAAAGTTTTCGTATGCTGAAATTTTTTCGGATGCTAAAATTTTTGCTAAAATTTTCGTACTAGCAGTATGAGCTTTGTTCTCTAGTTTACGACGTTTTGATATATCTAACAGAAATTAAGATAATTATGTTCAAAGTGTAATTAACTTTCTTCTTGCCTAAAAGGCATCTGGGGCGCGCTTTCTGTCCAAGGCTTCTGAACTTTTGGTGAATTCACTGTATGCTTTTTATCTGTTACAGGACTCGAGCGACCGACCAGAACAACCACCGCGCGAGCTCTATGGGTACTCGGAACACGGATTCAGCATTGTTCTTGTTGCCATCATTTTGGGAGTCTGTGCACTTCTCATTTTTGCACTGGTGCTCATTTTTTTTGGGTCAAGAGAAGGGCAGAAATGGAGAGACGACAAAACGTCTGGGTATGAGTTCAAATCTCCTTCCATCTTTTTATAAATGAAATTTGGATTTTCAGTGAGACTATGGGAGAATTTGTCACTATTCGTGACAATCAGAAGAAGTTGCGAGAACTTTCACTTCAAAGACAACTTCTAAGCATGGGACCAGACACCAATTCCACTGCACCTTCTGGAATTCATTCGTATTTACAATCAAGAAGCAGAGCACCAAGCACAATTGCTAGATTTAGCAAAAGTGCGAGTAGATTGAATGATAGAGGTTTGAGCTTGATGGAAATAAAGAATCTAGTTTTGTTTTAATTTCAGAGGACACTATTGAACTTCTCCCCTCTGTTGATCATATTCCCGTTGGCAAGCAAACAGTCGCAGAAGCAGCAAAGCAATGCGGAAGCTCTTTGCATCTGTACAGAAATCCATTGAGCGATGAAAGCGATGAGCAAGTCACTGAAAGCTCTGAAGATGAAAACTAGATAATTTGTATTTTATTTCACATTATCCTGAATGAAAGATCTCAATAATGAAAACATTCCATCTCCAAAACCTGAGCAATCACAAAGCTCGATATTCAGAAAACTCGATCTCTCCCAACCAGAATCACGGTTCTGGTTGGTGGATTTCCCACCTGATCTGAGAATTTTTCTAATTCTTTTGCCTCCATTCCATCCATGTGACTACTCAAGCTTCAAAAATTTTTGAAGCATACTTGTTTTCAGTTTCTAACAATTTTCCCATCTAGAGCTCACCCAATATAGAAACATTTAACAATAACATTTAAACTCCGCACTTACGTGCCCTTACATCCCACATGAATTGTCGAGTACGTGCGACACTAATTAGATGTTATTCCGCGATTACTCTCTGCGTATACTTGACACTTCTTGAATCATAAGACGTCTCTAGCTGATTTCACCAGACGTCTGCATCGTTTTTTGTTGCGCGTTGCGGTTGCGTCGCGCTTTACTGTGGCTGATTTTCGCTGAATAAGTGTAAGAGAATTGTCTCTCTTCCGCGTTTCGGATTTTTGAATTACTTGTGGTTCGGTTTGATCATCTTACCATGACAGAAAATAATCACAACTTTGATTCACCTTCTTCTATGTTGTGAAGCTTTTTGGATATCAACTTTTGTTTTAGTTTAGTTCTGATTAATTTATTTCCAGAACTAGAAAACGTAAACCATCACTTCAGTATGAAAAAAAATGTTGGCCCGTCTCGCAACTTTTACCAAAACCGGTCTTTGTCGCCGTCGGTTTCTAATAATAAAGATGATACTAGCGTTGGGTTTATGACAGAAATGGGAAATTTATCAGAGCAACAGAAGCCAGAAACGTTTGAAAAGTCTCCAAACAGATTTTTGGAACCGATTTCCTCTGATGAAGAAGAGAGCGAACCAACGGCTAGAAAGGTTTGTTATTTTGAATTGCGCACAATTTTTCACCTAATTTTCACAGACCCGGATGCGACCATCTTCACCAGTCATTGCTGAAGCGCATCAATGCTCTGGCTTACATAATATTGGAACAAGCACAGATAACCTAATGGACACCAGTGAAGCTAATATCATTGAAAGTCATCTTGGTAATGGTTTTTTCAGTTCATCTGGCGTTTGCCTTTGTGAATTAAATGGGATGTATAAAATCCCGCGTTGAGTAATTTTTATTCATATTTGTTTTTTTGCAGAAGCTGATTCGACAACCATCAACAAACCAATTCCAATCAACATTGAAGACGAAGTTTTGCCATTGATAAATCTGCAGCAAAATTTGAGACGCCTTTCCGTGGAGCATCGACGACTGATCTCGTCAGATTTCCATAACGACATTCCAAATTTGACCTGGAAAGCGAAAGATCCATGTCCAGAGGGACTGACCGAACAAAGCAGGGAGACATTGAGGAACTTGCCAACAGAACACAGAGATTTCATCTTGGAAAATTTTTACAACGGACTCCTGGAACCAATTTCTTCGGATGAAGAAGAATAGATTTTATTGAACCTGGTGTTTTGAGATATGCTTAGAATTCCGAGCATTTACCTCTGTAATTTTCCATGACCTCACGTTCTCACTATCTGCACTTCATTATATTATTCAAAATAACTCATAATAAAACGATATTTTTTTAAAATCTGCTTTGTCTCATTCCTCTAAACGGTATTTTGCCAAATTTGTATCTGCAGCTTAACAGTAGACACGAACTACGATGTCTATCTTTTTGTGTCTTTCCTGCACACACGTCACTTTTCTCTGCACTCTCTTCATGTTTACATGATTAGAGACAGATGGTCGCGTTGCAGCGAGAGAGTGGCCTAGTATCCGAACATCGTGTAGTCCTCTCGGAGAAGACAATTTATTTTCCATTTTCACCTTGTTTTAACGCGAAAAAATTGGTTTAATTATGTTTTTTGGCTGATGATTTAAATTATCGTAAAACGTGTAAAACTGTTGCATTTTACTAATCATTCCCGTTATATCTCAGAAGTAACAGAAATTCCCTCAACTTAAATATCATTGGAATGGATCAGAGTATTATTCAAGACATAGAAGGTTACTTTTTTCAATAAAAAGAAAAGTAATAATGCTTTTAAAGATTCACCTACCGAATCTTCGTCATCGCCAGAGTACGAAGATGCGCTCGGAACAGCTGAATCGTCAGACCACACGGAATATCAAGATGCAGTATCGGTTCATAATTCAAACTCGCCAGACAGAAGCAATGATAGCGACGCTACTGATGTAGTTGAAACGGAACCAAGCTCCGGGAAAGACAATAACGTTTCTGAAGGAACATCTTGTTCGAAGGGAGATAGAAGTGATGGTCTGTCAGATGTTGCCACACCGGAGCCAGGATCATCGGAAAGAGGCTCGACAAGTGTGGGGAGCATCGATAACAAAACAGGACTTGATAAAGAGATTCAACCTGAAGACAAGACTAAAACTCAGAGCATTTCTACATCGGTCAAGAAGCCATACGACAGAGATTCGACAAATCCTGAAGAACCATCATCCAAAAAGGTGAGTTAGTTCCTAGAATTTTGAGAAATACATCCATTGACCAAATGGAGAGCCAAATCGACAAAGAGGTGACTCTAGTGGGTTAGCTTGAGAAAAATTCTATATGAGGAAAACACCCAGTAGGCTCTCGGACTCAACAGGCCTGATTAAAAACCCTGAGTCCGTGTCAGTTCAGCCTGCTTCAATTTTGTGTTTCCAGGTACGATCTGAAGGTCCAAGCGAGCATAGCCAAGAACACTCTTCTAACAATACATCAGACAGCCATATCGATTCGTCACCACAAAAACAACCGGTATCGGGTTGAAGCTGTCAACGTCCACCAATAACTGAAATTGCATCCCGTTGCATTTCTTTGTTGAATAATTCAGCCCACATTGTTGCCTTTTTCTTCTCATGATTGAAACTTGCACATTCATAACTTCCATCAGTTTAATTCAAACTTGCTACTCTCTTCAGCTCCCGGATGTTTTAGTCGCTCTGATAAAAATGAAGAATTTGAACAAGGTTGTCTTCCGCCCTTAAATGAGTTTGTAGTTATCACTTTAACGTGTCATAAAGAAAGAAGTCATTCGTTATTGTGAACACCTTCTCAAAATCCAATCCGGAAGTGAAAAGAGGAAAAAAAATAGGGAAAATTATTATTTTTCGGCTCAATTCCAGAACATTTGTAAGCTACCTGAAAAACTATATATTGAAAAACTATATACTATAAAACTATATGAAACTATATATATGATATTTTTGCGAAATTCTTCAGTCAACATTCAGAGAATGAGCAACCGAACTCGTATTGGAACGAATTGAAACAAAAAATAAATTGTCTTCTCCGAGAGGGCTACTCGAAATTCGTATGCTAGGCCATTCTCTCGCGGCCACGCGGCCCTCTGTCTATAATCATGTGAACGTGAAGAGAATGCAGAGAAAATCTGGTGTGTTGTATGCGTGGAAAAGAGAACGAAGAGGATAGACGTTTTTTTGTTTTTCTAGTGTCACCGGAACTATTCATTTTTGCTAGATGATATGAAAACTTTATTCAGTATAAAAATCACGCGGTTTTAATTTTACAAATAAAATAGGAAGAGATGTTGCTTCAAAAGAATAAAGTCTGAGTTTGGCAGAGTATCGGAACATTGAGATTCGTGCTAGAAAGCAAACTCATTGAACTAAACTATTACGAATCGTATCACATTTCATTTATGCTAAAAATGGGTGATTCAGATAAATTGATAAAGTCAGGAGGAGAAGGTGGGCTCTCGGGTTTACACGAAGTGGAGGGAAGAACATGAAGCAAAAACGACGCCAAAGAGATAATAATCATTATTCCGGAAAAAATGCTGTATGCAGTAACTTTTTTCCTCTGTTTCTCTAGTTTCTTCTTCACTTCGAGCTTGACTTCTTCAAATTGTTTTTCTTTCTCAATTATTGATTCTTTCATCGACGCTATTTGAGCATCCTTTGATCGTAATGCTTCATCCTTCTTAGCACTTTTGGCTTTCTCGATTTGGCTCTTTTCTCTTTCCCGCTTAATGGTGTCCACGAATCTTTCCTTCTCTATTTCCAATTTGTATATTTTCTTTTCTAGCTCGATGTTCTTGCGTCTTTCTTCATTGAGTTCTTCTTGAGTCGAACGCCCGAGATTTTTTTGTTCAACTGAAAAAAAATCAGTGATATTGAATCTATGCATTTTGAGCTAATCACCTAACTGGTGTTTCAATTCATCAACCTTCTTTTCCTCGATAGATAACTTATTTTGGGCGGTGCATGCTTTCATTGTAATCTTTTGGTTCTGATTTATTAGTTGGCGTCGGTCGAAATAGAGGCAGTTGATATAAGAGTTGGTGATACCAATTCGGCCATACAAACCTTCTTTTTCCAGTCTGTGTTGATTTGTTTCAGCCGCCAGGATACCTGAAAACTCAACATTTTCGTAGGATGTTGTTTTTCTACTGTTTCACTGTCAAACGCATTTCTAGATTGAATCTTCATTTTTTCTGCATTTGAACGAACTCTTTCAAGAGATTGATAGTGAATAGTTGACATATTCACAAGTTGTTCTGAAAATGAAACGAATAATTTTGAATCTCCATTCAAAATGTTACTTCTGATAGACTGCATTTCTTCATTCATCGCTGTCGGTTTATAAAACTGGTCGTATGCTGCCATAAACGATCTCGACAGGTCGAGTTCTTCTTTCAATGCTTTCATCTCAATCAAAAACGTTTCTGAACGTAGCTTGATTTCAGTTGAGCATTGACTGCAATTCAAGATACAGGTTTCATTCTGGTCGTGCTTATTTAAATTTGGCACCGCAACAACTAGATCGGAAGTATAAGATGCATCAGTTTCAGTTGGTGAGAGAAGATGGCTCATTTTTGCTGAAAGGCTGAAAACATAATTAATTAAAATAGTGTTTGAAAATGATGAACAACGTTGCGAGAAAATAGAAAATTATCAATACATAGTCGAGTAAAAAAAATCTGAATAAAGTTTGAGGATTTTTTCAGCTACTTTGGTTTCAAAATTTTTAAACAAAATTTTAAATACTTTTCTTTCGTCTGAAAAAATAGCAGACAAAAAGTTCCAAAATGCTGAAAGACACGCCCCTTTTTAAGGAAAAAACTCGTGACAATGTGTAGTTTCAATTAAAATATGCCCATCTACTTTCATCTTTTTTCACAGATTTTTAGAAAGATAATAGCCTTCTCTGAAATGGTGGAAAAACTTTTGAATTTTTCTCGAAAACATCAGTTTACAAGAATTCGTAAGTTTGAGGTCTACGTTGCTCTAAAAAAGGGAAAATGGAGAAACGAGAAAAGCAAAATTGGAAAAACCTGAGTAAACTAACATGTCGTCTCAAAAATCGAACAAAAATTATCAGAAAACTTAAGCGCACAATAAACCACAATAAGGCATGTTCTCACTGAAAGGATAAAAAAGTATATTCCAAAGATTAAAAACAAGAAAGTTTTTTGATATCTCATGGACACAAGGGAAAAAGATAGAATGCTGAAAAAATTGTGAAGTACGAAAAAGCGGATGGAGCGTGAATACGAGGAAGACACATGTAATGAGCGTTTTTTTCTGAATACATTGGTTTCCTATGCGGCTCTGAAATATTGAGACGTCCCTTTCATACTTATTCATTGGATAGAATAATTTTTTCTAGAAAACTTAAAAATGAGTCACGAGAAATGAGGAGAAAAGTTCTAAAAATAGCCTCAAAACTCTTTTTTCCAACCAGAAAAACCGGTAAGCTAACTATTATGTTGACCTCTTCACTGACTGAAACAAACGTCATGATTGGTGGTAAACGTTTCAAGTTTTGCATGAAGTTTTAGATTTTGTTCTTTCCCCATCTTTGCATCTTACAAAAAGGAAAAGAAGGTTCAAATAGTTTTTGGTTTGAGCACATCGAAAACAGGAAAAAGGAAGAGAAAAGAAACGCAAAAAGAAATTGAACTAGAGCAAAAAGAGCACCCTGCTCCGTTTTGGACCTACACACTTTGTCTCGGCGCCTGAAAGGCGGGGACCTATAGGACGAATTGAGAAACGTCGAAAAACGGAAGAGACAAGATGCTGTGCGCACACTTCGAATGTGAAAAATTCGGCAGGAACGAGTCATCGCTCAATCTCAAAAATGGACGTTTTCTGTGTCTTCCAGAGATTCATGGACAATGAAGTTTATTGTACGGACAACGAACAATGGAAATAAAAAAAAGGTCGGACCAATAATTCCGGACAACAGGCAAATGTTTCAAAAGAGTATTGAAAAACCTATGGAAAAGAAAACGGACCTCATTCACTAATTCGATGTGTCGTAGCAAGAAGAAAATTCAATTTTTCTTGTTAACCGGCGGACAAAAAAATTTCCACGGATAACTCACAACAGTTTTTTGCTAATTTGGTCATTGTTAGGCAAAAATTATTCTACAAGAAAACTTCTATTTGAGAAAAATATTTAAAACATAATCTCATCTTAAGTTGTGTTGCTTAAAAATACTTTGAAGATTGTTTTAGTTTCTTTTATGAACAAATGTATATTAACAATAATCAAATGTTTTAATAATCAAAAATAGGAACATTGGTGAATTTAGCAGTGCATGATGTTGTAGTGCATGCGGTAGTTGCTCCTTCAAACTCGTAGAACATAATCAGATTGGTTCCTTTGTGCAAAAACTCAGATGGGACGAAAAGAGTTTGCTGAAATACATTTTTTTTTAATTTTACTTTTCTCATTATGACAAACCTGTGGACCAACAGACGCCCAATATCTTCCAATATTGTACTGGTTGATGGTAACTACTCCTTTACCCCAACCTCTGGTGTCCAAAAACGTGTCAGCGGGAGCGCCAGAAATATGTAGGTTCCCAATGAAGACGGAAGGGTTAGTGGTCACAGCGGATTTTGATTTCTAAAATATTCTAAATTTTTTCAAGTGTCTTCCACACGAGCGACTTACTTGCAAATCCATATTCTCTTCAATATGCCTTTGTAGCTTTTCATAGTTCTCCTCCACCATGCTCACTTCATAGGTATCAATTGGAACAACGCAACTCTCCCAGTTTTCAAGAGTTATATTGTGCATGTAAACGTTTCCTTGAATTCCCTAAATTTCGAATAGCGGCCAATAATTTTGATATAAGCTCACTCTTGACATATCAGGATAGTAATTGTGAGGTCTTCCAGTGATTTCAACAATGATTTCCAGTGAGTTGAACTGATCCAAACAGCCTTGAACGTCAATTGTGTTGTTGTGAATTGAATTAAATTGTTTATACAAAGCACCCTGAAGTTTTTTACTTTTCAAAATTCTAGATAATTGATTTTTTTACCACAAAATTTTGGTTCAAAAAGACATATGCGTTGTCAGAAAACGTTGGAATATATAACTGACCACATTCAATGATGGACTGAAAAGACCGATATATTCTTCTAGCACCTTACAGTGGCTTACAGTGTTATAATAAACATAACCATAACCATCTCGAATGTATTCTGCTGTTCTTGGGGTCTCCTTTGTAGCCCAACATTCTGGATTGACGCCGAGAATGAAACCAGAGATTGTATCAAAAACAGTTAGCTGGACAGTTGGGTACGCAGTCCGTGGAAGGTTAGCGGGAACTGGAGTTGGTGGATACGCCCATCCAGGAATACTCAATATCCATCCTCTAATATCAATATACAGTTCGTTCACATCTCCACTTTCAGAGATTGGAGCAAAAGAGTCATAGGAAGTGGTAACTGGGTACGGTTCAACCGCACCATTCCAGAAACCAAATGTTGTTCCACCGTGTGTCATATGGAAACTGATACTGGCATTTAAAGCAAATGCAGCTACAAAAAAAATGTTGAGTCAACTATTAACAAGCGGTAACTCACTTTTAGCAGTCTGAATGATCACACTATTTGCATACCGATCCGTCACATTTCTTCCCCACATCTTGTATGGATTAATAACAAACTGGGATGCTACTGCTGGTGCACCTAAAACTTGAAATACTTTTAGAATATCACAACGCGCTCACCCTGCATGAAAGCCTTCTGCAAATTGAACCAGTTTTCCACCGTACCATCAACATTTGTCGGTGTTATTTCAATTGTTGGTAACACATTGGGCAGCGTTCCACATCTCATAAATTGCACAACCGGTGCATCCGTGGTGAACAACACAACATCATTTCCAAGGTGTTCCCAGACGAGATTGGCTAAGTCCAGCATATACAGCTGATCGCAGATTCCAAGTAATCCATATAAGTGCTCAATTTGAATCATCAAAACAGGTCCTGCGTTTTTTCTCAACAATGGGGCAATTTTGGGGAGAAGATGTTTGAACCATTGGGTTACTTCAGCCATGTACCTGAAAATTTGAAAATTGATTAAAATTTTCTTAATTCAAGGAAACTCACGCTGCATCACTGCTACGGAACTTGTTGATTTTGCCATTTCTGATGAGCCACCATGGAAGACCTCCATTGTCCCACTCGGCAGATATGTATGGTCCTGAAACAGAATGATATTTCAAACAAACATAAATGGTTTTCCTTACCAACTCGAAGAATAGTGTACAATCCGTTCGTGTTTGCAGTCTTGATGAACTTCACTAGGTCATGATCACCTGACCATAATGGATCATCGTCTTGAAACAATTGATGGAAGTTCCACGGCACAGGTACAGTGATCGCATTGAATCCAAGAGCTCGGACTCTTTTCAGACGGTCATCCCATTTTAAGTGTGGAATTCGGAAGTAGTGAATTTCACCGGCAATATAGGTGAATGGATCTCCATCAAGCAAAAATTGACTAGTAGTTGTGTTTAGTTTGAAAGATGGAGATGAATCTTTTCTAAACAGTATGAACGTTTTTATTTTTAATTTTTGAAAGTTACCCGAAAACAGCTGAAACTGCAAAACAAAGCAGAATAAAAATTAGTTCTTGCCTCATGACTGCCGATGAGTGCCAAATGGAATCAGTTGCCTATCAGTTCTTTATCTTTTTTAATTTTTATTACCGCGCCACTATCAAACGTCAAAAACTGATGTTGGAAAAACTGGAAATCAAGCTAAAATCAAATCGATTGATAAGGGACAATTTTATTCATAACGAGTTCGTGAAATGTTAGTAACTGAAAACGGGAGCTTTTGTGAATTTCAAAGTGCAACTGGATTGATTACAAGCGTTGGGGGCGCCTTCGAGCTCATAAATAAGTATTGAGTTGGTTCCTTTTTGCAAAAATTCCGAGGGTAGAAAAAGGGTTTGCTGAAAAATAAGCTGAAATTATGGATTCTGAATCTCAGCTCACTTGAGGTCCTTCGGTTGACCAATATCTATTAATATTGTAGTTGTTCACAGTTATGAAAACTTTTCCCCAGCCTCTAGCATCAACATAAGTATCCACTGGGTCATTAGGAAGATTTAATGTTCCATAAAACAGAGCTGGTTGTTTTATATTGTCTACTTTCTGAAATACAAAAATTCCTGAAAGGCACTCAAATAATTGAAACCTGAATGTTTTGAATTTGATTCAAGATTTTTCCATAATTAGCCACATCATTCAAACCAGTGGTTTCAAATGATACTTGACAACTTTTCCATGAAACAAGAATGTTGTCATTGAGAAATACTGGTTCTTGAATACCCTGTAAACATTTTGTAATTGAAAACTCAAACTGATAGTGGAAATTTGCACAAAACCTTGGATATAGATGGGTACATTGTATGGCTTCTTCCAGTAATCTCAACTAGAATCTCCAAATTGTTAGATCCTGATTTGCAGTTGGTCAGATCAATCGTGTTGTTGTGGATTTCCGCCATTTTTGCGTATAATGTTCCCTGGAAAAAATAAATTCGGAAAATAGAGAACACTACTATTAGTCATACTTGAAACTCTCCATTAAGATAAATATAGGCGTGGTCAGCGTATCGGGATATGTTCAGTTGCCCACAGGTTGTGATCGCATGAAGTTTGTTATTTTCATATTGTAATCTGTAGGCTTTTTACAGTTTTGATAATATACAAAGCCATAACCCTGATTGATATTTTCCGCAGTCAAAGGTTGGTTTTCACTTTGCTATCACTTCAGATCACTTCTAGCTATGAACCCAACGATTGTATCTACAGGTTTCAATAGTTCTTGGTAACATTGCAGGAATAGGAGATGATGGGTATGTCCAGTTTGGGATTTTGTTAATAAAACCTCGTATATCAATGAACAGTACTGTTTTGTCACCACCTTCGGATATTGGAGCGGAAAAGTCATAAGAAGTTTTTACTGGATATGGACTATTGTTTCCATTCCAAAATCCAAAATGTGTTCCTCCATGAGCCAATTGAAAACTCATACTTGCGTTTAGATTCCAACCAGCTGGATGAGAGGTTTTAATTTCAGAAAAAAAAAGAAATGTGTCTTACCTTGCAGTGTTTTCAAAGTGATTTTTTCGGTGTACGAATCGCTCACTTGCTTGCCCAAAGCCTGTAGTTGCCAAGTAGGGATTGCGAACTGACTCGTGGTCCACTTGTGCCAGCAACGTTATCTTTCAAATACAAACTACTGAAATTAAATTGCCGCCAATTCTTGTTGCTGTAAAAACCATCCATTTACAGCATTTGCATCGCTATTTGGTTGCATTTCATTAGTTGAAAGTATTCCAGGAACAAGACCACATCTCATGAATGGCATTATTGACACATCAACTGGAAAATTTTGCATAGATTTTGCCAATGGATTTTGAATTCACCGGAATACAGTACAATATCATTTACAATATATTTCTTCGCCAGATTCGCGAGATCCAAAATATACAATCTATCACATATTCTGGTGAGTCTATAGTAGTGTTCAATTTGAGCCATCAGGATTGGTCCTCCATTTTTTCTGAGAAGAGGCTCCAGTTTTGGAAGTAGAGTATTCCACCGTTTTGATGCTTCATTCATGAACCTGGAATAATAATTTATAAGATATCGAGAAAGGACAAAAAACGTACGAGGAATCACGGCTTCTGTACATTTTGATTTTTGAATTTTTGATGAGGGGGTTTTGATGAAGTCTAAGTTTCCAGAAAAATCAGCAATTCTGAAGAATGCACAGTGGACATTAAATATCATATTCAACTTTACGAATTTCTGTTTAACTGGTGCAGATTCCATGGAACTGGTACAGTGAACCCAAGAGCTCGAACTCTTTTCAACCGATCTTCCGACTTGTCAGTCGGAATTTGGAAATAATGAATTTCACGAGCCAGGTAAATGAATGGATTAACATCAAGAAGAAACTGATGATTGACTTTATCGATTTCAAAAGACGTCGCCGTTTCTGCTCTGAAATTTTTCAGTGGATCCATGAACTGCAATAGATATACCTGTAGAGAGACAGCGACAGTAGAAATAACAAAAAATTAGAGAAAATGGCTTGTTGCTCTACATTAAAAATTTTCCATTTTTATACTTCTCGAATTGAGTCCAGGTATGGGAATACGATTTGAGAACAGTGAACTCTTTCTTATCTTTGCTTCTCAGCAACGTCATGCGTTATCGTACTACAAATATGCCTTTCTCATGTGTGAACTTTTTTATTGAACAATAAATATTTTTTTCCGAAATCAAGTTCTGCTTCGGAAATTGCAGAACTTTGTAATTGAAAAAGATATTTCCCTAACGTAACGACAAACCCCATCAAGCAAGAAAAACATGTTGAAGGGACTGATGCATATCAAGAGCTCTTTCAAGCAGCGAGTGAAAATAACGTGGAGTTTTTATTTACAAATATTCAGAGTTCAAAATGAGTGATTTTCGTTAAAAGTGATCTATTAGTTTTCCATTTAAGAAAAACTCACCAGCTTCTAGAACTCCAGAAAACGATCCAAGACCTTGGCATTAGTTGTAATTGTAATTGTTTTTAATTATTCCCATTCCAATGATTTCTCTTGAAATTTGTTCTTAGACTTTTTGAAATGTTTTCTTTGTTTTTCAATTTTTTGTTGCTCAGAAGGCGCTGCTAGAATGCTTTGCTCCTTACCTGCTGCTGTGTGACAGCCAGATTAATAGATATTGATGCTAGAGTGCTGCTCATTCGTGTCATCAGCTAAACTGCTGCGCGTCTGCTGCTAATCTGATTCCGACTGGCTGATGAAGATATCGTGTTGCGGTTCTGATGCTATCCTGATGCTCGGGGCTTGAAAGCTGTGTGTCTGATGCGGATTGCTGCCGAGCGAAGCGGCTTTATCTTACGCATCATTGGTCCCTCTCTGCGTCGTTACCGCAGCACACAATTTTTTTTCTAAGAGTTGGAGAGAATATTCTCGACTAGTCCTCATTCTGTTTTACATGACGTCCAACTGATTTAAGATGGCTTCTTTTTTTGATTTTTCTCATTTTTTCTATATTTTCTAATAGCCTAATCGGGAAGTTTTCAAAAGTCCTACTGAATGGATACTGAAACTCCGTTTTGATTTTTCTGATAATTTTTTGAAAAATAAAGTAAGTTTTCGCACTCACAAAAACTTTTCTTATAACCCTTTTGCAGATGTTTCTAATCGGAATTCGGAGTCATTGACAACTGGAAACGATAATTGGATCTCATCAAGTTGACGTGAGACGATGAAACCGATGCTCTGGGCTTTGAGGGAACAATCAAATGGTACGAGAAATTTGTGTAATTTGTAATTTGATTATTGAACAGATATAATAAAAAGACTAGATCAACAATGAATGGGACAACTTTGCCAGAGGAGATCTAATAACTACAGCTCAAAAAATTAAACATAAAAATTTTCATTTGTACAAGTCAGACTGACAAATAATTCGGATACGCACAAAAAAGATCACCTTTTCATCCAAAGTATGCACAAATGGCGTCAAGTTGTTACAATTCGACAATTGGAAAATGGAAACGAGAATTCGGTTTTTTGATAAGGAATTCAGAATGGAAAATGTGTGGTTTATTGCTGTTGCGATGTATCAGGTAGTATACTTTGAATTTTTAAATCTCCATTTTCTATAATTCTAGGATCTAGCCATCAAGTGTCTGTAAGTGCAAAACGATAAGTTGCATCTGGCTTCCGTCCAACTGGAATTCACAAGAACACTCTTCCGACACGTGGCATTAAACGTATTGCTTCTGAAGCCTGCCCAACGCCTCTAAATTGAACGGGTTTTTTGAACGGGGTAAAAGCGAGGAAACTGTCGTTTTATCAGTATATTGGTGGGGTCTAATAGTGTCTGCACCCCAACGGAGATCATTCTCCCCTTTTCGTGTAATGAGATATGCTCACCGTTTTCGGCTCTATTAATTTCCATTTTTGGACTATCATTTTAATTGTATTTATATCTGATCTTAAGTTAGCTGAAATCGATCGCCAACTAGTAGCGCTTAACAACGCAAATGCACCCATTCGAACTACCATTACAACGTGGATTCAGTAATTTGAAAAACGGGAATTCTTGTTTGACGAAAATCCCCCTTCAAAAAGGCAAATGGGCTTAGGTTTGGATGCATTAAAAGCCGGGAAAGAAAGGGACCCTTCTTTAACTGTGTGTGATATATGAAGTACATCAGTGGCAAACCTTTCGTTGAAAAGCCGTAGATTAAAACTCTTGGCACAGTCAAAAAAGTGGGAAGAAATTGACCCCATCTTTTGGCTCAACGCAACTTTTTTCCTTGGGTGGGCACTTGTTTGAATCTTCTCATCATGCGTTGCACACATGAATGTTGGAATCAAACCATTGCTAGTGGTGATAAATGGGTAATGTGTGATTACAATAAGCAACATGCCAAATGGGTTGACAAAGGCACTCAACCACCAGACGTCTCGAAAAATGAAATTCGTGTTAAAATGGGATGTTGTCTTCATGGTGGTCTACCAAAGAATGAAGTATTAGGAGCTACCTGATAATAGTGTTACTTTTACGACCCTACCTATCCTTGTCAGGTGACATAACTCAGACTTTATGTGGATCTCGATTGGAGAGGAACGCAAAGGTTTAACCTATTTTACTTTTTTTTTTACCTATTTCACTTTTTAATGTTTTTTAATGTATCTGACGCTAAAAATGGAAAGGACTTTCCGAACAACCTATAGATACTTTATTGAAAAGTTAACCAAATATTCAAATACCAAAAAACAACACGAAAAGTGTTTTTATGCACATTAATTATCAATTTGGTCAAATCAGCATTTTCTCCTCTTGGCCGTTCTATTTTAATTCAAAACAAACATCAACACCTGCATCCATTTTTCTGTTCTCCTTCTTGACTGATCCTTTTTGACTTGAAGCAAACGGGTCAAACAACCTGCTGTAGAGTAGTGTTGGACCAAAACGTTCACTCATCCCTAGCGGAATTCGGATCGCAACTGTGATTCTCTGAAATGGTGCCATCGAAGATATAGTCCAAAAATGTGAGCATCAGTTTAGATTTATAAATTGCGACTCTGCAAATATTCTCATCCTTCGAAATGTGATCCTCTGAGAATGGGATAACAAAAGTTTCAACTTCATTGAATTTTTGCCGCATTGAAAAGAGAAGCGAATACAGTATTTTTAGAAAAATAAAGGGTAGCATCCTAGCACATGGTTGCTTGTGACAACAATCTCATTAAACCACGAGAGCGGATTGTCGCTCCCATGTCATTATTGAGAATGACTGTTTTTGGAAGAACTGTTTCCTATATATATATATATATATATATATATGAACCCTACGCCCCGACCCATGTAGAAAATGATGACAATGACAAAATAAATTTCAGCATTGATGACATCGATAACTATGAATGAGAATTGTCAGCATTTATTTAGGAATAACTGAAGATAGTAAAGAATACCTATCTTCTATATTGAGAATGATGACAATGTTGTACCATGCAGGTAAGATATGAGGATGTCATCACATTTTCGAGGGAATGTTGTAGAACAGTTGACTGGCCATCTGAGGACTTTCAATTTAAAACCAGATAGATGAAGCTGTTGTATTTCAGAATGTAATAGTCTCGTACTCTGAAAATTATATGTTTTATTTTTCTATCCATACATAACTTTTGAAGCAATACGACTTTGTTTTATGGGCTGCATTTTGTGATAGGTACTCTGCTTTGTGTTTAGAAACATCAAATACAAAAAAGTATTGAAACTTTGAAAAATTTCATCAAAAATGCACAAAATTTTAGATAATTGATATTTCAGAATCTGACCCGAGCGGACGGGCCGAGCCGGACCGAACAACTTCTCATTTTGACCAGGCCCGGTTCGTTTCAAGTATGCTGCTATCAAATCTGGTCCTATTTTTTCAAAATGATCCATAGAAACTCTTCTAACAAAAACAGATTTTCAGTAATTGTTTTTTCAAAATTAGAACAAAATGAAATTTTTCAGCTGAAAAAAAAACAAGTTAAATTTTTCGTTTTAACACGACAACTGTCGGATTCTCATCCGTTTTTTCTCCGAATAATGAAGTCTCTAAAATGTATCATTAAAATCTCCGCCGCAAGCAATGGAAACGCGCTCTGCCGCGACTGCGCCAAAACGCGAGCGCGAAACCTGTGAATTTGTCTTTTCTGGCCCGCTTTTTTCTCATTCGTGTCTCGAAGAAGGGCACCGCTTAGTGACACCCTGCGTACTCTTTGTTTCAGTTTTATTTGTTACCTAGTTTGTCTCATTTTGTCACCTATTTTCCCGAGCATTAACTCATTTTCTCTTGTTTCCCTTCGCCTTTTTTGCTACCCATCCCGCTAAATAAAACAGTTAGTGTTTATAACAGCCGTCTTCATTTTGTCTTCTTCGCGCTTTCAGTTCTGGATTCATCGTAATTTTGGTGTTTCCGTTCCGCGCTTTCCGTCTTCTGTTTCTCTCCATCTCGTCGTCTTATACACTCTCTTTTCTTACATTCCGAACTCGTGCACGGCGCTGCCCGGAGCGAAAAAACGTCCCGCGGAGCCTGTACATGTTTAGACTGAATACTGCAGAAAGAAGGAATTAATAAGATTTAATGGAATCATATCAATAAAGTTTTTTAATAAAGGTTATTTAACTCTTTTTTTTGCAAATCACTCGTTTGTTACATAGTTTTCAGCATACGTTCGTGTCTAGTTTTCTCAATTTATTCTTCTTTTATTACCTCATTATTTTGTTTTTACGAAAGTATCGATTGCTATGAATAAAAATGTTATATTTGCAGGTAGTGAAACAAGCGTTTAAGCAATGGAGCGGATCTCGGTATCCGAGCTTTGAAAAATTGTCGATACGATTCTGGACAAGATGTTCACCAAAGTAAACTGACGTCGTGTCGCGGGGTCGCAACCGGGACTTCTTCCACAAATCGTGTTTTTTCAACCGCGGCGCCACTAAAGACATCGCTTGAATGCGGATCGTCAAAAAGAAACGAGAGTGTTCTGGAGGAAACGAAAATGAAAATTAAGAAAAAGGGAAGGTTTGACATTGAAGCACCGAAAAGACGTGGCCATAATCGTAAAAGTCGCCCAAATCGAGCTCCCCGTTTATCACATGCTGTATTATTTTTGAAAATGGAAAATTTTTATAATTTCTCTTAAATTTTATTCACTTTTCTCTATTTATTAGAATGGAAATCTACTTTACATAATTGCCGAATAGTTCTCGTTATTTGGCGAATGTTGTCGCCGTTTCTATAAATCATAATTTTTTATTCAATAATACGTGTTTCAAAAAATAACAAATTAATTAATGAAGTATTGTAAGAGTCGTTCTGTTCCATGTAAAAATTCGCTAAATGATTTGTATTCCAGATTCCAGTTTTCAGTAAAAATACATATACAAACATCAATTTAGTATCTCATCATCGGTCTTCCTCGGAAAATCCTTTCACCACGAGGCAATATCGGTCTGCCAAAGTTGTTTCCATAACCTCCGCCGCCTGCCATTCGGTTGAAACCGAAATTGTTGCCATATCCTCGATTGCCATATCCATACCCATTTGGCTGGCTGGGTGATTTAGTTGTTTCCGCTGCACCTCCTACACTACCTTTGATTCCATCGTCAACGTTTCTGTTCCCGTTGTTGTAAGGGTTTAGTCCGTTGTTATACCCTTGACCGTTCGGGAAATTTCCTCCAGGTTGTGGTCCATTCATACTGTTGTAACCATTGGGACCGTTCCCTGAAAAAAGCGATACTGAAAAATGCTTAGAATATAATGCGAAACCATTAGGCCACCATGGCCCTTGACCCTCTCCATTGTTCGGATCACCACCGTTTTGATTTGAAGTTTGCTCGGCAGGTTTATCTTCTTTCGTCCCAACACTTCCTTTGATACTATCATCTGGAGGTGGCGGTTGTGGGCCACCATAACCTGAATCCAGAACATATTTATAAACATCTAGTATTCTTCTGGTCACACAAAATTCAATTTCATATGTTACACCTCCTACCGTTAGAGTTTGGTCCATTCCAGGAGTTTGGTCCCATTGGAAAATTTCCTTCCCCGCCGTTATTCCATCCGCCATACCCATTCTGTCTCTTCAAACGATCAGCGAGGACCTCCATTTCTAGAAAATGTATTTTTGTGGATTCCGGGATATGGAAAATTATGAGTAGAACATACTTTTTGTAATGCTGCTTGTCTCCTTCTCTTTTTCGGCATTCACAAACGGAAACAGTAAAATTATGATTCCAAATATGTTGAACCTCATTTTCCAAAAGATCAGATGTTCCTGAAGCTATGATATTCAAAAACAAGGAAATAAGATCCTTTAAAAAAATTTTCAAGTAAATAACAAGCGGTAAACATGATTTGAGTGAGTAGATGAGCTAAGCGAATCACCACAACCGTTATCCTATTTATCCAATTTCCTCGAACAAATTTGCAATTCAAAAAACCTGAGAGCCAGATGGTCATGCCGCTCCTTTCTCTTCCATTTTTATTTTTCTTTATTTTTCTTCATTTTCCGTTTTTCTGCTATTCCTATTGACTTTTCAAGGATCAATGCTCTATAACTTTCTCTTCATTTTTTATTTGCCCTCATGTAAATTATCAGTCTATTTTTACCATTTTCTGTTATGGTTCCGTATTGCCAAACATGGCGGGTTTTTGAATATTTATAAGCATTATTTATCCAGCTGACATAATATTGTGCCCACGATAAGAAATAAAATCGAGAAGAAAAGTTCAATTTTATTCAATCTAACTGAGAGCCAGTCTAGGATAAAAGGCAACAATAGAAATAGAAAATGAGAAGCCAATGAAAGAAGAAAAGAAAAGAAAGAAGAGAAAGAAGAAGAAGAAGAAAGTGAAGCAGGCTAGATAATCATTTTGAGCATTTCGACTTCTTCGTCACATTCGCATACAACTAAAAATACACAGGGTCCATCCGAATTTACTTTTGCGGCGATTTGTGGAGCAGTCTTCTTGCTCTATTACGTATGCAAATCTGTGGGCAATTGGACAACAAGAATATTCTTTTTTCTTGTAGTCTTGTTCCAAATTAGACGACGACACTCCTACAACTTTTGATTTCTGTGCTTTGTAGTGTTTTCTGATATTGGAGTCGATTCGAGAACATAATATGCGTTCTGAGTTTTCTATACCTTGTATTTCAACGGATTTCTGTTCAAGAAGTTATTTTGCTAAAATTTAGAAAACCGATCTTTAACAGTTTCAACCTGAATCAAGACTCTAGATTATTAAATTTTTTGGGAATGTCAAACAATCCGAATGGAAATGCTGGAAATGCTAAAATAACAATTCCAGAAATAAATCAGGACAGCTGAAAAAATCAAAAAGTTCTAGACTAATGTCAAATATTTCTAGTTTCCTTTTCTGAAAATTCTGATTTTCCAAAAAACAAAATTTCCCTATGCATTCATTCATCCCTCCTCATTGTTATTTCTACCGACATTTCTTGTTAGGCATGAAAAACCTGAATTGAGCTCATTTAGTAGACGAGCAGCCTAGATGAGCACGAAGGCGTATGATGATGACGAACCCCATCGAGTCGGTGCCCCATTTATGCAACCTTTTGCAAAAACAGACTCAATTCTAGAAGGTTTTGTTTCTTTTCTCCTATTTTCCATTTATTGCCTGGATACGCTATTTTTTATGAGGATGCTGGATTCGGAAAAAAGAGCTTTGCTATTTTTAGATTATTATTCCGATATAATTGAGAAAAGCAAAACGTCTTCTCATTTTCTTTTTTCAATTTTCTCAAGAAACATGACCAAGCTATAAATCGTTCTTCAAAAAATTCCATTCTGGCACTTTTTTTTCGTTTATTCTTGGTCTGGACAAGTTTTATGCTTTAATGGAAAAGGCCTACTGTCTCATTTGGAATTCCAAAAATGTTCCATAAAAACACTTCTTTTATAACTCATAAATGTTTCCCCTCTTTTCCGTTTTCCTGGGATGTCTCCCACTTCCGACTGTGAATGCACAATGACTATACAAGGTTGCAAAAACTTTATACTAGAATTTTTGAAAAGTTTTAGAACTCCGTGCAATGTGTAATGGTCCCCCAGTAGATACATCAATCAAAAGTTTCAATTTGATGGCACATTGTGGACATATGTAGTGAAAGAATTTTTTCATGAATCTGGAATGTCTTCTGTTTTGGGAAGTAATATTTTTTGTTTCAAAATAACCTAAAATGCGAAGTCAATGACGCACAAAGTTTAGTATTTCGTATGAGAAAAATTGGGAATCCGGATAAAACGAAATATGCACTTCTTCAACTAAAACGATTCATTCCCACACAGTTTTGCTTTTTCATCTGGTCATATTGCTGCTGTAGTCCCAGACGAAAGCCGTTCTTTTCTTGCTATCAAATTTCATAATCGCCATCCCATTTTCTCTTCCTTTTCTCGTCATCCACCCCATTATATACCAAGAAGGGAAATCCTTCTTTCCCATCAATACTACTTTTCTTCTTGTCTACCATAATAAGAGAAATTGTCAAAAACTTTCTTTTTTTCAGTTCAGTTTTCTGATGCCCCCATTTCGTTATATCCCTATTCTTTGGCAGCGATGCCTTTCCGTCGCATCGCTAAAATTCGGAAGATCCTTTTTTCGATGCTCCTTTGCTTTTCTGTTTTGTCGTTTTTTTTTTGCCTGTGCGGTTTGTTCGTTTAGAGTAAAAGAATTGAGAAGTAGGAAGAAAAAGGGAAGCAAGATAACGCACCCGTTTCTATCTCTTTCCTAATTTTTTCGAGCTTTGCAGTACATTCGCCCCCATTAACTTTGTTTCTGAGGTCCGCATTCAGTTCAGTATTTTTTTCGACATTATTTTTTTCTAATCAACCCGTCACTGAATTTTTTCCCTAAGTCTGTTTTTTCCTCTTTTCCTCCATTCTTCCTTTTTTAAAGTTTTTTTTCTCTGTTTCGAAGCTCAAAGTTCGTAGTTATGCCGCTGTTTTGTTGGAAGACATACATAGATAACAAGTTTTTCGTTTCACCAAAGAAACTTGATAGAAACTTGATACATTCCTCCAGTTTCGTCCTGAACAAAATCAACTATTTTCTTTTTGAAATATTTGAAATAAGAATCTCAACTCTACTACTCTCGAACTTTTAAAAAGTGCATTACTATATAGTCAGCAAACAAAAAGCATGAATTTTGAGATTTATTTTCAATTTGTTAGAAATTCCCAAGAATTAATGCTCCAGACACTTTGGTGACTATACCTTTCAAATTAGCGTGATTTGTTCTGAAAAAGCATGATATCATAAAAGTAGAGATATTCCGGAACTTTCGGCTGTGTTTTCAGTCATTGCTTATTGTGCATTGATGTGTTCAAATAATCAACAATGGTCAATATGATTACCGTTTGTCAAGTAACTCCATCCATATTTTCTATCTCTATTTTCCCAAAGCCTCATATTTTATTGATATTTATGTTCTAAGAACATTCATTCAAAATATGAGCTATAAAATTTCATTTTGTTTTTCTACTAGGTCTTTTTTAGGATATGTGCTATGAGTATTTTCTGAGAACTTCGTCCAGGCAAATAATCTAAATCCATATATAAATTTCTTCAAGCCAACACCCCTATAGCACTAAGCCTGGAAAAGGAGCATCAAACATGCTTGTTCTCTAATGGAAATGCAGCAATGCGGGCTTGAAACGGTTAAATAATTCATCAACTTTGCTCCAAAACGTGCTCCTCCCATTTCCAGCCAAATGTCGAAAATGAATCATGTGCCTTGTTTTGACATCTCTCTTCAACGATTACACGGAACGAATCTCACATCAGACTAGCATCTCCCTGGGAAGAGCATCCTAGAAGAAGAAGAGACGACATAGGTACTCTCCGAGGCGTGTCCACCACAAAACAGCTCGGACACTCGTCTAATCCCTCTGCCAATTGTCTGTGCTCTACCTTGTGTGTGCTCCCCTGGACCAGTCTCTAGTGCCCCCGGACAACGCTAATTGTATCATCGTTGATCGGCGCCCCAGGAGCCGGCACTCCCCGATATTTCGAAAGTTCTGATACACTTGTTGGTCCCTCCAAGTCTCCAAAATAATGTATCCTTTGAGGAAGAGGTGAGTTCGCCCTTATTTGAGTTCTACTTTTCCCGGAGGGCACTTTCCCGGAAGGCATTTGTTTTTGTCACTGACATTAAATGAGAAACAGCTGAAGATGCTATCTCTCAAAAAAAGAGAATGGATTGCAAGTGAGAAAAAATAACTGCGAAATACGTAGAAAATAGGGCAAATTTAATTTGAACCTGATCTTCTACTCTTCTTCTTTCCATTGCTCTTCTATGATATTTTTTCTGTTTTGGACTACGGTACCTGATGATCGGAGTAATCTCTGAAACTCGATGCCAATCATATTGTGTTTTGTCGTGTCAGCCAAACATCTTTTGAGCTTATGGCTATAATAACCGATACGCAGGAACCAGAGTTTATTAGCATTATTTTATTTCGTTTCTTGGTTGTTTTACGGCCCGCCTGCAGGTTTTTTGACCAAGTTATGAGTCACACACACACACACACTTAGGCCGGGAATCGAACGAGTGATCTTCAGAATTTTTGTGTCTTCTGCCTTTTTGCATTCCATTTCCTCTTGTCTGTAGCTCTCCCTCTCTACCATTTTTCTGATTTCACGACGTCTACACACACATCAGTTTTCTTTCTTAGTCGTGTGAACGAGTCAGTTCTTTTTTGCCACCAAAAAGTCATGTTTTCAATCCTGGGGAGGTCCCTCTTAGGAGTTTAGTCTTCGATATTCTTTTTGCTGAGGACTTTTCCCAAAAGTTTTGCTCATCTTCCCTAGTATCGAATTACCCTTTTCTCAGTCTGACAACGTTTTTTAGTCTCATGATGACTTTTTCCTTCACCGGAACGCTCTTTCTTTTTGTTCTTCTCACCCTTCTCTGGTTTCGTCATCAACCTCAAGAGGTCGTGGAGCTCAAGAGATTCTTTCTGTTCAGAAGAACATCAATTAAGGTTCAAGATTGTCGTTTGGTCGTTTGCCGACAAAGTCTATGAATAGGCTTTGAGAAGGAGGTGAAGACTTGTTAAGGATCTGTTCTATTGAATGGATATTTAAATGACTTTAAAATATTTTAGAGAATCGTCTAATCCCTACCAAAGATCAATTCCATTGAAGTCAAAAACCCTGCAAACGTATTTTGAATCTCTAATTTTCAAAAGAGATGCGTCACAATGCTTTGAATATCCGGAATAGATAGAG